CAACCAGGCGCTTCAAATTGATCAAGAACCACCTGCATTAGAGGCGAAATGAGCATGTATGGGGCCTTTGCTGGCTTGCTGGTTCAATGATATGTATCGACCTTCAAAAAAGGGGTAAACATGATTTACTATGTACCCATCCCGGTCATAGTTATATGTTCCACAGCTGATGCTTGGTGCTCTCATTCCGATGGTACTACTGGGACAACTATAGAACAGAACATACACCGGTCTGGATGCCTCGGATGGAATTGACGGATGCTGAGGGATACAAGTTAGTTTGCCAAGAATTCCCATCGCACTGCTTACCTGGGGATTACCATCCTCGATCCTCGACTGCAGGTAAACCCGCTTCCCATATCTCCGTGTCTGAGTAGCGCGCAGTGCATGTGTAAGGCAGGGGTCTCTGTGGGGGCCAAACTTCCTAGATGGATCATTCGGAGGCGGATCTATTTCCCAAACATGTGTCCAAAGGCGGCTTGAAATCATCATTTAGCTCGCTGGACAAACTAGTCGATGGCTGCCAGTTGTAATCGTGGTCCAACCATTGGGCTGCCGGGGTGATCGGTACTGCCAGCTGATACTATGCCACCGGAGAGTGATTAACGTATTGTCACCCGGTCACCGTCGGAGGCAACAAGAAGAATCTGAACTTACGACACTACCAGGCTTGTTTGTAGTGCGGGAAAGTCAAGTTCGGGTTGTTGGCTATACTTGCAGTTCCTCAACTATGGCCACTGCCCTTGTTTGAGGAGCTCAGGGGCAGCGACAAACACACCAGTACACACATTTACAGGTTGGCGAAGCACAGACTTTACTACTCGAAAAGCAGGGATCGGTTTCACCGTATCTTAGTAATAAAGTAGCCGTCTCATAGCTTACTATTGGTGGTTTTGGGCCCATTTGGGGCGGTGTTTTTCCAACGACAGCAGTCACCTGCCCAATGTAGCCGGTCCAATCTTGAAGTAAGCGCAACAGGATTATTGCGTGCAGCAGCTACCTGGGAACAAGATGATTAATCAGACTTCCCCTCAATCCTTCAATGTCTGGTCTCAGCACAAAAGCCAGATCCGGATAGAAACTCACAGTCAACCCGCTGTCACATTCAGGCCGAACCAGTGCCTGCATTCCTATAAGCTTCATGTTCTCTGAACTCCCCCCCTTGACTGCTCTGAACATACCTCCCTTGACCTCAACCATGGCCTCCGCGAACAAGACTCTCCTAGTCATTGGCGCAGGACCGGGCATCGGCCGCGCAGTGGCTACAATGTTCGCGTCCAAGCGCCACGACAACATCGTGCTTGTCGCGCGGCGCGCCGAACAGCTGAAGGCAGAGCAGTCTGCCGTCGAAGCGGCTCTTAGCAGCAGCGGCAAAGCTGGAAAGGTAAAGATCAGGACGTACGCCGTCGACATTACGCACACGGCAGCCTTGCTCAGGGCTCTTGATGACGCCGATGCCGCCTTTGGCAAACCCGAGTGCGTCTTCTTCAACGCGGCGCGGGTGTTGCCCTCAACCCTGATGGAGCATGACGTCGAGGAGATTGAGTACGACCTGAAGGTATGTGCGATCCCCCAATCTCTTCACTTTTACCATTCCCTGCTTCATGCTTCCTGCTTCAAATCCCATGCGCCGTTTGCCTGCCAGACAAAGTACAACCCAACCCAATCACCCACTAACCCGGTAACCCCTTTTACTCTCTAGATTACCGTCTCAGCCCTATACATCGTAGCGCAGCGGTACATGCCGCATCTGCTCGAGCTTGCCACCAGCTACCCCAACAAGCCTGGGCTGATCGTGACTAGCTCGGCGCTGCCGTTCGAGCCCATCCCGGAGCTCTTCGCGTTGTCGCTGACCAAGGCTGCGCAATTCAACCTCATGCGGAGCATGCATATGACATACGCTCCGCGCGGCGTCCATGTTGGGGTCATTAACGTCGGTGGCATGGTCAGCGAGGACCACGAGCGGTTCAACCCGGCTAATATTGCGGATAAGACGTGGGAGTGGTATGCTGATGCCCAGCCGGAGGTAAACAGATTCGAGCTTGTTATTTAAATTTGAAAATGTCCGGTCTGGGGGATTGGTAGATCGGTTAGCCTTGTTTACCTGGCTCAGTAAGGTAGTTACCATATATATCTACTTACGGTCTAACCTGCATATAACGATTGGCCCGGGTTCGAGGATTCCAATTGTAGATCCCAGGTTATCGCTATGCCCAGGTTACCCACTTTTTACCCAATATAGAAGGTCAGGGGCTCTCATTCGGTCTCTAAAGCTCTAGATACAGCCAAATCGCTTGATTTTACTACTTTCCTAGCATTGCAGACTGCTTGAAATACTAATCTAGGCTATACTAAGGAGCCTATACCTTGGCCCAACATTGTTACTCGCCCATCTTCCATTGTATATACCAAAGATACAATAACTCGTCAAGGTCAGGATCTTCCTATTGCTCCTCCCATGTGACGAATCTCGGTCCTCTACTACTGAAAGGGACTCCTCAGACTGAAGGTTGACTTGAACGGGGTAAGGTTCGGTAGAGCCAAAGGGTCTACAACAAGTGCACAAGCAAGTGTTCACACAGTAGTAAAGACAACTGCTTGCATTGCTTACTGGAGAACCTCTGGCAGGTCCTCCAAGGGAATAGCTAGCTATCTAATATACTAATGATTGTCTTTGAGGATCACTCCTTGCTCCTAGTGATCTCTGTGCTGGCTCACCTGGCTCACTTCATGATCCCAGTGATCCTTATGTTGGCTCACTCTCCTTCCCTAGTGATCCATTCTGATTGGTTAGTTGAGTGATTGGCTGCCGCGGCTCCCCGCGCTGCGGCTGTGACCATGCCTGGCCGCCAGTAAGGTCTGTTCGTGACAGGACCGAATATGTACCAAGGGGCTTTTAGAAGATATAAGAAGACGTGGATGACAACGTCTGTGAAGCCGCAAGGTAGCTTGCTACAACCCTCGTATGTGTTCACATATTTGAGATAATCCTCAGATGCCTTTACACCTGAGTATGGATGTGAAGACCCCCTGAGCCCCCCTCCCCCCAACCCCCATCCAGCCCCAACCCCCATTCAGGGTTAGGGTTGGCGCTCCACGACTTTGAGCCCCACAATAATGGCCAAACAGGCTAGAATGCTTCCAAAAACATCTCACGTTCACGATTTGTCTTCCATCAATCCATCATCAACCTCAAAAGCAGTCCAATCGTCCCATACACAGCGCAATGCAAACCAGTTTTGAGTAAATCGCCGATTGCAAGCTCAATGCCCGCGGACGAATCATCGCCTCTTCTCCCGTCAACTACAGAGAGTCGAACCAGTGACGAAACGCAAATTTCACAACTTGAACCTCAAGAAACGATGAGCAGCTCAATCCTGTGGAAAATCGGCGCCATCTCCGGCGCGACCGCTGTCGGGCTCGGCGCCTTTGGAGCCCACGGACTGAAGAAGAGCATCGCCGACCCTCAGAAACTTGCCAACTGGTCCACCGCAGCACAGTATCAGGTGCTTACCTCTTCTCCCAACATCCCCAGGTGAAACAACAGCTGACGTCCCTCTCGTAATGTAGCTTGTTCATTCAGCAGCCCTTCTGATCGCAAGCAACAACCCTGTCGCCGGCACCCTCTTCACTGCAGGCATGACGCTGTTTAGTGGCAGCCTTTATGCCCTGACGCTGGACACCGAGAGGTTCCGCTGGATGGGGCCTGTAACACCGCTCGGTGGACTGTGTCTTATTGCTGGCTGGCTGGCGTTGGCTTTTGGCAAGCGGGGGGCGGGGGTGAGGTGGCCTCGGTCTTGATCTTGATCACGGTTGGGTTGAGAAGCCCGTTTTGCCTTGTGGTGCTAGGCATTGGCGGTCCAAGTCTCTGGGCGGGCAAGATGCGGTCTGCGGCGAGTCTGGGTCGTAAGTTGAAGGTATTCCAATCTGGAGGGCTGTCTCGACTCAGGGAAGCCTGTATTCATGGGCAGGCCGGTGTACTAGTAGTGTACAACCAACATTCGCTCTCCTCTGAGAACAGAAATCCCCTTTCATCATTGATAACTAACGTAGGACCAAGCGGAGTTCGGTCTCAAATCAACAACAATCTGGAGCGGCGCCCATGAACAGGGAGTGAGCCAACAAAGCGGATGAAATTTTGACTGCCAACTCCCCAAACCGGTACACCTTACGGTACCGGGTGATACGCCCGACGCTTTTCAGCACTTTGACCGTGGAATTGGAATCGCCCTCACAATAAGCATATACTCCCATTTCAATACCTCGGTTTAGGTTGGCATGGTTCAAAGTCAAGAAGTCACAAGCGGGCAATGTCCAGCGAGAAACGAAGCAAGAGTCGGTCGGGAGGCCGTCACAGAAGATCAGGTATTTTTGAGCTACTTCTTCTCTTCTCTGAGAACAGCATTCAGAACTAACTGACGTCAGGGCGGTCATTATCATTAGGTACCCAGGTAATCCAGCAGACCCTCGTCCATTCACAAACCCACCCCCCCTTAGTCAGAGCTACTCGCTATGTCCGCCCGAACAACCCTCACCAGGCGCCGCAATGTCATACGCATAGACATCAATGGCAAAGTACTGCAGCGTGTCGCTGTCGATGGCCGACTTTGCCGGGTCCGTTTTCGCCAGCTCCAGGACTTGCTCATAGTCCTCGGCGAAATGGTCGACAACACCCTCGCTGATTTGAGGCACATGGAAGATCCGGTGGAGCAGATCCGTTGCCCAGAACGTGTTCAGCGGGGACTCGGCGACGTTGTACCCCAGGCCGCAGACGGAATTGAGCCAGCGCCGTCTGACGAAGGACAGGTCGCAGATGACTGTCTCTTGCGTCGCGTTGGAGCCGCGCCAGTGGCCCGCCCAGCCTAGAGTTGGGACGGTTAGTCATTGGGATCTTTGACGCCACTCGAGCGGGGCGCTGCAAGCTGAGGCTTTTTTGGTCCTAACTGGCTACCTGGGACTTGATGGGCACTCACCATTCTGTGTTTTGCAATTCTGGTCCGGATCATCGCAGCGGAAGGTCATGTTCCCCCTGTCAGCGCTGATAACCCGAGTGTACCATCCGAGCGGGACGGCGGTTGTTCCGTTGCCAAAGTATTTCTGGACGAACGGAGAGGACTGGCCGAAGCGGAGGATGTGGTCGCGGGCATGCTTGGCAAGCTCGACCGTCTCGGTCAGCGCACGCGTGAGCTGGCGCTGGAGCGTGACGTTGCACGAGGAATGGATGGGGTACTGCGTAATGGCGCCCTCCCTGAAGTCGTAAGGCGTCGCTGTTGCTGTGGCACTCGCCGAAGTGGACGAAGCAGCTTGGCGCTGTTCGACGGGAGAGGCCCAAGAAGCGCCGGCCGCGGCAAGGACGAGAGGAAGAAGGTGGAGACGCATGGCTGGATATGAGAAGGGATGGGTATTAAATTATGCAGAGTGACTCGGATAGATTATATCGCGGCTGTCGGTAGTTGTCTCAAGTCCCGGTGACTCTACTCCTGCATGCTACCCTCCCTCATGGTTGCGACGACAGCTGCTACTTATAACCAATTAGTTGGACCTGTTCGAGAGCACAACCGGGAACTGCCTTTTCGCCTTCATCTCTTGGCACACAGAGGTGCGAACCTTGCTGTCTTCGCCAAGCATCTCTTCGGTGTGCGATGTACCTTGACGGCCAGGCTAGGTCTGCGCGAACTCACGGCGGGCTGGTAGCCAAGAACTGTGTGCCCTGATAGTCCTGCCGTATGGAGAAGTTCAGGCTTGCGCGCCAATCCGATTCCCTGCCGTCATTCACATTCCTGTACGCGGTGACACATCAGATATCATCGTGGAGAAAACTCCGCACATGACAATTGCGTGATGCGGTGCGAGGCTTGCAGAGGCTGGGAGAGCGTGTGGGGGTACAGACTGGTTCGAGAGAGACTTGGAAAGAAAAATGTTGGCGAGACCGAAAAAAAGACAAAAAGCAGAAAGAAGGCGAGGGAAATAGAGCAAGACTCGGAAGAAATGAAGGACGAATGAAGAGAAACTACCTAGTAAAGAGAAAGAAAAAGAGGAACCAAGGAGAATAAAATAGAGGAACGGGAAGTAAAGAACTGGAAAATAAAAATGAAAACAAACAAAACAATGGGGGTTGGTTGGGAGACGAGATCTGCCATTACTCTATCCAAGCTCGATGGAGGCTGGGAGAAGCCCGCATGCAAACACAATCTCAGCCTCAACTCTCAAGCAGTCATGCTAGTAGCAGTATATTGAACAGTCTTTACTTTATACAATTCGTAATATCTCCTTGGCTCCCAAGCCACCAACTACTTTACTTGAGAGAGCTCCAAAGACCATGCTCCAGCCGCCAAACGACCCAACCCCCAGAGCATATCCACACCCAGCCCGATAGATATACCTATAGAGAGCCCTTTCGCTACAGAGCCAGCCACCAGACGTATCCACATACGTCACTACAACCAGAAAAGTCCGTTCTGATAGAAACAGGAACCCCGATTGCATGTGCTTGTTGCAACCGAGGCATGGCCATTAGCATTATATTCTCAACACGTTCAAATTGTGAACGACGACTAGTGGGCCAAAACCCTCCACCCGCAAGGTTTGGGATTCCGGTCGAGGAGGCATTCATGTTAATGGTGGGTTTGAGATCGAAGCATATGGGGAGGCCATGTAACTTAGGTACTTACATAGTATGACCGCGATGTATGGCACCTGGTAGCTGATTCAGGGGCTGTTTCGTGTGACTCCAAAGAGACACTTTTTGGGAGTCTGTTATTGAGGGACGTTCTCAGTCAGTTCATGCCATCCAGGAAGGCATGGCAAGTATAACTCCTTTCGTTACATATGATAACATCTTCTCAAGCGTATCGCGTACATAAGGGGACGAGAGGCGGCTCTACTAGTAGTAGGTAACATTTACTGGTTGGCACCAGGCCTTGACAAGTAGGTACCTACGTATCTTGGAGTCGCTCTCAAGCGAAGTGGGGGTGATGTCAACATCCCACCGGTATCGTGTAATGACTTAAACAAGTCACACGTAGCTTCATATGGAGATATGGAGACAGCGTTTTGATATCAGGTCTGCCCTTCTTACAGGTGAGCGCACATACCACGGTCTCAAAGGCATAAGATATGGAACACCAGTATTGTTAGAGCATGACCGCCTTCTTTGTAGCTAGTCCACACGGAAACTAATCTTGCGTATGGCAGCGTCATAACCGATCCAAAGAGGCTGAATTGGCTCTGGACTTCATTGGGATGCGGATCTCTCAACAACTGTTTACTTGGGTTATCATGTTGCTCACCTTCAGTAGCAAGAAGCAATTATTATACGCTAATGGCACGATCTCTACTGTTAACCACGGACATGGAATCTCGGTGCCGAGGACACGGTGATACATATACCATGGCAGAAGGCAAGGCTACATGTATTACGCGGGATGATCCCTCTCCGGTACTTAATACGAGGTATGTGGCTGTGCCTTGTGTAAGCCAAGGATGGTGATGGCTTTTGGATTTCAGAAATATTGCGGTTATGTCCGGCTGGCCAAGAGTCGCGGTTCACGAGGCTGCCATCCAGATGCGTGCATGATAGAGAGGGTGGCCTGGCTTGACCGATGATTTGCGGACGCGCGGCCGGGTAACTACAACTTGAACCTTCAAGTTTTCTCACACCTAGAGTTAAGCACCTACGTGTAGTGTACTGTTGGCCTGTGTGGCTTGATATTAAGGTGCTAGAGGTCTGAGGCGGATAAAGATGAATACCTAGGTGCCTAGGTAGGTATACGGTATCGAAGAAGCATGGAATTCTTTTGATCGGTTTGTCTAAAATTCGAACAGTATGTGTAAGAAATAGATTTGACCCAGGGCATTCACATACTAGTAGGAAAGTAGGGCTTTGTGAGTCGTTGATGATCCTTACCCCTAGTTTACCCCAGCTTATCCCAGCCTTTCGGTTCTGGTCGACCCCTTACGCGTAGTACTCCTTTTGTCAGATGACAGTAGGCTTAAAAGTATCATATATCTTGATTTCGAAAGAACGTCGCGTATATGTGCCCTCTGGCAAAGATAATAGATGATGTATGTACCGCACTGAGCCCCTGAGATGGAGTATGACAGTACGTGAACAAGTTGATGGAGGCAAATTCGGCAATTGAAACAGGATAATCGACTCCGGTTCATGCCTCTCATTGAGGTTACATTTGGCTTCTACCAATTCAAATTCACATCAAGCTCCTTATTTCGATGGCATTGGTGTTTTATCCAGGCAATTCTTTCCTTCTTCCATTTCTCATCTACATTCTCTTCATTGTCTACACGGACTGTGTCTACACATTCAGAGAGAAAGGGACGATGAACATGAAACACATAAGTGTGACATACCTCGAATCGCCAGTAGGTATAACGAGCAAAAGAGCCGTGTGAACAACGGTGCCGGTAGTCCACTGGTCTCAAGTAATGAATCTGCAGGAAACGGCCAAGCAAGATGGGAGGGCTTATGATTCTATATAGGTGCCTGCTCCATTCCCCATTGCGTGACGGCCAGTTTGGTAAAGCGCGGGCTGTTGGGTGGTTCGTGATATACTATAATGAGTCTGAATGAGATGTGCTCGTCTCCATGATGACTCGCTACCATGAGGTGTGTAGTATGTTACGGGGTTACCTATTATATTCCTCTTACGTGGGGTGAAGTGGTGTGTGGTGTCACGCGCACCCCTCACATCCGTGGCACGAGGATTGCGCGCTGACGACATCGACCGTTGCCCGACACCACCAATGTCTGAGTTGCTGGTCAGCGATGAGCCATGGTACAATACCAATAGAGTTAAGAGTGTGGGTGTATATGTCGATCCCAAGGCGTCCAAAATTCAACTATATGAACACCTGCCTCGTCAATGGGGTTAAGGCAGCCCCGAGTAAACCACTTTCCAATCTCTTGGATGGCCAAGAACTCCCGGGGTTGGATGACTTCCCTCCCTGGTGGCTGCACACCCTCCAACATGTCCTTACCCGTTCGCAGGGATTTCATGAATCAAGAAGAGACATTGCAAATATCACATGGGATTCTCAGATAGAAACACTGTTCCATCAGACCCAAAGAGACAAAGTTATCTTACAACTTTGATGTGTCCTGTGAGCGTGCTCCCACTCCCTCACATAACCCTGCCCCGCCTAGCAGTCACTGCAATGCGTAACTTACACACGTATTCGGAATACAGCTGTATTGTAATGTGACAGCAATATAAACATTACAATATTCGCGGATCCATCATACAGTTTGGCCGAAAGCTGCATCCGCCTTTGGAATTCGGAGCGATGATGCTGATACGGTAGGCAACCAATATAGGTACTCGTAATGGAAGAGCCCGATCTTGTTTTGAACCGGTCTCGTGGTTCCAGGAATGGCGGAGCAGTTGCAACACTGACAAGCCGCTTGCCGATATGGGTGGAGCCCCTCACCTTGTGCCGTTTTTAGCCCGTAACAATACCTTACCTTAGCAGTCGATTTCAAGTCAGCAGCCGATCGGCTCCCCACATTCATACATCCCGGTATCTGACAAGATCCCCCCTCATTTCACCCTCATTCTCTTATCAGCCGCTTTCCTAATCGCCGCTCATTCCGGTGGATTGGAATACCTTCACTTTGCTGCCTTGTGCATCTTTCCGCCAGCCGCTCGATACCTTTTTCCTTCTTGCCGTCAAAGTTTGGCGGCGGCCTGGCCGTGGTGTTTCGCCCATTCCCGTCCAGGTTGCCCATCGAATCGCTGCTGTCACCTGTGGCCCGCTCGCTGCCCCTCGATCTGCAATTCTGCATTGTGCAAATCGGGCCACCCCTCCACCGTCCAAAACTTTTTGCCTTTCGCTTCCTGCAATCGCCCGCTCCCAATATCCGGCGACGATGGCTACCTCACATCCCAGTGAGCATCGTCACTTGCGAAGTGGCAGCCTAAACATCCAACCTCACAGTGGCCGCGGTGGTGCAATGATTAACGCACTGCCTGGCGCCCATCATCGATTTGACGGGCCTAGGAGCCCGCCTAGTACGTTCGTCCTTTTACATTCTGTCGTCTGCCCCCCCGCTCGCCAGACCAGCATGCTCATCCTTCTTCATTGCGACATCGCGGTTCGCGCATATCATGGTTCATAACTAACAGGATTACTTGCCCGTCGAAACAGACACATCGCATGTGCCCTGCAAATTCTTCCGTCAGGGCGCGTGTCAAGCAGGCAACGCCTGCCCCTTCAGTCACGACCTCTCTGCGGCCTCGGAGAATGTGTGCAAGTATTTCGCAAAAGTGCGTTGCCCCCTTCGAGTAACACTACACGGATACCTACCAAGAGAATGACCAAGATTCGTCTCATATGGCACTGACATTACTGCATCACGCAGGGCAACTGCAAGTTCGGTCCGAAGTGCGCAAACATCCACGTGCTGCCCGACGGGCGCCGCATCAACTACGGAAAGAATGGTGTGACTATTGGAGCTCCACTCGGAGTTGCCCTCGGCGCTCGCGTCAACCCCACGACATATCATCAGCCGTCGAACAGCGCGTTGACGAACTCGTTCCTACGCGCCGATGCATACCCGGCACCTGCCCCTTACCCTTTGCAAGATGACCGATACATTCACCAGCTGGGCCGCCAACCGAGCATGGAGAACGGCCTGCCCACGATAGACACGACTTGCAGCTCAAACCCCACCTCAGTCTACGGGTCGCCTCGGGACGACGACGCCAACCGTCTCGGGCTTGGTCTTTCTCCCGTCAAGGGACTCTCAGTTCTGGACGCCCCGCTCCCTGCTTCCTTCGACAGCAACGGCATCTCGCTTGCCGCCCGGTACGGGCCTTGGCCATCGTCCATGCCATCCAAGTTTGGCCTCGAATCGCCGTCGCCGTCGCTGAACGCAGCACGAGACGGGCGTACCTCAGAGACACTCAAGCTCTTGCACACATCTGCCTTTGGCAGCAGCGAACACTTGTCGTCGTCGGCCATTGGCACAAGCGAGACGAATGGATTCGGGAGCAGCCCACCTGTGGGCGGGGCCTCCGGGCTCAGCTCAGGCCTGGGAAGCGACGAGTATTTCGGGAAACGCGCCATGCACAGCAGCTCGCTCCGGTACACGAAGCCGCGCCTCATAAGCAGCAGCGCGCCTAAGATCGACCGCGATTGGGAGACTGAGTTCTTGTTCGAGGAGGATTATGTGCCAGGCTCTCTGGCTAATGAGGTGCTTACACCGGCCGAGAAAGCGAGGAGAGGATCAACGACAAACACTTTGCGGCCAATGGACAGCCTGGAGCCGGGGGTTGAGTCGGCTCCCATTGGGTCCGCAAAGTTTGGAAGCCCAAGCATGTCCGCAAGCCCGAGTCGATGGGGCCCGCTCTGGCAGCGGCAGCAGAAGGATGAAGACGCGTTTCTTGACGCCCCCGGCTCAGGTCGGCAAATAAAACACGCCTCGGCTTTCGGCCATGTGGGGAGCCCGTTAAGGAACTCCAGCCTGGCGACTGCGATTTCCGCTGAGCTAAACGGCGATTCAAACAGCAACCCCACGGGCAGACAAGCAGCTAGCGGCAGCGAGTCCCTCTCCGTTCTCGCCCAGCAGCTCCGGGAGACAAGGCTAGGGGATGGGGCGCCGCGTTCGAGCCCTGCACGGAACGGTAGCGCCACCGCCAACGGACAGAGCTCAGCAGCAGGAGGAGCAGCGGGCGTGATCGGGAAAGAACGGGAGAAAGAGGCGCAGCGTGGATTGGAACGGCACATCAGCAGCGCGTCGATCAGTTCGAGCGTAACGGGACGGTTCACCACCCCGATCGACGAAGAGGACCCGTCGTTTGTGTTTAGCATGGAGGAAGAGGACGATGCCGCGCAGACGCGCGCAAGGAAGCGGGTATCCGGCGGTGCGGGGGGCCATCCGCTTAGCACTGCGTGGACCTATGCCAATGCTGCTACCGGCAGTAGGGAGAATAATACCTCGGGCACAACGAACGGCGGCAGCGGCACCAAACCACGAGCAGCAGGGAGCAGCGCGGTCGAGTCGACTGGGAGATGAATGATCGGAATCTTTGGTATACCCCGCGGCAGATAGTCAAACTACCTACCTAATGGGAAGACGGCCACCTCAAACGGAGCATGTTAATCTTCCCCGTCTTGCATTCTCTCTTCAGCAGGAGTCATCCCGTCCCATTCCCCAACGGGTTTTGAATTTGGCGCTCATAAACAGGAGTTTTAGTTTTAGTCTCTTGGATCTGGCCGGAAACTGAACAGCATGTCTATCTACACCCTTGGGCTTGGGGGGCTACCAGGATGAGGTACTTTCATGTATAAATGGCAGGTGGCATGCAGGTAGGGGTGTGGTGTGTGTGTGTGGACCGGGCTACGACACTGCACCACCCCTCGGCGCCGGCTGACACCTAGAAATCGATTTGGTCATGGCATGTTAAACACCTGGTCGGTACTAAAAACAAGGCAAACTGGGTCGGGTCAATTCGGTGATATTTGGTTGGAGGCTTAGGGGTGCCATGCGACAGGGGCGGGTGAGATGATGCGGTGCGGTGCTGTGAATGTGGACGGGAGGGCAAGGACAACCCCCCTTGACTTGGCCAGCCACGGGAATGCTATGGTCTGGTTGCTCTGCGCTTCGTGTTTGGATCTGGTTCTTAGGTTGTGTACCTAAGCACATGGATGATTCCCTTTTGAACTACTGGTTTGTACATATTGGTTGTCAGCTTGGAATCGGAATGACAGTTTTTGACTTTTTGTGGCGTTCTGCGGTATGTTTTTGGCACCGATGAAGGCCTTCACCTTGTGTTGCCTCCATGACATTACACGGCAAGGCGGCATCTACTTGACGGCCTCAGCCTGATATCGTTGCGTTGTGGAATCCGGGCCTTTTTGGGTGTCCGCTTAGCTTGCTGCTGCCTTTATCTTTGGAATGAGTGCTCGCCATCAGTCTCACTCTACCCGTCCACGATGAGAAGCACCCTCCCCATGGGCTTCAAGATGCCAATGTGCCGAGCTCCAGCGCTTGCATACCATGGCTGATGCCTACAAAGTACACCTCTCACCGGACTGGGACGGTTTAATTCAAGGCGCTCGCATGGGAGATGTGGCGAAGCGTGCAAGGGGCACGAACAGCGCATCCCTCTGGCTCGACTGATCTTCACTTGCTTCTCAGGATCCAAGGCGAGATTCGGCTGAGGTTGTAAATGTTAGCTGTCATGTTCACAATCACAATTCCGCAACTGAAGCGAGCAGCGTTTCGTTTCAAGACAGCAGTGTGACTGGGGGCTTCCCATCCTCATCTTTGGTTGCTGCTAATATATTCACACATACACAGCACAGCCATCCATCCGCCCATGCAAACGCCCAATATTGAGGTAGATTACGGACACCTCCCCTGAGCTCGTCCCACCGTCTAAGAAACACCAGGGAGGGGCGGCGTGGTATGCTGCTGCGTCTTGATTCTGGTCATGATATGGTACAGGGTTGAACAGAGATAAATGGCTGGCACTCTAGTTCGCGTCGGGCTGGCTAAGGATATACTCGACCGCCTTGTCAACTGTTGGCAGGTATCAAGTTAGTGTGTATGATTCAGAGGGTTGATCGGATGGGATGGGATGGGGTAATCGCGTACCGCTATGGATTGTGTCGGCGTCCTTGTCGGGGATCTCGATGCTAAACTCCTGGATTGACAGATCTGTCAGTGATGATCTTTGAACTCGGGACGCCTTGTGGTTGGTTTGGCTGCCTCCGTCAAGTCCGACGGTCCCCAGTATTGGAGTAGGAGGGAAATTACCTCCTCAATGGCCATTACAACCTCGACAGTATCCAGGCTGTCGAGGCCCAGATCGTTCGCAAAGTGCGCCGTCTCTGTGATCTATCGTCGGAGCGTCCACGTTAGAACCGAATTCAGAACTAAGAACCCCATATGGTTATTGAAGGTATGAATGTCGAATACTCACGTTGGCAGGATCGTTGACCTGGAAACAACCAAGTTAGTGTTTATTCATGACTGCGAAGGAACTAGGAAGCAGCGAAGCAACTGGGTAAGGTAGCCACAGATCCATTCCATGACATGGAACAGACACCCAAAATTCCCCCAGATAAAGACGCGCTGCTGCAAGAGTAACCTCCAGATTCAACCCACCTTGTCAAAACCCGAAAGCAGCAGCTTAATGCGTTCATACACCTCACCCCTCTCGAGGCTGCCGCCCGAGGCATAGCACCGCACCGCTTGCCATGCGACCGTCTTGGGAACAAACGAAGAAGGCTTGGAGACAGGGGCGATAGCTAATCTCCTTGCGGAAACCGACGGGATGGGTCGGATGGCTGTCCGCGTCGCGGCGGCGAAAGATCGGATAACGGCGGTGCGGAACATGATGATGTGGTGTCGATTTGAAAGTTTGGTGGGGATAGGGTGTTGTGGTTGGGTAATTGGGTCGGTTCGGCGGGTGCGATGGGAGTAGTGGGAGTGATGGTCGACACGCCCGGTTGAGGTGGAAGTCACGGAAAGATGAGGATGACGATAAATTTCTCTGCCAGACATTGGCACTGAACGCCAGACGTTGGCGCTAGCTGCCAGACATTGGCGGTAGAGCTCGGGCCTCCGAGCTACAGATGCAGTCACGTGATCCGCGTTCGTGGTTCCATGATGCCATCATTTGCCGGAAAGAGAGGTAGACGACAAATGAACCATGGAATTTTGGGTCCCGTGTGAAGATATCTACAGGCTTATCTACAGGATTGAGCAAACTTTGATAGTGTCCACCAGGAGCCAGACATCCCAGCATCGCCATGCCTCTACCTGTACGGCGCATCTGCCCTGATGGCAGCGGCCAGCTCAGGCTCCCACTTGTCACCATTCCAGAGGAGTTTCTCTGTCGGGGAGTCAGCACAAATGCCAAACATTGAAGAGGCAAAAGACAAATCGCTACGTACCCTTGTTGTAAAGCAACTCCTCGCGCGTCTCAGTGGCGTATTCAGCATTTGGCGACTCAACAATGGCATCAACAGGACATGACTCCTGGCAGAAGCCGCAGTAGATGCACTTGGTCATGTCGATATCGTAGCGGGTTGTCCGCCTGGACCCATCGGCACGCTCCTCAGCCTCGATGGTGATGGCCTGCGCGGGGCAGACGGCCTCGCAGAGCTTGCACGCGATGCATCGCTCCTCGCCCGACGGGTACCGCCGGAGAGCATGTTCTCCTCGGAATCGTGGGGAAATAGGACCCTGGCAGACAGAGTCAGCGCTGTTGGCATCTGGGAGGAAGCGTTTTGTGTGGGCGAGGGTTCTTGTCGGGCTTCCAACGACCCCAAGCGCGTGATGCCCCTCCCACGCCCAAGATTTAGGCAATTGTTCCTACCTTCTCAAAGGGATAATAAATCGTATACCTGGCCACAACCATCAGCAAAATCTTCCAGACAGAAACCAACCAAGACTCGCAAGTACTCACGGTGGCCTAAAGAACTGCTCCAGCAGGACGTACATGCCGCGCAGCATCTCAGTCATGAGGAAGTACTTTCCGGCCTTGTCCAGCGTGCTCTCCTTCTCCTGATCCCACTCAACGGGGGGCTTCAGCCGAAAGCGCTTGGGCGGCGGGCCGGCGGGTGTTGCGTAGCCTCTCCTTAGCACCTGTGCGGGAATTGTGCGAGCGAAAGCCGCTGACGTGCGCATATTGAGCGGGAGCGCGAGCTGCCGGGCGGCCACCGAGGCGGCCGAGCTGGTGAGCATTGTGAAGATTTTGTCGGTTCGGCGCGACGGGGTTATGGGAAAGAATCGGTCGGATACGAAGGTCGTTGCGTTGACGGCGGCAACTGGTGCGGAAAATGTCACGTCAAGCCGTGTGGAAGGAAGGGTATTGCGGCGAGCAGGTGTTCGGCAGGCCAATTGATTCGATTTGGCCTCGTTTAATTCGGCTTTGCGCGGCAGAAGTTGGGTGGCGGCAATGGAAGCCTGGGAGGCGATGTTGAGAGCTCCCAGAGCCGGACACTTTGATCCTGGAGCTGGCGACGGAGTCGCTTCGGCGATTACATTTCCCAAACATTGATTGGCCGCCTTGGAGAGTGGGCGGACTGCCCCATCACGTGATGCGCGCCAAGCATCTGCTCCTGCAATCTGCAATCGAACAGTCGCTCGTTCACGTCCAGATTCCGAAGACAACGCTTCGAAGAGATGATGCTGTCTGTCAACCTGCCACTCCCACTCTGAGTTTGCACTCACCGGGTCTACGTAGATAGGTATCTATCTATCTAGGCAACGCATCTAGTCATCGAAATTCAAAATGTTCGGCCCCATGTGACCCACCAAACACCAATATTGGCAGCTACGACCAGATCCAGCATCTTCAACCCCTCATCATGGATAATCAGCTTCCCAAGCTTCGCCCTCTTCCCATTATTCCCCCCGCCAGCATGTTCCCTCCCCAAACTCAGATCCATAGGCATATCCTCATCATACCCAACGCCATCATCCTCTTCCTCATCACTACTATGCGACTCGCGATGCAACAACCTCCCAAACTGCTCCGACAGGTGTCCCCTTCTCCTACCCTGCCCACCACCACCATCTGAATTACCCCCCGCCGCAGACGACCCGGACCCTGACCGCCGTCCAGGGATATTAAACCTCAATTCACTAACCGGCTTCGCCCCCACCATAGCCGCCGACAACTCGTCACCCCGTGACCGACCCATGGCCTGGGCATCGCGGAGATTATGTGCCAGATCGCGGGCATCTATTTTCGCGTTTGCCGGGCCAAGCACATGCCGGCACTTGAGACTCCGCCCGTTGGTGCTGGTCCGGAACTCGCACCGTCCGTCCCACGGGCTGAAGAAGACGTAGCCTTTGGGCTTGAGACCCGGGCCGGGTTGGGTGATTACTGTCGGCGAGCCGTCGGAATCGGTTGAGTTGATGGTTGAGGCGCTGCCTTGGCGGGTGTGGTGGGGCCTGGGTAGGGTTAGGTCTACCGGTGATATGCTTCCGGCTTTTTCGGGGGTGCTCGGGCGGTCGCGGATGTGGAATGCCTTTTTGAGGTTGGTCTTCCAGCTCTGCGCGTACGACATGACCACCTGTCGAGTGAAGCTGTCGTTGGCTAGATGGTGGTCGCGCAAGGGACTTGGGTGCGGCCGGAGGGAAGTTGCTCTTTCTCGACCCAGTTCTGTCCCGCTCTCGCGTGCTACCTGCTGTGTGAAGGAAAGTCCGGTTGTGGGTCGGTAGGCGTCAACGCTCGCCCTGCTTGGCATGTCACGGAATTTGGCATAGCCTGAAGTTTCGATATGGATATTGATCTTTCGAACATGAGGAATGCCCATGTTCTCTGGGTCGAGGCTCGGGTCGGCTCTGTCCGGCGTGGGCACGTTGGTTTCGAATGACGAGACTTTGCCAACGTTGCATTGACTTCCTGACGTGGGATCCCGTCGGATAATGGTGAGGGAGAAGGTTGAGGATGCTGTGCGACGAGCTGCTTTCAAGGGTGATGGCGTTCGGTCGGGATGCAGGTGGGATGTTGGTGGGGTGGCCGGCTGGACACTCCGTTGTGCGGCTTGGATTGGGGTTGCAGGGCGCTCTGGATACGGCTTAGGTTCTTGGTGATTATGAATGTCGACGGCACGGTTGACTGTAGATTCTGATGACAACTCCTTTCGCCGTATAGGGCCCGCTAACGGCAGAGAGGGTGGAGCTAGTGATGGCGTGTTCGCCTCTGATGGAACTCCTGAACGGCGTTTCCGAAACATGGGATTCTCCCGATAACCCTCGACTATGCCTTCTGCTTGCGGAGTAGTAGGACTAAGAGCAAACGTGTTGGGTCCGGGGGCAGGCGCCCCGGATTCCGTGGGCTTTTGTGTCGTTACCACTGACGGTGCGCGGTCTCCCGGCACCGGGTGATCCTGTTGCGGAACCTTGGAGGTTGCGGGTAACGGCTTCCTCGGGATCACGCTCCGTAGGCTTTCACTGCTGGATCGAGGTGAGGTTGCATCCTCAAAGCGGTGCGGCACGGCGAGGAGGCCATCCTCGGGTGAATCCAGGTGGACATAATAGAGGGAATTCGTAATGTCCTCCCCGGTCACATTCTTTTTGTGGGGCCTAAACGTGGAAAGTATTATATCTGCTCCCTGGTCAGCATTGTATGCATGGTTGTATCCGGGCCAGGTACAGTTCGCACCGTGGGTACCAGGCACTCTCGAGATGTAAAGCGTCAGGGACTCCTTGATCTCGGGACGGTATGGATACTGAGGAGGGTTGGCAGCGAGGTAGTTAATGTCCGACAGTGATCTTGCCTCTGCTTTCCTTGTCGCCATTTTGGTGTCGATGGCCTTTGCGGGCATTAGCCGGCATGTTGGTGTTTTGGAGAGTCGCTTTATGCACCGGCAGTGGTGGGTGCTGACGGGCCTGCCGGGGCGCAGTTTGGGGCAGTGACGTTGCCCCGGGACCCAAGGTGGAGTCTTAATGCCCGGCTGCTGGCACAATTTCTCGGACTCTGTAAGTTACCGCAAGGATATATGTAACGTTAATGTATTTTACATTACAGGACCGAGGCCGGTAATTCTTGTAATTATTCAAACGGCAACGGAGCATCTGCCATGTCAAACTTGGAATCTTCTCTCGTCATCCCCGAGTTTCGCTGCCCAACGATTGTACTGCGGCTGCCTCACGACACGCAGATGCCGGTTGTCGCATCTGAAGCAACTCTCCAGCCAGGTTACAATTTGCAAGATATTGCACGACATATAGGATTCGGTGTTCCATCGAAACCTCAGCGGTCCAATTAAAGCGGCGTGAGACAAAACGTCGTGAAAACAGCACACAACACCGACAAACGGTGAGCTGGCTGCTGCCTTCCCGCAATTGGTTCTCGAAGTTCAGATGACCTGGACAAACCCAAGGACAGGACTCCTTGATCTTGAGGTGCCGTACTGCCCTGACCTTATCCGTACAACACGCCGCGCTCACTTGACATGGTAGATGATGATCGGATTGCTACTTAGCTCGAATCTACCAGGTAGTTCCTAACGATCAACAATAAACAAGAACCTGCAATATTAAACAATTTTATCCTTGCGCGTGTTGGCAATCTGAGAGGAACCGAAACACAAACGCTACCCGCAGCGCCAAACAGTTGAGTCTGTCTAAACCATCCATGAGCCTCCTCACCGTCAAACCGTCCTTGTCTTTTGCACGATCAATGCGGCCAGATCGTTAATCGTCCCGCTCGACAACAGCTCCAAGATTTGTAAGTTAGCCCGCAGCTCTTTGGCTATCCAGTTGCGCAGCTCAATAGCCGTCAGCGAGTCCAGCCCGTACGATGTGATATTCCTAGCCACGTCCAAATTTTGGACCTCAATGGTCAGCACTTCGGAAAGCTTCTCCAAAACCCCCTGTGCCGCGATATTCGTCGCCTCCTCGTCCGACTTGGCCGCACGGAATGCATTGCCCAGCGACACAGATTGCTTCGGGGCCAGCCCTTCCCTCTCAGCCGCAGCAAGGCACTCGGCCTTGAGCTTGGCGAACCGCGCGTCACTGGCGTAGTACGGCCATTGTCCGTCGCTGCCGAGATGGAGTTTCAGTCCTGTCAGGCATTGACTCCCGCAAACACCCCGCACGGCGGCCGATAGCAGGGCCAGGAACTCTTCCTCGCTGAGTGTCTCCCCGCCAAAGTTGCGGATGATCTCGTCCTGCCGCTCCGCGTTCTCGGCCAGGTATCCTGCGCCCGTCACTGCGGTTAGGTCGAGGGATGTTCCTGGAAGACCGTTCTGCACGCGGTACTGCACGAAAGAGTCGAGGAAGGTGTTGGCTGCAGCATATGCGCCCTGTCCTCGGCTGCCTAGGATCCCTGCTGCTGAGGAGAGCACAACGAAGTAATCCAGCTTGGCGTAGTACGCGACCAGAGCTTTGTGGATGTTCCAGATGCCGTTCACCTTGGGGCGTGTTACCCGTTTGTAGTCCTCGTGGGTCATGCCCTCTAACAGGACGTCCTGGCAGACAGATGTGAGCGGTAGGTTCTCTCCCGGCAAGCGAGGATGACTTACTCGAAGTACCATTGCAGCGTGGATAACACCGCAGATTGGAGGCATAGTGGTCGCGCATTCGCCAACCACCCGCCATACCTGGCTCTCGATGCTGGCGTCGCACTTCATCACAACGATCTTGCCGTCTGGGCATTGAGCCGCTCGTTGGAGTTGCTCGACCATCTCGTCATCGGCGCCGCGCCGAGAAAGCAGCACAATGTTGCGCGCTCCATGGTCTATCATGTACTTGGCCATGGACCTGCCCAGTCCGCCGGTTCCACCGATGATCACATGGGTTCCGTCGCTGCGGAAGATTGTTTTTGAGACTCGGTGTAGGGCCTGGACCCAATTAGTGTCTGCCAGCATTCAGTTCACAACAGTTTATGGTAACTCACCTTCACTTGCTCGCGCGCCCCTGCAACCGCCACGACTGGCTGCACGGCACCCTCGGACACCATCCGCAGCCCTTTACCCAGCTCTGACACGGGAACCACAACCGGTTTCGCGGGCGGTAGGATAGCGCCAGTCTCGATGCCCTTCATCAAACTTCGCAAAGTCTCCTCCATCGCCTGCGGTCGCGCCGCAGCAATGCTAGCGATATTGAGCGACGTAAAAGTCGCATTGATACCCAACTCCGCCCGCGAGCTGCGATGGGAGCCAGACGTCCGGATCTCGACAAACCGCCCAAACTCGGCCAAACACTCCGACGCCTCGACCGTCCCTTGGACATTGCCGGACAGCGCCAGAACAACCTCCATCCCCTCGCCCTGAGTCGCGTCATCGACCTGCCGTCGGAGATACTTGGTGCGCACATCCAAGACGCGGTCGAGCGGCACCCCGCAGTCGGTAGCAGCCGTGACCTCTTTCTCATTCTTTGCCAAAGCAAAGACACTCGCGCCAAGGTAGCGTGCTATCTCGATAGCCGCAACCCCGGCAGGCGCGGAGAGTTGCACGAGGACGCGCTCGCCCGGTTGGACTTTGGCGATGTGCACTAGGGCGTAGTATGCGGCGGAGAACGCGGCCGGGATGGATGCCGCTTCCTCCATGCTGAGGCTGGCAGCAGCAGCCGGAGGAATTATGGCGGTGCTGGTGATTTTTGCCCGAGCGTGCGTTCCGAACGGGCCGTCGGCTAGTGCGCAGACCCTGTTTCCGACCGAGACGTCACACACCTTGCGCCCGATCCGCGTTACCGTGCCGCTGCAGCTGCGGAGGATGGGTATGTTTGCTTCGGTGGCGCCGTGGGTGTAGGTGACGTCGTCTGGTGTCAGGAGGCTGGCGGAGAGTTCGATCTCTACCTCGTCGTCTGCGAGTGGTGGTGCAGGCGGTGCGTCCTCGAAGTAAAGGCTGTCGTCTGAGGAGGATAGATTGGCATTAGCGTGAGCGGCAAGCCGGAGTTGCCTATCACGCTGGTGGAAGTCCTGGCGATACGGCGCTGCTGGCCCCAGGGAGCGGTGGACATCTAGGTTGAGTTCCTTGTCGACCACAATCCGCGGGACGACAAGCCCCCCACCGTCCTCGGCAAATTCCATCTCTCCCTCCCCATCGTCACTTTCCGAGAGCACCGACCGAGCAAACGCCTCGCAGATGAGCTCCGCCTGTTGGGAAGCGCCGAGCTTGGAGTCGGGATCCAGATCGAGAGTGGATGCGACGGCGTTTCGCTCGGAGCGTGCGGTGCGGGTCATGCCGAGCGCCATGCTTGCGTTGGGGGCGACGGTAAAGCGGGTCGCCCCCCGCGTCACCCACATCAGGCCTGGGGATAGGGTGAGCAGGCGCTTGACTTGCTCAAGTCCGGTTTCGGTGATCGAACAGAGGATAGGGCCGCTCAGTTCGGAGAGGACGACGAAGAAGTTGTTCCAGTCGTCTATCTTCTCCAGGGGGGTTATGTGTGGTTTGATGCCCGTGGACTGTTCGATCTTGCGGGCCACGGCGGCTACAAGCGGGTTTCGTGGCGCGTCTTGCCCCTGCGCGACGATCACGATGGACTCGCGGGATTTGAGACGTCCTGCCTTTTCAGCGCTGCTTGTGCTCTCCTCCTTCAGAGGCTCCCAGTCAAACTTGAAGCACAGTTCCCGGGGCGCCGCCGGTTCGGGGATGGTCGGCTTCCATGCCTTGAATTCCAACCCAGCAATGGAAATGACTGCCATTGCGGGATCCGTCACGCAGAAACTGTCCACGACAAAGGCGCCAGTCCGTGCATCACGGCTCGAGTGCGCTGAGAAATCCTCACTTGCTCGCTTGCTAAACCCCGGACGCACAATCAGGTGGCGGATACCCGTAGGCAGATAAGCACTGCCATCCCCCTTATTTCCCATTCCCATCCCCTCAAGCTTGAGACTGAGCAGCGGGATTTGCAGCATAGCGTCAATGAGGGACGGGTGCACTTTGTACGGTGTCTCGAACTCCATGGGCATGTCGGACGCGGTGTCGCGGGCGCGGTACCGGGCGGCTGTGTCGGTCTCGTTTGCGGTGGCTTCGAGCAGGGTTTGGAAGGACTTGGGGTAGGACATGCCTATCGATCTGAGGCTGTCGTAGACTGCGGTGTCGGGCCACTCGGATTTTCGGCCCCATGGTCCTGTGGAGCTGAGGGTGTCGGGGGTTCCTGGCACGTTACTTGTGTCGGAGGCGGCGGAGGAAGGGGGTTTGGAGATTGAGGAGGCTGAGTCGGACAGGGCGTCGATGCGGTCCTCGTTGATAGGCGGTTTGGCAGGATCTGTCTGCAAGCTGGCTCCCATGTCCGCTGGGGATGCCTGGTGTTGGGATTCAAGGAGGCAATCTGCTGTCACTGTACCGGTGCAGTGTTTCTGCCAACCACGACTGGCTTCGTACGAGGATATGCCAAACTCGTAGCATCTGTCCTCTCCGCCCTCCAATGGCCGAAAATGAAGAACTACTTCAAACTCAAGCCCCTCAGCCAGGAAGAGCTGGTCCACAACCTTGAAATTCCTGACCTCAAACTGATCCGCATCCAACCCCTCCAGACAAGCTCTCTGCGCCGCGGCTTCGATGACCATGGAGATGAATCCAGCCACAGGGAACACCATCCGACCATGAACCTGATACTCCTTCAGCCACGGCAGGTCATCCGTCCTGACCACATTCCGCCAGGTCGGTTCCAGCTCACTCGACCAATCCGCCAACGACCCGAGCAAATCTTGCCGCGTCGACGGCTTGAGCCGGTGCTGCCGACTGATGCGCGACTCGTACCAGTACTTTTGCCGCGACCAGGGGTATGTGTACAGCGAGGGCACCAGCGCGGGCTTTTCGGCTTCCTCCCGGTGGTGGTTGATCTCGAAGAACTGCAGCGGATAGCCGCGCACGAACAGCTGGCCGGCTGTTTCGAGACATGTGCGTGTCGCATCTTGGCCGCGGACGAGGGTGGGGAGGTACGAGATCTTGGATGCGACGACTGGGCCGAGGGTCTTGAGGATTTGGAGGATGGGGCCTTTGAGGGCTGCGTGCGGGCCGATTTCGATGAGGATGTCGGGACTGTGTTCGGTGCAGAGGTGTTGGGTGGCGGTGGAGAAGCGGACGGCTTGCGTCAGGTTGTCGACCCAGTACTCTGGGCCGAGGGAGGATAGGCTGACGCGCTGGCCGCGCAGTGACGAGAAGAACTGGACGTTGGAGGAGGCCATTTGAGCGGAGGCCTGGATGTGGCTGATTTTGGCGTGGTACCAGTCCGCGATTAGCTTCATGTGAGGGGAGTGGTAGGCCACGTCGACGAAGAGCTTGCGGTTGAAGACGCCTTTGTCTTGGAACATTGCCGCTACACGATCGATGGCTTCTTCGTCGCCGGAGAGGGTGGTTGAAGACGGCGAGTTTTCGCATGCCACCACAGCTTGGGCGGCACCTTGCTTGTTCAACGCGTCAAGTATCGGGCCTAATTCCTCTGCGCCTGCTCCCACCGCCATCATGGTGCCCCTGAGACCGGGGTGGTTCTTCTTGAGCTCGACGATAGCTTGGCCCCTGTAGTATGCCGCCTCCATAGCAGACTCAAATGTCAGCGCACCCGCTGCATACGCTGCGCCGATCTCGCCGCTGGAATGCCCGGTTACGGCCGACGGTTTGATCCCGAACGACATCAGCAAATCAGTCAGCGCCAACTGCACCGCGCTGCAGATAGGCTGACTGATGTGCGCCAAACCGACCTTGGACGAGGTCTTATCCCGCCGCAGCTCTTCAAGGATTGAAAAGTCTGCCCCGACAGCGCGCAGCGCCTTATCCGCGCGGGAAATAGCCTCGAAAAACACCGGATGGGTCCGCAGCAGTTCCCGGCCCATGGCGAACCACTGCGCGCCCTGGCCCGTGTACACAAAGGCAAGCCTAGGCGGTTCACTCGGTGCCCGAGCCGGCGCCACGTCGGGGCTGTTCAGCGATCTGGCTACATCACTGCACATGCCTGCCACCACCGCCACTCGCCATGGAAGATGCGACCGGCGCTGGCAGAGCGTGTATGCGAGGTTCCGCGGCATGGTGGTCTGGTACAACTCGGCGTGCTGCTCAAGCCAGATGCCGAGTTTCTTGACTGACTTGCGCAGGGCGGGCTCGTCGTTGGCGGAGAGAACAAACAGCCTCAAAGGGCTGTAGCTGCCGTCAGCGCCGAGTTCGAGGTCGCGCGACAGCGGCGCCGCGCTGAGCACACACATCGAGTTGGACCCGCTGAAGCCGAAATTGTTCACGCACGCGTACTTGCGCTTGCCGGGCCAGGGCGCCTGTCCCGTGGCCACGCGCATGTTCCATTTGTCGAGCGGGATGGCGTCGTTGACTTTTTCGAAATCGGCGTTGGGCAGGATGAAACCGTAGTACAGCATCAGCACGGTTTTGATGACGGATACAATCCCGCTCGCGCACTCGAGATGCCCGACGTTGGCTTTGCTTGAACCAATGTACAGCGGCTCTTGCGGGGTGAAGTGCTTGCCGACGGCTTTGTAAATGGCCGTTGCCTCGATCGGGTCACCTTTCTTGGTGCCTGTCCCGTGCGTCTCGAAAAAACCGACCTCCTCTGGCCTGATCCTGGCCTCGGCGAAGACATTCCGAAGCAACTGCTCCTGCTCCTCGGGGCTGGGGGCGACTATCCCCACGGTCCGCCCGTTGTGGGCAATCCCCGTGTGGGTGATGACGGAGAAGATGTGGTCATTATCCGCCTGCGCGCGGGCGAGTGGTTTCAGGATTAGACATCCCGCACCCTCGCCGCGAGCGTACCCGGACTTGGCGCGGTGGTCGAACGCGTAGGTCTTGCCTGCGTCGGAGAAGAGGCGGAGCTTGCCCATTGACACCCAGATGTCCGGGTGGGTGATAATGTGGGACGCGCCCACGATGGCTTGTTCGGATTCGCCCGAGCGGATGCTTTGGACTGCAAGGTGCACCGCGTGCATGCTAGACGAGCAGGCCGTGTCGACGGTCAGGGCGGGTCCCCGGAGGTTGAAGTAATAGGCCAGCCGGCCGGCGAGGAAGGCGCCTTGGTTGCCTGTCGCGTCGAAGGCCGGGATGTGGTCCAGGTCGCGCAGGTTGGAGACGCGGTGTTCGGTGTAGTTGCCCCCGACGAACACGCCGACTTTTTTTCCGGAGACGGAGTCTTTGGAGATGCCTGCGTTTTCGAGCGCTTCGTAGGCGCATTCTAGCAGCAGCCGTTGTGCGGGGTCTGGCATGATTCAGGCCCGGGGTTAGCGGGAGCGAGTCTGTTCATGTTGGACAGATGACTTACCCATCGACTCGGCTTCTTTCTTGGTGATGTCAAAGAACCCGGCGTCAAACATCGAAATATCGTCCTTGATGAAGTAGCCTCCCTGGGAATTGAAGCAGCCCTTCTTGTCGGGATTCGGATGATGGTATGCCTTGGCGTTGAACCGGTCCGGCGGCACCGGCGACCACCCGCTCCGCTTGCGGCAGAGCATCCGGTAGAACTCGCCCGGCGTGGAGACATCGCCGGGCAGCCGGCAGGACATGCCCACGATGGCGATGGGCATCGGGGGCTGTTGTTGGGGTTGTTGTTGTTGTTGATGCGCCATGGTGCACGGCTGTTAACACGTACAAAAGAGGGAATATGACGATCAACGACTGACTGGGCAAGAATGGACTTGCTGTGGTAAGGGAGATTGAGAGCAAGAGATCCTCCCTTATTATTATTCGGGTCAGTGGCTCCCTTAGCTGATGTCTCTGTGAGCCTACTTATAAGTGTCCGGGCTAGGTATGGAACTGATGAAGAGATTTTTAGAGTGCCGCCACGAAGATGGACTGTCGATCTTCCCAGTGCCAGTATGCGGCTGCGGCGTCTTCCCTACCTTAAACAGCCCTGCCTCGCAGGTTGGTGGAGAGTAGGTTATCTTGCAGCGTCGGACTGCAAGAAGGGTTGCTGTTTGTCGATCGGATGTGCGCCGGCCGGACGGCGGCATTGGAATCCATGCCCATGCCCATGCCGCCTTGAGAGATAGGGGAACGGAAGCAGCCACATCTTGTTCAAATTGAGAACCGAAGCCGCGGGCAGCGTCTGCCGTACGTTAACGTACAAAATCGTGGACGCCCGACAGCCTGCAGGGCTCGGCGTGGCAAGCCTGGATACTCTGTGAGGCAGGTTATTGCTCCGTACGGAAGATAGGTATGTATTCAGGACATGAGTGGGCAGCGATACTGGGGACTGGCTTCTTGGATCGCTGTGGGCGGGCTGGCTCACCGCAGGAGCAATGCTAGACCAAGGAGTAAGGTGGACGCTCCCGGGATAAACTCGGCGGGCTGGGCAACCTGCAGTGATAGCATCTCTGATCTACCTATGTGGCTGAGCTGGGCCCTGACAGCTTTGACAGCCCTTGGTATGGATCTGTTCAAGCCGGGAAACAGCGCAGCTGATCACCAACCTACAGGTATTTCCAGGACGCTTGTCTACTGCGGTAATAGTGAACGCTCAGGGGTTAACGGATAGGCGTCTTCGCGGCCCGCAGTTGGTGTGGCTAAGAAGCGGTGTGCAGGCTCGTCCGGGCTGCTAACAGGACCATGATATAGGTGGCGTTCACAGATCACCTTGATCTTCAGGCCCAGTGACGCCCCTCAAAAATAAGGGGCATTCCCAATTCCAGCAGAATCTCATGTCTGGCATTCCGCCTGGCCAACCTCCTGTCCGTGGAAGACAGCCTCAGTCTGCTGGAATGAATGCCTTGTTATGAAACTGGATGCTTCCTGCATCTCATTCTTGCAGTGGTCCTGAAGCGCCCCGGTGAAACGAAAGTTGCATGCATCGCTGAGTGGCATTCTTATCTTGTTCTGCTGGTCTGTACCTTGCAGCTCTAGCGCGGCCCGGGGACAAGACAGCCTGTCGGCCGAGACATGTCCCTCGAATCCAAGGCATTATTGGATGAACCATGTTCCATATTCTGTTGCGCGCCAGCCACGTAAGACTGTCACATGCAGACATTTTGGTGCGAGTCTGCGTTCGCGAGTCAAGGCCTGCGAGTCCACAACACTCGGTTTGAGGCTCATCGATACAGGATAGCAGCTAAATTCTTACGTTTTCACCATTGAGAGTGATAAGGGGCGTGTAAACGACATGAAGAGTCTCCCGATTCCGTCTACATTCAGTCCAGACCACCTTGTAGACATTCAACAGACAACAAGACGCTCGGGAATTTACATCAGGTATGTGAACAGAGTCACGTTGATCTTGTATCTACTGGGACTAGTGCGCTCTGGCGGCAGTACACTAATTGAATTGTCTCACGGCATTTCTCAGGAAAAGGAAGAACGCATCCATATCCATCGACATTGGCAATCTCCCCCTCCCGACGGAGAGTCCCATGGCCGCGTTATGGCATACGCAAATCCCCGATGCAGCCAGGAATATCTTTGGCCGATATGCTTCCGGACATGCAGCCCCTGAAGAATTGCACTAGCAGCCTCATGGCGATGAAAATGAGGCAGATGCGCCTCGACGACTGGGCTTGCTGACGCCAAAGGTAAGGTATAGATATACACGCCTGGGTATTCGCGCGGCGTCCCAGCGTACTAATTTGATAGCGCGGTTTCCATCTACTCTTTTGTAATGCGTTTGCCGAGCCACCTCTTGTATCCAGTATCTCCTTCCTTCTTTCATTCCATCTACACTCCTTTGCCTGCCAGGTCCGATCATTCTTGACACCTTGAAAGAACCCTCACCAACAGCCTCACCCACCCCCTTCTCGCCATGAAGTTCCTCTGCCTCCCAGGGGCATATGGCAGTGCCAAGGCAAGTCAGTCTCCAGTCCAAACTCCAGAGCTGGACTCTTTCTTTGAACCCGCCAGCAACATTCTCCCCCTAGCTAACCACCCCCTCCAGAACTTCCGCGTGCAACTCGGCCCTTTAGCCTCCGAACTTGAACGCCGCGGCCTCGCCTCCTTCGTCTACAGCCAAGGCACGCACGAAGTCGAACCACCGGCCGGGTGGGAGGACTATTTCGGGACGCGACCTTTGTACCGATTCCTTGACACACGCCAAGGGGACAATTTTGACAACTTGCGCCGCATCCGCTACGTGCCACACAGCATGAACGCTGAGGACGCGATGCGCATGTTCCAGGACTGTGGTGGCGAGGGCGAGGACTGGCATCAGCAGGTTTGGAGGGACGCGTTGGATGGGGTTATGAAGACGGTGGATGAGAATCCGGAGGTGGATGCCATTATTGGGTATTCCGAGGGGGCGATGGTGGGTGCGAGTCTGGTGGTGGAGGAGGCGGAGCAGGAAAAGAGGACGGGGAGGAAGAGACGGATTAAGGTAAGCCCCCATACGGGACCCGAGGATGCAGCTTTGGGTTGAAGGTGGATTGGCTAACATTGAGGGCTTGTCTCGACTTGCAGTTCGCCGTCTTCATATCCGGCGCCCCGCCGCTAAAGTTTGAAGGCAAAGACCGCATCGTTGCGCAGCTCGTGGACGAGGCGGGTGTTGTGATTGACATACCGACCTTCCATATCTTTGGCTGCGACGATGCCTTCCTCAGCTCGGCCGTGGCCCTGTTCAATGTGTGCGAGCCGTCCAAGGCCACGCTGTATGACCACGGCCTGGGGCATATCGTGCCGCGGGACGCCGAGAATGTCCGCATGCTGGGCGATATCTTTGAGGAGTTGTTGCCCAAGATTGCCAGTGAGCACGAGAATCGTCGCGAAGCTGGCATGGCTTGTTTAGGGGATGGAATGAATGGTTGCGAGGTTGAGGGCACTACTAGTAAGCTAGTAGCTGAGCTTGAAACCTGCGGTAGATGTGAAGCATAGAGGGATGGGTTCAAGGCTGGGAAGGTATAAACTTGGGTGCGGAGATGTAGTATAAGGGGTCTTACTAGGTAGCAGTTCTACACCAGTAATCAGAGCCAGCTCAATTTGAGGTAAAATATGTCAGCAGTGTATGGTGAGTAAGGCCTGGGGCGAGACATGATGTTTCGTGTACCTACTAACATTGAAGGAGCAATCTTGTGATGTTCGTTCCATGGCAATGTCATGACCGACTAGGTCAACCATCTACCGACTTCACCTAAGGTGATATTTGAGATGTTGACTTCAGTGGAAGCTGGAACCCCAATGTTGACAGTGATAGGAGCTGTTTGAGTAGCAGTAAGGTACCTACCGTATAAACTCGGAAAATCCGGAAGAAGCTTAGGCACGTACTAAAGCAAAGCGACGTCTCTGATCGAACTTCCACCCACTTCAAGCCCTAACTTCGAGCTCGCATCGCATCAGCAAAGTTGAAGCGCATTGCAGGGTGCCAAGCTGAGATTGGTCGCTGGGCTTAGTACGTGCCTAAGCTTCTTCCGGATTTCTCGAGTTTATACGGTAGTTGGTAATCGCACTGAAGCTTGTTCATGGCATACCCCCTAGCCTGAGTTGAGCGTCATGAGCTCGCAGCGTCTGCTAATCACAGAAAGGCAGGAGAAGTAGCACGGATCCCTTTCCCTGGTACCGCACATGGATCATCTTCCTAGGCGAGCGTCACTTTAGGAGATAAGATGTTAGTAAAGTAGAAGACTTTTATACATGACAAAGTCTGTAGAGCACTGTCATCGGGGTATCGTGTTGGTAGGCAGAAAGCGGCCTATCAGGACGAGGACTAGGTATTAGGGTTGCACCTTCGACTTGAAGAGAGAAGGGATTGTCCTGATTGCCCTGAATGCCATCAGGGATGACAATCCAGGGGCTGTCGTAAATGGGCCACACAGCACTCTTTAAAAAGGCCTTGGAGATTGGCTCGTACTTGTATGTATTGTACAACTTACCTGCTTCTACCCTGCTTAGGACCGTGCGGACGTTAGGTTATAGCTTCGCTACTATGCCGTGTTGTGGGTTTAGTGTAGTGGGTTTACACAATCTTCGCTAGCCCTAGAGGTGGGTGCGGCGGGGCCTAACACTGAACCTGCTATGGAAGGACTCGAGTCGTGACTGCAGGGAATCAAAGAAGTCGCAGTTATCTTGGGTGGATGGAAACCACGGGCCTCGGCGCATTAGATAGCGCTAGGTAGGCCCGGATTCCCGGGGCAGGGTTGCACAAGAGTGAGACAGGTTCGTAGAGGATGGTGTAGGAAGGTGTGCTAGCTGCATGCTGCAAGGTACGTGTTTGTCAGCTCCGTCAAGGTGTCAACCGCATTGTCAAAGAACTTCTTGGCCATTACGAGAACCAAAAGGGAAGCATCTCTCATCCACCGTCCATGATCTTGACCTTTATTATCGGGTTCCGACCCCACCCTTGAAAAATCGATGGCACGCAGTTCCACATTTCAGGTTGACGGCGCCCGAGAGCGCCCCACTGCCACAAGTTTTTCAGCTCGGGTACGCGACGCTCAGGCCCGCGGCAGAAGCCTGATCGGGAAAGGAGGGGTGATCGGACGCCGGGCATCTCGGGACTGCTCCGGATCATGATTGGCCGGGTTGGTAAACGTACTCCCGGGGTACCCCGCATCAAAGGAAAAAGGAGGCGTCCAATTAGCCATTGAAATTTTGAACTTTCCCATCTTCGTTTGTGGTCGCCGATGAATGCAGGTGCAATGACATGAGGGGTGTCTCGTCGGCTGCTCCGGGTGAGGTACTACTGTATGTCTTTGAGATTGGGCTGGTTACCATTGAATGCGGTGACTGACCCGGAGTTACCTTAGTGTAGTGATGTAGTGATGTAGTGGTGGCCCGGGAGAAGGGGATGGTGCTTTATTATACATACCAGAATGTACGGATACAGGGCTGAGCCAACACTCGAATTGTGTTCATCATGAAACTGCTGAGGGCGGATTCCATTTCCAGGGCCGCGGTAAGGTAGCACCGTAGCACTGACAGATCGTACCTGAGCCTGTGGACACTTCGGCTGCAGACCACCAACATCCAAACTGCACCATCCTTGGCTCGCTGCAGTCTTCACGTCCCCAGGCCAGGGCACTCCTTGTCACCACATGCACGATGGAGCCGTCACTGCCCGTCAGCCCGATGATATGTCAGACACCGGTCTCCCACTCCCGTCTCGCTGGTAAGTTGTCTTGTCTTGGCACCGCGCATCTCTTGATCTTTCCAACACTCCAAAGTTCAAAACACCATCGACTGAGTTTGCTTTTTGCAGATCCCCATCATCCATGTGAGGGCTAGACAGCCCGCAGTCGCCTGGCCATCACCAGACCATGGAGACACCAGCAGCGGCGACGGTCGGCCTGGCGCAGTATATCGGCCATGTCGTGCCCGTGACCTACGACCCGGGCCAGCTGGTGCTGAGCTACATTGTCAGTTTTGTTGGTGCCGTCTCGACGCTGGAGCTCATTAACCGTCGGACTTCAAGGAAGGGTTACTATAACAAGTACGTTTTACCCCTTAAGCTCTGTTGCCATGATATCGTGGTGGAATGGTCCGGCTAATCCTGTGCCATGACAGCCTCCTCCTGTTAGGCGCCTCCATAACCATGGGCGGCGTAGCCATCTGGTGCATGGTTAGTATGCCACCAGCAGACACCTACACCTACCCCCACAGCTCCAGTCACGAACACTTTGCTGACCCGCGAAGCACTACATCGGCAACCAAGCCATCCGCCTCCTCGGAGGCGAACCGGAGCTGCAAATCGTCTACTCAGCGCGGATGACCGCCGCCTCGTTTTTCGTTCCCATCCTTGTCCTGCTCATTGCCTTCTTCGTGGTCACAGGCAACAACAACAACAGCACCGAAGTCAGCTGGTGGCGGGTCGGGGTGTCGGGCACGCTGTCAGGGGGTGCCATCTGCGGCATGCACTACCTGGGCAACGCGTCCATCAGCAATTACCACTGCGATTACGCTGTGGGCAATGTGGCTGGGTCGGCTGTTATTGCAGCTGCGGCGAGTACTGTTGCCCTCGCGCTGTTTTTTGTGTTTAGGAGTGCCTGGACGGGGTCGTGGTGGAAGAGGATTGGCTGTGCGGTTGTGCTGGCGGGCGCCGTGTCGGGCATGCATTGGTGTGCGGCGCTGGGGACGAGGTATACGTTGCTGGTTGTGAATGAGGTGGGGGAGTATGGGCCGAGGAATACCACTTCTGTGGTGATTTCCTGTCTGGTAAGTAAGCCATGGAAAAAGGCCTTGCGCATGATGGTGAACACACGCTGATGGGATAACAAACAGTCGATCTCTGCTTTCCTGATTATTGTTGGGACGACCATCTACTCGGCTCGCATTCGCAAGGGCTATGCCGCAAGGGCACAGAGGATCACGCTTGCAGCGGCCGTGTTTGACAAGCAAGGGAGGATCTTGGTGACGCCTGATGGTCTTTTGCCAAGCGAGGTTGTCACCAGTAGCTTTCTGCAAAAGGTCAGCAGTCCTCATACCACCACACGGGCTTAGCCCCATCATGCTCACCATGTACATAACTGACCACTGTCTAGACGGACCACGGCATCTTCTCAACCGCCCACCCCCTGTTCCACTGGATCTTCCAGGCCTCTCGCAACTGGGCCAGCATATCCGCCCTGCTGGACAAGATGACACAACACTTATGCACCCTTCCACACCGTGGACGGAACCCGAGGATGGGCATCGACCTGGTCGACCAGCAGGGCCGTGTGATCGACAACTACGACACCATATTCTGCGAACTCTTCTGCCTGGCCGCCGCCTCCCTAGCCGCCAAGCTGAACGAGAACCTGATCGATCTCGGCTTTCTCTGGGACGAGATCCTCGCAACAGGGAGGCACACGACTACCCCCTCCATGTCACTCGACGAAAACTCAGCCGGGCCATACCCATCAAAAACCGCCGCAGAAACCACCATCCAGAACCTAGATGACGTCGCAGAGAAGGGCATCGCCCCCAACCGGACCAAGACCCGCGGTCACGGGTACCTGATGTTCCTCGTGCGCCGGGTAGACGACAACCATGCCATCGAGCAGCTGACCGCCGCGGGCTACCGCTTCGCCGAGCCGCATCAAGTGTCGCACATCATTGCCTCGCAAATGCAGATCCGCGCTCCAAGACTAGAGCTGAAAATGCGTGGCATGGAGCGCTACGCGCAGGGCGCCATGCTGAATCCTGGCGTGCATGTCGGGCTGTTTGCGGTCCGGACTAAAGTGCATCAGGCCGGGTTTGATGTGCTGGTTAGGACACAGGCAAGGAATCTGTTGCCGAGTGTGGAGCTGCCCGGGCTGGATAGGCTGGAGCCGGGGCATGTTGCGATGTTGAGGGAAATGGATGGGATGACGTTGAGTGCGGTGCTGCACCGGTTGGGATCGTCATATGCAGGCAAGGTAGGGCTGGGGAATTCGGCTCAGGCTTCAAATTTCGGCGCGCTGCTGTACGACGCAATCCGATCCCTGCGAAGCATGGTCGACGACCCAGTCGTGGACAAGGCGAAGCTGGTGGCCAAAGTCGCGCAGGTCCCTTGCGCGTCCACGGCGAAGAGTGGCGGGCGCCCGGCGACGTGTGCTTTTGTTGCGTTTACCATCATGATACCCATCCACGTCGCCATCATCTCTCCTGACCACGAGTTCATTCCACTCCCGTTCTTCAAAACGCAGCAGCTGGCTTACGAGAACTCGCCGCACAATGCGGTATTCGCGCGGTCACTGCATCGCAAGATCTCGGCGCTCAGTCACGGCGAGGCAAAGCCCGTGACGAGGAACACACTGCTGCCATCGACCGGGTTTCGTGGATATCTCGAGGTGATGAGGTCCAAGATCTTCTCATCATCATCCAACCGGCCAGTCATCCGCAGGGCCGCGAGTCAGGGTCGTCTCTGGCGCCAAAACTCAGGACGGGACTCGCCGAGCAGCCGACATATTACTTTGAAACCCGGCAACGAAAGCGACATATCCCTCGCACCATACGGCGGGAACAGTGGAGATCCTGAGCTGGGTTCTGATGCCGTTGTCCCTGAGCCAGACACACTGAGTAAGAGTTCAGGGGTTGGCTCGGAGTACGGCGGCAAGTCAAGTTCACGAGGCCCCGGGCCCGGGCTGCACCCATCGAAATCGTCCATGGGCGGCATCATGATCTCGCAGGAGGTCACTGTCGATGTGGAAGAGGACCTGGCATCTGACGGAAATACCGGTGTGGCACAACAACAGAAGAGTCAGCGGGCGCTGCGGGATCTTGTGGGTGGAAAGGTTCAGAACCTGCCTAGCCTCGACCCGAATACGGTCCCCGTCGTGCTAGGCCCGGGAATGGGCACGTCGAGGGTAGAGGTGAAAAAGGAGGGTGATGCGGTGCTGACCTTTGTGGATGAGCTTTTTGCGACTTGTTTGGAGAGCGGGCAGGCCGGGCGTTTGTGAGGATTTGCAATGATGTGGCGAATGATGGAACGCACTTTAATGTATATTATGGTATTAGATAAGGTATGTTGCTCGGTGCAAATGTGGTGCTAGCCACAGCCAGGTGGTAGTACTAGTTGCTGGGTGTTTGGATACCTTATGCCACTGCTTTGCAAAAGCATTAGGCTGGAAACATGACATGTTTGATTTTCTTCGTCTTCCGCTTGGACTGAACATCCCGTGAGACCGATGTGTATACACCAGACTCCTCATGTTTTCCACTTCAGTTCAGAGCCAACACCTGCGTCTGCAGACTCGATTCCTACGGTTGGGCAACATGGCGACTGCCGGTCCGCCATACCCTTTCTTGCGTCTGTCAGAGCGAGTGGAAAGATTGGTTTAGATTAAAGAAAGATGAAGAAGAGCGCTGTGATGGTTTGCAGGTCTATACATTAGGTGCCTTCGTGTCACCGGGCCGGGCGGCGGCACAGCGTTGGGTGCATGCCCGCCCAACCGACGGGTGGGTTGTTGGTGCCATGGTGGTTGGAGGAATCGTGCTGCAGCGACCCAACCGGCAGGTGTGAGTTGTGACCTGCCGTTGTTGTTCCACTCATCATAGATGCCACTCAGGCAGGTTCCATTGCTTCGTTCCTTCCCCAAAGTTTATGACCACACACTGCCCCAGCATGGAACACTTCCCAGATTCGACCAAATTTTCCAGACGATTACTTGCAACAGAATCACTGATTGGCATTTGCCGCGAGAAAGTTTCTTCAGTAGTCGCTCACTACGTCGTTTATCGCGTCGATGGAGGAAGCCTGCGCCATGGATGGGCAACATGCGAGCAGCTTCTTTGCCATTCCAATCGAGCTCCGACGTGCTGTGTATGCGCATCTACTCAGCACCGCAGGCCAACACATCCAATACATCACCGGCGACGATGGGATCCATCACTTTAGGCTCACACCGTGCATCGTCTCGGCAAAGTGGGACGAAGAAGAGCTGGATGGAACCGAGCGAAACCCCGACAAGTTGTACTGGGTCTGGGGACCTATCTATAAACGTCGGCTTTCGTCGAGCTGGGGTCCGCACTGGATGTGCGAGGAGTTGGCTTTCAACTTGCCCGTGTGTGAGCATGCCCACTGGAAGGGTAGCAGCACTCAGGAAGCAGGGGATATAGCGCCTGCGTCGTTACGCGGTTTCGCTTCTGCTTTGAGGGTTTGCAAGAGAATGTGAGTCGCCTTCGCCTTCTCTTTCTAGTCCATGTCCATGTCATATCAGATGGACATTAACGGTTCCCCAACTGAAGGTACATGGAGTTGGTCGAGGAAGCTACGACAGGGACAGACTTTCACGTTACGGACCTACGGACCCTCAAAGCAATGCTCGACCACAGGGCACCTGCTCCTGCTCCTTACAGCTTCGAAGGCTCGATTTGTCCCTGTATTTCCAAGCTTTCCATTACACTGAGTCTACCTTTGGCTTTCTTCCAGGCGATCGAGGCCGTTGTCTATCGCGCCTCTCCCGACTGGGAAATTGCATCAACCTCGGACATCGAAGACAACAGCGTCGGCACCTGGCTTCATCTACACTCTCGTCTGCTCATTCAGCTCCCAAAGCTTCGCAAGCTTCGCGTCTGGTTGGACCATAATAACGATAGCTATTGGTCAGTGGTCGACGAGCGAGCGATCCTTGCTCCCATGGAAGCTCTAAGGACAAGCAATCCCTCACTCGAGCTGGTCTGCGTCCTCCCCAAATTGCACCCTCGGATCGAAGACCGTCAACGACACTACCTATCAGTGGACGTGGACGAGGAGGAGGAAAGCCCTTCCCGTCTCGTAGTCCATCGCTTTATGCGCCAACGTTACCGTGTTGTTGAGGACCGCGATACAGGCGACAAGACCGTTACTATTGTGCCGGACTTCCCCGTTTTGTACAAACACCCTTTATTTGATGGGCGGCCCCTGTTGGATGTGGAGGACTACGAGAGGGCACTGTGGCGTAGTGGCCTGGATGTCCGCCAGCATTTCATGTGGCTGAGGCCCCTTTCAACTGATTCACCCGAGTTCACTTCCAGTGGCACGGAGCACGAGGTCAATGATCAGTCTCCGGCATCGTACACATACCGTATATTCTCGAGCAATTGAACAAGACTTACTGCACGGACTAAGGCAAGGGACGTATCTAAACAGACCTTCCATTCTCCTCAAACCCTGACTTCAACCTCACATCGCGTCAGCAAGCTTGAAGCGCATTGCATAGTGCGAGGCTGGGATTGGTCGATTTGCTTAGTCTGCGCTGTAGATCTTGTTCAATTTCTCGAGAATATACGGCAACCTGAACCAAGTCACTCCATTGTCCAGATTTCGACTTACTAAGAACGATAACAGAAGTACCTAGCCTAGCCAGCTTGCCAATTCAACCGCATATCTGATTTTTTGCCATGCAAGACCAACATATGGCTCCATGAGCAGACATGGGCCAGATCATCAGCCAAATCGAGGGACAACCACCCCACTGGTCAGAGTGGGCTAATTCGCCATGTACCAGTACGGGCCGCCTACTGCTCCCCAACAAGAGGCTAGGTAATAATAGGGCCGCAGCTGCATAGGGTCCTGAGGTTGAGACCCAGGCATGCCAAACAGTAACCGTATATGTCTGGTAGCATGGATGTAACTCAGGGCCAACACCGTCTGCAGTGCAAGAGGGAGAGGAGAACCAACACCCAAGAGCGTTGAACCAACGCCTCCTACGTGACCTGAAGTATGGGGAACCGTAAATTGCAGCCAAGTAGTGAGAATAGCGCAGCTGAGCTGTTTTTATCAAGCTGAATCGGCGCGGCGGTTGTTGGCCGTTTACCCGCGCCGGCTATCGTAGCACAGGTAGGTTACGATCTCGAAAACCCTACATGCGGTACATCATGCATCTTGTTGGTCTGTTTGTATGTCACTCCGTGGCGGAGTTTTGAGAATGATGCGAGGTGCGTGAATAGAATGGTTATAACAAGATGTAGACCATCGTGACGCCGATCAGGAGATGTAATATCACGCGAGCGTCGAGTTGCTGCAGTGGTTCAGTTCTTCCTTTGCGCTACTCCTAAATGTACGAGAATAATTTGAAGACAACTGCTACAGGTAGGCAGGTAGGGAATTTCTTGACGACTTACACCGGCAACCATACCTCCAATTCAGGGGTAGGCCGGGCCATCTTGGGTCGGGCCTATGCGTCCTGAGTCTTCGCCGCATCTTTTCAAGAGAATAACATCTCGACGGTTGTGCCATTGGAGCTGACAATCTCGAGGGACTGGAAAGGATTGTATTATTGGTCTCGGTGTTGCTCCGAATTTGCCATGCGGCATAAGGCGTCCTGTGCTATATGCACCATACTACTGCTACCTTGCCGAGTAAGGTGTGGTATCATTCAGACATCCGTGGTGATGGGCCAAATGATTACGGCACAAGTGAGCTCGAGACAAAAGAATAGTGGGTTTGAAACGGGTTGTTCAAACCAACCGGAACTTAAGAAGAATTGTCTTGTTTATGTCTAGTTAAGGTTATTTCAGGGGCTAGGGGAGAAAGCACCTGGCTTATATGTCACGACTACAAGCAGCCGCCTCTAGTTTCTGCAGGCGGTTGAGCCTTACCAATACCAAAAAGGTATTCTACACTTGCCTGAGAAGTACTATACTCATATGATCAAGGGGAGATGGGGGATAGAAAGGAGGCACTATCTATAGACTTCAATCTTAGCTCTGACTAGTATTCTCTCCTGTATATATAGGTATCTAAGGATGCACTCACTGGTTCCTTTCCTCAGCTTCTTGAAACAAACCAGATACCGGACCAAACTCACGATATAAACTGGCGGACCGTTCCCGTCACGACGACAAGCAAGTACACGAGTATTCAGATTTGACACGTTTCTCAGCAAAAACCTTCAGAAATCTTCTCATAAGATCGTCGCTCTGACGCACTATTGCCTTGTTTACTTCCCGTCTTCTCACCATGAAGTTGAACCGCTTCGTCATCCTGTCCCTGGTGGACATTTGCATGGCCCAGAGGTGGAAGCTCGACAGAGGCTGCGGTACGTCAACTTGCCCATCCAGCTAATCAGCCATAATAAATCCTGCTAACGGATAGTGGAAATCACGCAGACCATTGGGGGGCGGCCAACAAGGAAAAGCTCAAGGTCGCTTTCAGAGAGGCTGTCACGATGGCCGGAACGGCGCTTGATGTCTTGAACAAGAACCCTGGGGACCAAAAGGTCCAGAAAATGGTCAAACACATCTTTGGCGACGATGAGAAGCTTGTCAAGGAGGCGAAAGGTAAGTAATATCCCTGTTGTGCACGACCTTCGCACAAATGTCCCTATGTGAATTGTACCTAGCTAACCAACGGGGAACCCCAGAGATTCTTGGGGGCGTGAAGAAATACGACGACCAGCCGAATCCATACTTTGATGCACCGTTTTGGAGGAACACCGACCTCGTAAGTCTAGCGTCTGACTTTGAACGCTCAAGTCAGTCTGCGACCCAAGAGGTGCACCCACTAACTTGGTACCAATCAACGTTACTATAGATTGTCTACTGCGATCCGTCCAACTACGAGGAACACCCAGACAAATCCACCCATAAGCTCTTTAACCTGGACCTCCCAAAGGGCTCGCCGCACAAGAAACAACATGACGTGTGCTTTGCTGCCAACCCGCAAAGGGACGGCAACCTCGTCATGGCCATCACCCTTCGTTCTGAAGGGGTAGACCGTAAGAAGTACAACGCCGCTATCGACGAGTGGAAGAAGAAGGGAAGCAAAGGCACGGCCCCAGACGAGCGTGCCTATATTGTCTCGCGGGAGGACATCCCAAATACAATGGACCTCTGCACGTGGTACTTGAGGGATGTATTCAACACCAACGCCGGCTTTGTTACCGTAGACGACGCTAGCATCGCCAAAGTCCAACAGAAGAGCTTCCTGGACACAATTCCCAAGGCCGAAAGGGCCGTCGACCAGTTGGTCCAATCCCTGGCAGGGACGTTTCTGCACGAGGTGAGTCAATGGCAACCCGAGCTGCCGATACTAGTACCACGAAACACAAGCACTGACCCTATCTGGCACTATCTAGCTGACCCATACGTACTTGGGAGGTCGAACGTTTGACTACTCCTACGGCTGGGTCAATAGTGGTAAACATCACCCTCGCAACAATGCGGACTCGATGGCTCAGCTGGGCGTTGCTATGCATCTGTTCAAGAAGGGATATTGGGTCGATGACGACGGCAATGTCAAGAAGATCCAGAAGTAAGTGCGTCGCCGGCCGACCAAAGGGGAAGAGAGGAAGATGGCGAAAGGATTGGATTCCATGGTTATGCTGGAACGGAGTTGAGTTGCGACATTAGAATGGATTGGAGTTGAGTTGCCACATTAGAATTCAGATGGCGGGACCATCCAGTTAGTTAGGTACGGTATGTACCTAGTCTGCCCTTTAGGAACCTAGTTGTGCTCTTCCTTGCAATCGTTATATAGAGGTTTCCCGAGACCAGAGCTGGTTTCCGGCTGAGTAGAGCTGTCTGCACCCGAGGTGATAGGCATATTTATTGTCCAAAATCATGGGGTGTTTCAACTTGAAGTTCTCCAGGTCTAACAAGAACCCGATATGACGGCCCAGGTTCTGCTAGGGGAGCAGGAATTCTAAGGATCATGAGGTGTTGAAAGCTCCGAATAGAAGCTGTCAATAGAAGCTGCACCGATCCTAGCCCTTTGTCCACTTGATTCGTCTCTGAATCCACCGCAGAAGAACCTCGTGGTCGAAATGAATGTCTAGGTCGGCCAATGGCCAGGAAGACATCAGCTGGGCCCTCCAAACTTCCGTTAGGAATAGGTCATTGAGAAAGAGTCTCGGTCCGTGGGTACGCGGACCGAATGGCATCCCACCGTTGGCTGGGATGTAGAGGTATTTGGCACTTGGTGAAGAGACTTTGGAGCGGCCATCGTCTCAAGCATGGTGGAATTTTCGACAGCTCAGCCATTCTGCAGGACGGTGGTCGCAACATCAAGCAAGGTGCCCATACATGCGGATTGCCGCTGAGTGGAGTGGTGTAGGGCCATATCTTCTATACTTATTCTAATGCAGTACCACTTGCCAGGTGGAAGTCTGAAAGACGAGCTTCCGGGAGATGGAAGAATCCCACGATCAAACCGGAGGCAGATTTGTACTTTTGAAGACTTACCAGCCACCGCGTCTCAGAGACGACGACGACAATGGCAGTCACTCTCGCAACGCTGATCTCCACCCGCAGGTATCCGTGTGAGCATTCTGCCTTCTGCCTTCTGCCGTATCCCGTCTCCGGTGCATATACGCTATGGCGTAGCATCAAACGCGGCGCCGGCTAATACGCTCTCAACGGTTGCCGAATGCAGGCAGGAGATGTCGGGGCCAAATAATGCCATGTGCTAATTGGAGGATCCGCCGAGGCACTCTGCAAGGCACCCGAGGAATGAGATTTGCCCTTCAAGCCGTGGCCGTGCCGCAGATCATTCCGTCTGAAGTGCTGGGCGGCGAAATCGGCCAAGCTTGATCGTGCGCAATTCTGCCGATTCGCAGTGCAAACCGTAGTGTTCTTAAGGTTGATTGTTCGGCGGCATTCCTCAGCAGGGTGCAACCATGTCCTGCTCAGAAGTCAAAACTGTGATTGAACTGAGCCCGCAAGCCGCGCGGCTCATCGCCACAACGTCTGAAGAAGCCCGTACAAGTTCATACAGTAGGCGCTGCTGGTCTGTGACGTTGCGTAAATGGGCCGTCACATGATAATAAGCGCAGTGTCCCTAGTAAGGTGTGCGGTGAGGGATCGGAGCGCGCCTGAGCGTTACCGTTGGAAGGCAAAGAAATTGCTTTGTGCGAAGGGTCTCGGCGGCTGCCGAAAAGATCACTTGCATTTCTTGAGTGGCATGTGTTTGTTTCACCAACGTCATTGGTCCCTCCACAGATGATGTTACCCGTGTGCTGGAGGCCGCCCCAACACCCCAAAGTTTCATTGTTCAACCGCCTACCTTAGAGCGCCGGATCAGGATGGTGGGTGAGGTTGGAATGGCCGTCCGTTTAATAGGTAAGGTACGGAGTAGGTAGGTATGTACTGAACCGTAAGCCCAAGATCCGTTGGACTCAAATCGATGACCGCGCCGCCCATAGCAAATTGATGCCACATGCGTCGGGCGCCAACAGCATCCGGTCGGGAAACAGGTGACTGTCGCGCTCACCTTACCGCCCTTTGACAGAACACGATGGTTGGTCGAATCCCAATCGCTCCAGTGGACGACGATCGGGGAGCAGCATAAACGCCAAGGAAAGTCCAGCTGGCAAGATTTTATACCTTGATGTGCACTTGCCAAGTACCCTAGTTCCACTACCGATTGGTACTTCGTGGGTTTTGTGATGTAAGAGGCATCTGGCCGTTGACCCCGTACAGGGTCCGTGCTTGTTGGATTCCTCGCACAGTGTACCTACGGTACACAAGCACCATTGGGTCATTACAGTGGCATTTGCGCCTGGCCGTCGGCGCCGATAGGCCCTGTGGCTTTGACAGAGGCCCACTAAGCGCTTCGCATGTTGTCTAGGCACAGTAGTTTAGCACTGTGCTGTCCAGCAGATTCTCGCACTTCAGGTTGTTTGTTTGTACCTGACGCCAAGAAGGCTAGGCATATCTCATTTCATTCAAAGGAAACGACTCTCCTCGTTGACGCACGCCGAGCTTTGTTTTCTTGATTTCATCCAACCTGGAATCTGCCTGCCCAGTCCTCAAAATCCGCATGCCATCGCCTCTCTCCCCTCGATCGCGTGCCTAGGGAGGCCTCTTTCTAAGGCTCTCTTCTTCGATTAGGTTGCCGCCAACGATTAAGTGGGGATTGCATCATACGGTATATTGGACTGCCGATTGCCCAATCGACTTCCATTGGGGACGTGGCCGCGAATTCAGGTCGTGAACCACATCTACCATTTCTCGTGCGCTCTTGATTCACCAGAGAGCTCAATCGCGCAACTATTTGCGCTCAACGTTTTACATGGCCGATTCAGATGCCTTGGGCAAAGAGGTTCGTTCCTTCCCCTGGATTTGCTTCATCGGTTTCCCCATCCCCATCCCCACATATCGGCAAGCCATGGCTGACCTCTGCAGCCCTTGAGCTCCACACACCCTTCCCAACACGGAGATGTGCCGGTTGCGACAGCGCCGGCTACGACGCCAGCCGGCGCCGCCCGGCGTTCGGCCCGGTTCGAACTCAATGTCCACGATGCCCTGACCCCGGAACGGAACACCGAGGATATGTTTGTTGTCAAGGACAACAAATTCGCATTCTCGCCTGGTCAGCTGTCTAAGCTTTTCAACCCCAAGAGCTACGACGCTTTCTACGCGCTAGGCGGTCTTGCAGGCTTGGAAAAGGGATTGCGCACCAATCGCGATACTGGCCTGAGTGTCGACGAGACGACGCTCGATGGCGCTGTTACGTTTGAAGAAGTTGCGCCGAAAGGGACGCCCAAGTACGGCGCCAACGGCGATATTGAACCCGTGGCGACGAGCGCCAACCCCACCGCGCCGCCGCCGGCGCACCATGGCGGAGAGAATACGTTTGTAGACCGGAAGCGCGTCTTTAGGGATAATAGGCTGCCGGAGAAGAAGAGCAAGACGCTGCTACAGCTGGCTTGGATCACCTACAACGACAAGGTGCTGATCCTGCTGACCATCGCCGCTGTCGTCTCCCTCGCGCTTGGCTTGTACCAGACCTTTGGTGTTCACCACGAATCGACTGATGGCGCGAGTCTAGAATGGGTTGAAGGCGTTGCAATCATGGTTGCTATCATCATTGTTGTTGTCGTGGGCACCTTGAACGACTGGCAGATGGAGCGCCAGTTCAACAAGCTTAACGAAAAGCACAACGACCGTACCGTCAAGGTGATCCGTTCCGGCAAGTCGGTTGAGATCTCGGTATTCGACATCATGGTCGGCGACGTCATGCACCTGTATTCCGGCGACCTCGTGCCCGTGGACGGCATCTTCATCACCGGACATGGCGTCAAGTGCGATGAATCATCTGCGACTGGCGAATCCGACCTGCTAAAGAAGGTTCCGGCTGACGAGGTGTTTGCCGTCTTGGAGAACATCGCGGAGGGAGGCGAACCCCCCGAAGACATTGAGAAACTCGACCCATTCATCATCTCTGGCAGCAAGGTCAATGAGGGCACCGGAACCTTCTTGGTGACCGCCGTAGGCGTCAACTCGAGCTATGGCCGGACCATGATGTCGATGCAGACTGAGCAGGAGGACACGCCGCTGCAGAAGAAGTTGAACGGTTTGGCTGATGGGATCGCCAAGTTTGGCGGAGGTGCCGCTCTACTGCTCTTCATCGTTCTCTTGATCAAATTCCTGGCTCAGCTCCCAGGCAACACCGATACTCCCGACCAAAAGGGCCAGAGGTTCCTCCGGCTCTTCATCACGTCGGTCACGGTCGTTGTGGTTGCAGTACCCGAAGGCCTGCCGCTGGCCGTTACATTGGCCCTGGCGTTCGCTACAACCCGGATGATGCGCGATAACAACCTGGTTCGCGTTCTCAAGGCTTGCGAGACAATGGGAAATGCGACCACTGTCTGCTCCGATAAGACTGGCACTTTGACCCAGAACAAGATGACGGTAGTGGCCACCACTCTAGGCAAGAGCATCAGCTTTGGCGGGACCGATCCGCCTTTGGATGACGAGGCGGCGGCGGCCGAGACGGAGATTACGATTCCTAATGTGTCGGTCAGCGAGTTTGTAAAGACGATGAGCGATACAACCAAGCATCTCGTCATTCAAGCCAATGCCGTCAACTCCACCGCGTTTGAGGGCGATGTCGAAGGCGAGAAGACATTCATTGGATCCAAAACCGAGGTTGCCCTGCTCACTCTTTGCCGCGACCACCTCGGTGCTGGTCCCCTGCAGGAGGAACGCGCGAATGCAAACATCGTCCAGGTAGTACCCTTCGATTCGGCCGTCAAGTATATGGCAACGGTTGTCCAGTTACCCAACGGAAAGTTTCGGGCCTACGTCAAGGGTGCTTCGGAGATTCTGCTGTCCAAGTGCACCAGCATCATCGCCGACCCGGCCAGTGAAGAGCTAACTACCACCCCGATGACCGAAAACGATCGCGCTCAGTTCTTGCAGACCATTACCTCATATGCTGGACAGACCCTTCGCACCATCGGTTCGTCATATCGCGAGTTCGACTCATGGCCGCCCCCGGAGCTTGCGGGCCAGACGGAATTGACGGCCGTCGAATTCGACAAGGTCCATCAAGACATGACGCTCGTGGCCATCTTCGGTATCAAAGACCCACTGAGGCCTACGGTCAAGAACGCCATCAAGGACTGCAACCGCGCTGGTGTGGTCGTGCGCATGGTTACTGGCGATAACCTGTTGACCGGCAAGGCGATTGCCAGAGAGTGCGGCATCTACAAGCCCGAAGAGGGCGGCATCGCCATGGAAGGGCCCGTGTTCCGTCGCAAGAGCGAGGAGGAGCTCAGGGAGCTTGTGCCACACCTCCAAGTCCTGGCTCGCTCGAGCCCCGAGGACAAGCGGATCCTGGTAAAGACCCTGAAGGATCTCGGCGAGACGGTTGCCGTGACTGGCGACGGCACCAATGACGCGCCGGCTCTGAAGATGGCCGATATCGGGTTTGCCATGGGCATTGCAGGTACAGAAGTCGCCAAGGAAGCAGCCGCGATCATCCTTATGGATGACAATTTTGCGTCCATCGTGAAGGGCATCAGCTGGGGTCGGGCTGTCAATGATGCGGTCAAGAAGTTCCTGCAGGTAGGTGATGGCTGGTTTGCACCCGGTTGATTGATCGCACGCTAACAACATCTGCTCGATATAGTTCCAACTCACTGTCAACGTCACCGCCGTCGTATTGACCTTTGTTTCCGCCGTCGCCAGTGCCGAAGAGGAATCCGTGCTCAAAGCAGTCCAGCTTCTCTGGGTCAATCTGATCATGGATACCTTTGCTGCGCTCGCTCTCGCCACGGATCCGCCTGCGCCGTCCATCCTGGACCGCAAACCAGACAGAAAGTCGGCTCCCCTGATCACCACCCGCATGGGCAAGATGATTATCGGACAGGCCATCTGCCAGCTCGCTATTACCTTTGTTTTGCACTTTGGAGGCGCACAGCTGCTCGGTTACAACATGGCGGATAGGGAGCAGGAGAAATCGCTCAACACACTGGTCTTCAACACGTTTGTCTGGCTGCAGATCTTCAATGAGCTAAAGTAAGTCGCTCCGCTACTCTACGTCCCCATGGGTCTTTCAAAACTAACGTGGTTCAGCAACCGCCGTCTCGACAACCGTCTCAATATCCTCGAAGGCATCACCCGCAACTACTTCTTCATGTTCATCAACCTCATCATGGTCGGCGGGCAAGTCCTCATTATCTTCGTTGGCGGCGACGCCTTCCAGATCAAGCCGCTGAACGGCAAGGAATGGGGCCTGTCTATCGGCCTGGGGGCCATCTCAATCCCATGGGGTGCTCTGATCCGCAAGTTCCCCGACGAGTGGGCCGCCGCCATGGTGCCCAGGATCAAGCTGCCCAAGATCAGGCTGTTCGGCAAGAAGAAGCCGAAGCAGAAGGACCTTGACTCGGAGAAGGGCCCCGAGTCCCCGTCGCTGGACGCCGAGGCCGGCCCGTTCCCGCCTCCGAAACCGCTTCGTACCCTGACCAGCATCCGTGGTAAGCGAGCTGAGACACACATCAGGAGAGGGTTCAGGGAGTACATGCATGATCAGAAAGTCAAGGTCAAGGCGAAGGCGGGCAAGGGCGGCAGCAAGACGGATGTGAGTGTTGCTGGGGGAGTAAGGCCGGTGGTAGAGGCGGCTTGAGCGGGTCGCGTTTCTCTTTTAATCTCTGGTTTTTTGTGATGTGATGTGTTGCGTGACGAGAGCGGGATACCCGAATACCGAATAGACGCCGGATATTCTGAGGGAGGGAAGCGAATTTGCTGTTTTTTTTGTTACTACTTATTGTACGGCCTTTCCTAATACTCAGCGACGGCAAAACGAAAGTATTCTCTTCTTCGTTTGAGACCAGATAGCCTAGCTTATTTTTCGAGTTCAATGAAATGATACCTTCAATACCTACCTTCGTGCTATGACTATGACTATTGGTGACATTTGAGCGGGAGTGTCTTGCGCAGTGCCTGCTTGGGCAAGCTTCCGTTGTTTGCATATTCTAGTATGAAGCATTAACTTTCAAGTCGTTAACCCATAGCTTCCTGACAGGCTGACACGTGGGTCTGTCAATGCTGTGTAACGTAAGTCCAGGCTGGTGGTTCTTGAACGATCGGAACAGAAGACTAAGTACCTCAACTACACGAGGTACCTGGTCGAGATGCTGGTCAGGGTTACACACAGCCTTGCCGACTGATATCCGTGATGTGTGCTGGCATGTCATCCGAACCTACCAAAGTAACACTGCATGTATCCGTAGGAGAAGAGGCAAGGGCTGTTAACTTAGGTAATAAGGCTGCCACTGCCGTAGACTTGTCTACATACCTATACTTCCCCAGGTCACCACCTGGGTGGACCTGGTTGAATCTATGAGTGGTGCTTTTAGGGACCCGAGACCAGGCAGGCAGCTGAGGTGCGCTTGGGTGAAGTCTAGTTATAACTTTGGTGACATGGACTTTCCACGGCACGCGAACGCAAAGCCCAAAGTCCAAACTGATCATCTCTGCTCTAGCTGTCTGCTGAGGTGAACGTTACCAAAGACCAAACACCGGCTGGCTGCAAACGATTGACGTTTGGATCTGATCTGCTGTGCCGCCGTTCGATGCGGCGCTGCTAGGTCCCATCACGAGACTGCGGGTTTCAAGATCTGGCATCTGGTGGGACGGGTCGGCTGTCGGTTACAAGACGGGTGCAGAGTGGTGTACTTGTTTGAATGTACATACGGAGTACCGTGACACCGACGGAGTACGCACAGCGGCACAACAGATGTCCAAACACGTGGACGGCAGGGATTTACTCTGTAAGGAGCATTGGACGACGGCAATGCCAGTGGAGAGAATTGAAACGTCCTAGTGGTTGTGCTTGAATGTACGGAGTAGGCCGTAGGGCTAGGTACTGGATCAATATGGACCTGGTAACCACCTTGCGGATATTGCTGCCCGAGCCCGCATCCGATAGGTATGTACAAGTGCAATCGGTTCGTGCGTGGCCGTCAGCACGATGGGAGATGCAGTTCCGGAAACTTCCCCTCACTCTCCCACTCCTGGATTCCGCATCCTGTCGTCCACCAGGGCCGACTTGCCAGTTTCTCTGTAGCGGCAGAACAGGCTCGACGCCAGTGGCACACTAGTGGCTTGTCCTGGAGACGCGATGCTCCCATATTTTTTGTTCTCTGTAGGGCCCGAGCTCTCGTCCATGCACGTTATCTGCGATCGCCAGGGGCAAGGTTAATTGGGGTGGAGTCTTTTTGGGGATGCGAGCCAACGGCGATGCTGCCTTTCGAGGCTGTCTCCACAGACCTCACCACTCCGGGAATGGTCCAGTTGAGGTCCCCACGATCCCCTTGCGTATCCACTTTCCATCGAGTCTCCAGTGCTTTCCGACCTTCTGCTCCTGCAAACACTTCCCTGATGCTCCTCCTCTCTTCTCCGCGCTCCCTCCTAAGCCCTTGTCTCTCTCTTACAACCAACCCCACGATCGCTTGACCCTTCGAATTGCTGAATGCTGGTGAACTGGACCGCGCATAATTCACACCGTCCGTCTGTCGCTCCTTAGGCCATCGTCAGTCCAATTCATATTTCGCAGCCTCTCCGCGTCCTCGGCGTTTGCATCGATCCCGGGCGAATCAAGGCAAAGCAAGGCAAAGCAATTGGTACTCTACCAACGACGTCAATCCAATCGCTCAAGTTTCTCGCGGAACGATTCGGGACAGTCGAGCCACGACCACTGGAACCGCGACCAATCGACCGGGCCGTCACTGGAGCGACGTCGCAAAAATCCAGCCACAGTCCTCAATCACATCTAGACGAACGCGCTTGGTCGCCGAAGCAACGAAGGGGCAACCAATCTTGAACGCCGCCTACATCACACCCAGGTTTTTGCCATACGTACTCGCCGGAAGAAAGAACGATCATTCATACCCACCCTCACCTACTACCCGTCACAAACGCAGTCTATCTAGCACCATGGGTCTCAACCTAATCGACCGCATCCAAGCCAAGATCGAGCTCTTCCGGCTCGAGCAGCGCTACACGCGCCGGCGCCACCGCCGCTCGACCTTTGTGTCTAACGCCATCTACGTCGACGGCGAGTACATCTACCAATCGCCCAACACGACAGGGTCGTCGGCCAACACGAGCAGGACCGTCGACTCGCGCATTACTACCACCACCACCCCCTCGGTCGTCACCAGCCCGTCTCCGACAACCCCCGCCCCCGCCGCCATCGACGCAAAAGCGCAGAAGCGGCTTAATCGGTGGTCGTCTATGCCCGGTTTCGGGTCAGGGTCATCATCCGCTGCGTCCAAGTTCCCCAGCATGCCGGCTGTCTCGGAAGCGCAGGAATGGAGGAAGAAGAGGGTTAGCTTTCACGATGAGCGGTGATCGATCTCGAGAGAGAGATTGGTGTTTCGGCATTGCATATCTTTTTCTCTCGCTTGCTTGCTTGCTTGCTCAAGGAGGGGTTCGGTTGAGCTGATTTCGAGGGAGCCATTGACGAATTGGAAGATAGTCGTGGATGGATTTCCTCCGAAGCCGGTTATGTCATGGTGACATTGTTTCGGCTGTTTCCTCCTGCTGCTGCAGGCTAATGACACCCCGTACGCCGACGCACGCGGATCCGACCATCCTTCTTTCTTTTCATTAATGACACACGAAAAAGCTCCTTCTTCATGGCTGGGCTCGGCATTATTAAAAGGAGCATTTTGTTTCACGACAAGGCATTGTCCGGTCCGGTCTCATCTCGGCAGGCGCAATACTTTGGTTACCTTACATTTCTGGATTGTTGGTGGAGTTTTAGGAAGACCGGGTTATGCCACGCTATTTCATCCCAACGAGATAACAGACGGCTACGCGTTTGGTTGATGTTGGGCAGCCCCCGAGCTGCAGAGGCGATTGTTGTGGCTGCCGTGCCGACGCCGGTACTTTCTCGCGACGCCATACGGTCAATGTATCTACTCGACGACGGGCTCTGCTTCTCAGGGCCTAGCTGAGATTCGACGCCTACGCTGACCACGGTCAACGAGATGTTCCATGTATATACAGGTTAATGACGGTATATGTCCGGTCTCTGAGATTTCTTGGTCTGCGGTCCGCATGGCTTCCTCTTCTTCGCTGTTGACGTAATGTGCATCGGACGTCAAGATTGCCCATGCTGGCGGCTGGCACGGTGTCTTGGCGGACGCAGTGTCCAGCTGGCATAAACGTTTGTACGACGTCGGCTCTTCGCGGATGTGTTTGTTTCATTGCCAGTTTCAACTATGGTCACGATTCTAGCAACTACATACGATGGACGCTCCCCAAGTGGAGCAGCTAACATGAAGGATGCTTCCAAGGTCTGGTATGGTACTAATGCGAGTCCGAATTACAGGCTTGACCATCACAGTCTACGACCATACTATGGCCTCTCAAATCTCAACCAACCACGCCCACGCCTCTATAGCTTGTCATACAACCTTGCTCACTTCTTCTTCGCCATGATGATGGGGCCCTGGCCAGGGAGGTACGGCAGCCCTGCAAGAGAAACAAGGTCAGTTTAACGACTCCGCAACACGCTTGTTCATCCCTGGGAAAAACTTACAGTCGTCGAGCTCCTCGCCCACCATGTCCTTGACGGCGCACTTGTTCATAGCCGCCACATTCTGCGACTTGAGCGGCCGACCGTTCTCGCACGCATTGAACATGCACGACGAGTCCATGGCGCGCTGCAGCGCGTCGCCCTTCCAGCCAAACACATAATCAGCGTGCGTCCCGTACCCCTTGGCATCACCGCCCTCGCCGAAGCTGAGCACGAACGGGTTCGACCCGTCCGCCGGCCACATGTTGTTGAACTGGGTCGTGTCCCAGAGCGTCTCGAACGCGAGCTGCGGCATCCGCACCGGGTGGGACGCAGGGCAGGGGCCTGCCGGAGCAAAGGCCTCGCGGACGGTGTTGAACATGTGCGATTGGTGGTCTGGCGAATCGAGGTTCTTGCCGTCCCAGCACGCTGGGAAGTGGTGCACGGTCATGATCCCGCCTTTGCATGGCCGGGTCGGGAAGGTGGGGAGTTCGGGGAAGCGCGTGCCCTTGTTCTCGAGGCACACGAAGCGCAGGCCGGGGTTGCCCCGGGAGCCGTCGGCTGGGTTGTAAGTTGGGCTGCCGACCGTCATGCGGAAGCCCTGCGGTGGTGGGTCTGTCAGCAAAGGGGTTCCGTCCTTCTTCCATCCTCCATATGTGATGCGCTTACCGGCTTGAAAGCGGTGATCTTCTGATTCCCGTTCGAGTTAAAGTCCTGCTGCGTGTAGTAGATGGTCATGCCGCCGTTGATGCCGTTGGGCAGGGCCGTGTTCTGCATGATGGGCACGCGCTTGTACGTGCCGTTGGGGTGCTTGAAGAACATGACGGCCGTCCAGTAGTTGGAGAAGTTTTCGGAAAAAGTGCACGTCGTGCAGGTGCTCTTCTCGGCAATGTCCCCTTGCATGGTGGCGTTGAAGCCGTTGCCGCCCACGATCTGGTGCAGGTGGGCTGACGGCAGCGCGCCGGGCTCGACGAGCGGATCGAGCCGCTGGATGCTCACCGTCGAGCACCCGAACCGCAGCGCGGCCTGTGAAGGCCCGGCTAGCGCGAGAGTCAGAGAGAGCCACTTCATCTTGGGACTGGACTGGACTGGACTGTTGCGCGTCGAGAGTCGGCGGGTCGGTCGGTTTCTCAGGGGACGGGAAACGGAGGACGAGCAGGTGGTAGGGTTCCTGCCTCGGGGATATATACTGCTGGGTCTCCACGGCTCCCTGGTTCCTCCCGCCCCCTCTTGCCGCGTCGAGAGTTACCTATCGCCCCCCGAACCGCCCAGGCTACATGCTCATCTATCGTTCGTTTAGACGCGGGGTGGCGGCGATGTTCATTGGACGGCATGTTCCCCTGGCTTGCAGACTGACAGTTGTTTACACATGTAGTCGACCATTTCCATGCTGCGTCTAGAAGAGGGAGCATGGGTGAATAGATGAACAGGCAATTTCAGTGCATTTGCCAGAACCGGTTGTCGATATATCAACGGGACATGCGGAGTAATCAACCAGCCAATGGCTTATCAGTCCGCACTCCATCTTATTATTCAACAGAAACGCCCAGCCGCCCGAAACGACAGCGTCTCCTTCCACTGAGCGGACGACCCTCTTTCCCGGCTTTGTCCCGGTGGACTGGGCCTTGGCAGGACAGACATCTGCCGGTGCTGTGCCCTCAACAACATCTGCCGAATGAGATTGGCGGCGGGCATATCTGCCTGCCGGCCTACTATACAGTGACCTGCCATTAACCGGTAGCCGGATGAATGACACACAGCCCTCCCTGACATTGAGAGTTCAAGAGCCCCACCCCCGTTTGTAACTCAGGGGCAGCCTGCCACATGGCGGACGGCATGTTGCCGAATGCGAGGGCTGGTTGGTGACCCGGGTCCGGTTGTCTGGCCGAGAAACACAACAGCCCGAATGAATATCCAGTCCTGGTCAGTGGATTTGATTTAAGATGGTAGATTGGTATGACTGCCGGGTGATGATTGCACTTGTTCTAGCAGGTTCGAAGGAATTATTATCACACGTCAGTCGACTGGATACAGCAGGTTTGAGTTTGTGGGGACAGACATCATGTCTCTGCCCCCTGAGTATCAAAAGTGTGAGCAGCAAGATATCCAGGGCAGAGAACATTCCCCGATGCTGCTGAGATTCGCCATTCGGTAATCAAAGTTGAGAGAGTAATTGAGTAGGCCATTGATGACTGACTCCGCCTCTGGCGTTGATACGGTAGCTACCTGACCCCAAGTTCACCGGTAGTTCTCTCCCATATCCCACCTCCCCATAATAACTTCCAACCCATCACATGCCAAATCCATCAAATGAGAAAGCGAAAGACACCGAACCCCAAATCTATGAAACCGACCCAAGAATATTGGACCAAGAAACGCCCACTAGACGACATGGAGCCTCAAATGAACCCTCTTCCAAACCTAGAAGCTTCTCGATACCGACGGTATCCGTCCCGCCCTTGCTCCTCCTGACGGATGGCAACCCCCCAATGCTCCGTAGACACCTTGCTCCAGAGGTAGCTGTCCTCGAGCTCGTCGTCTTCCCAGAAGGTAGCCTCCGTCTCGGCCCAGCGGCCACGACCATCCTCCCAACGGCGGACGTGACGAGTTTCAGTCTCAGTTTCCACGTCTCCATCCCGGAAACGGACTTGCGGGAATGCAGAGCGGGTGTCAGGGCGCAACCGGTGCATGGATGGTAATCCCTTAGCAGTCTCGGTCTCGTTGTCCCCCACCCGCCGCGCCGTGGTTGTGGTGGAGAGGTCCCAGTCGAGCGTGAGATAGCCCGTACTCGTAGCGTGATGGCGATGGTGATCAAGCCGAGGCCGATCTTTCCAGGTTGGGTTGCGCTCCGATTCTGAGTCTTCGGCAACATCTGCCTTCACCTGCTGCCACATGATCTTGGCCTTGGCCTGCAACCTCTCCGCCTCCCGGTCCCGCGTTAACTTGTTTTGCCTTCTTCTTCCCAACCGGGCCTCCTCCTCAATCTCCTCACGCACCCGGTTCACAACCTCGTCTAGAACAGACTCCCCAACATGACCCTGCCGGGTCTTTCTCTCCTTTTCCTTCTCTTCCCTCTCCCTCTCCACCCTCTTCAAATCAAACCTAACCACCTCTCTTTCAGACCTTTCCACCCTCTCCTTCTCCTTCCTCTCACTCCGCGCGTAGTTGTAGTACCTAACCTCAGCCTCAAATCTGTCCCGCTCGCGCACCGCCTCCCGTTCCCGTTCCCGTTCCCTTTCTTGCCTCGCCGTCGCAGCAGCTTCCCGTTGCAATTCCAGTTGTAGCTCGCGTTCGCGTTCGCGTCTGCGCTTCTGTTGCGCAGCAAACGACGCCTCCAGCCTTGCCTGCTCGAGCATCGCCTGCCGCAACCCCGCCTCCCTTTCCTCCAGGGACAGCTGCATGGCGAGGCTGACGGCCGTCTGTTCGGGCTCAGGCTCTTCAAGTTCCTGGTGCTGGCGCGGTTGGGATTTTGATTTCTCAAGGGATCTGCTACTACTACGAGGGGTAGTAGTAGCTTTGGTCTTGTTCTTGGTCTTGGTGTGGGTGCTGTCACGCTGCTGGCCTAGCTCCCGCTCGAGGAGTTCCATGTGCAGGATCCTGCGGGCTTGCTCGTCCTCTAGCACCCACGCGTCCAGCTGGGCTAGGATAGTTGCTTCTGAGGGTGGGTCGGACATTGTTCCTCTCTTTCTGTGCCGGTGCTTTCGGGTTAGTACAGGACTCTGGGGGGGACGAGGATGGGCGAAGGGCAAGACGGGTCCTTGTTCAGAGGCCAAGTGGTTCGATACATACACCTTGGTTGTGTGGCAGGTACGCTTGCGGTTACCTTGTGCCGTACTGGCGGTGTCTGTGTCTAGGCGAACTAAACCAAAACAAGCGCAACACAGCAGTGCTACGAAGCAGGGGCTGCTTTTCTTTTTTCTTGAGGCCTCGCCAGAATCATAACAGAATGATCGGCGACGATGGCGATACTGGCGGCGCCGGTGCCGGTGAGAGGCTTGGAAGGACGGTGGAACGAGCCAAAAGAGATCGTGGTTCCCCGGTGGGCGGGAGTAGTTCAATCCCATCTGTGGGTGGTTTACGTTGTGGTCCAGCACTTGGAGCTGGGTCGCAGGGTGAGTCGGCAGCATTAAGTATTCCATATTATGCCTCTCCTCTGCTCTCTGACATAAATGCACTTCACCCCGCCTGTCTGTACCTTCAAACTGGTGGTACACGCGGAAATCCCGGCCCCATGCTGCCTTGTTGATCAGCAGAATGGAGTTGCTCTGGTCCCAGTCTGGAGAAAGAGTCAACCTTGCTCAGACAAAGGGAAGTACGACGACAAGAGCAATGGCTCTTAGAACTGCGCGGCTCTGGATTCCCGTCCCGGATGGCTGGGAATGGTGGGCGTTTGTTCAGAGCAAGCCTTTGTATGTACTGACGGTACCACCAGAGCGCTGGGCTGAGCTCGCCATAGCCGGCAATCCCTACCGATACTCCCAGAGTAAGCCCACTCACTTCGGAACCCATAACCCGGTTCTTCTCACTATCAATGATACACTCTCAGCTAGACTCAGCGGTGTAGACAGTGGACTGTGGACGGACGGTAGCGTAGTAGGTTGTGCCGGCGGTAAACGAAGCACAAAGAAACCAAGGTAGTACAGCTTGGAAAAGTCTAGAACTGAGAGCACTGGTCATGGACAATAGCTGAGTTTCAATGGAGAGTCAAAGGTGCCGATCGTAGATGCATCGATGTGGTGATCAGGGGGCGAACGGCCAAAAGTCTCGGCGCCTGAAGAGCCGGTCTGCTGTAGGGGCGACGCAAGATGCATCGCCGTGTCTTCATTGCGTATTCCAGGCTTCCCGTGGCCATGGCACAGGCTCCAAGTGACGTGGATGAGCTTCTCTCGGAATCGGCATATAATGGCCTCCTGGATAACGCCGGTCGTGGTGAACTTGAAGTCGGACCTGTCATGGTGGGCCGCCGAAAGGTGGGTCGAATCGGGCTGGTTCGGCGTTTGCTCCGTCCACCGGTGCCCACAACTCCACCGCGGTCTCCACCCGCAATTCGGCAGGGCTGTTGACCTTGCGGATGGGTCTAGACAAGTCCCACTATCCACATATGTCACTGTCAATAACGCAAGCGTCAGTGGTTTAGTGGTAAAATCCATCGTTGCCATCGATGGGCCCCGCGTTCGATTCGCGGCTGACGCATGGCGGCGTGGGAAAGTCCTAGCAAGGGCTTAAATTTCTTTTTTGGCCTGGTTAAGATTCGGTACACCATAGACAGTTGTGCGATGGCGGGTTAGATGGGTCGCTTGACCTGATTGAGAACCAATGCTTCCTAATTTTGTCAAGAAAGGGGAAATGAAACAAAAATTGCATCGGAAGGGGAGGGTCTTGATGAAATCTCACGAAGGGGCATGGGAAAAAAAGGTGAAAAAATATGGAGACTCGGATACCGGGAGTCGAACCCGGGGCTGTTGAGAGAGCAGTCACTCCTGAGAAGTGAGAGTCAACGATGTTACCGCTACACCATACCCGATCGAATCGTGTGTGGTTCCGATTTGATGGGAGATTGCACGGCATTGGTGCTTATGATTGACCAGAAGATGGCCATCTGCGTCGCCATGAAGATCGCATTTTAGGGTACACGATGGAAGCCGATTGGGAGGATCCCAGCGAAATTCCAAAGTCTTGGCCGTTCCTGCCTTGCTTGCCCGTAGAGTGAACACGACTGGCAGGAAAGCGTGGATTGGGCGATGACGCACTGCGCGTTGTTTGTGCACAGCGCCTTCTTGAAAAACCAAGCATCAAAAGCCAATCATCTCCCAAAACACAGCATTGGGCACGCGACAGCAGTCACCCTACGTTTGTGACGTCAGTGCCTCGCCCAGCCCAACAACACGCAACGGGCATCAAAGCACCAGACAGATTGCATCACCCAAGAAATGCCAGTGTCCAAGCATTCTACCATGTTGGATAAAATTGATAAATGGTCGAGACCTGGACTTAGTCGAGTCCATCTTCAATTCGTTCCCCATCCTTACCACTTACAGCAGCTCAGGGTACCTGGGGCTTGAATAAACAGCGATTCCTGCCCAAGACTCGTCCTAGACCCCATCGTCGCCAGCAACAATGCGGCCTCTCCCCGGTCTTCCCCGGCATGAGGCGGCGCCAAACGGCAAGGCAGATCCCCGTCGGGCCTCCCTCTTCAAGCAGCTCGTCTGGTTTGTCATCGACTGGATCAAGATCTCGTGGAAGGATGTGCTCGCCATGGCGATCCTCGGCGCTGCCGCCCTAAGTGTATGTCTACATTACTCCTCCAATAGCACCACTCCAACGGTCATCTTCATGTCCTAACCTTACACCAGATCTACCGCGCCCCCCTCGCCGCAGTCCGCAACTTCCCCATCACCTTCACCGAGTCAGGCGACATCGTCTACCCGGAATTCGCCTACCCCAACCGCAACTGGATCATCTCCCCCTCCCTATCCGGCGTAATCGACGCCGTGATCCCCATCGGGATCATCCTCCTCGCGCAGATCCGCATTCGCTCCTTCTGGGACGCCAACAACGCCATTCTCGGCCTCCTCTACTCCCTGATCCTAGGCTCCCTCTTCCAGGTCATCATCAAACAGCTCATCGGCGGCTTCCGCCCGTACTTCCTCGCCGTCTGCCAACCCGACATCTCCCTTGCCCAATCCCACAACACCACTGGCTTGAATGCGGTCGGCTTCCACCAGATCATGTACACTTCTGAGATCTGCACCAACCCGGATAAACAAGCCTTACAAACGGCCATGACTAGTTTCCCGTCCGGCCACGCCACGAGCGCGTTTGCAGGCTACGTGTTCCTGTTCCTGTGGATGAACGCCAAGCTGAAAGTCTGGGCCAACTTCCAGGCGTCCTTCTACTGGCTTGCCCTGCTCGTCGCCCCGCTGCTCGGCGCCGTGCTTCAGGCGTGCGCCCTATCTGTTGACCAGGCGCATAACTGGTACGACATTATCGCGGGTGCGGTGATTGGGACTGTGATGGCGTTCATGTCATACCGGGTTTGCTATGCGGCAGTCTGGGATTGGAGGTATAATCATATCCCCCTGACGAGGAACAGGACGTTTGACTATGTCGCCGCGGGAGCGCTCGTGCCGGAGTATATGGAACGGGCGCTGTTTGTGCGGAAGTTGGGGTGGGGACGGAGAAGGAGGGGGGTGGGCAGGAAGACGTGGAGGGAGAAGAGGAGGGAGCCTAGCAATGCGAGCAGTGCTACTTATGCGAGGGATAGCGCGGTGAGTGGGTATCCTGCGAATGGAGTGAGTTATCCCGAGTCGGCGACGGTTAGGGGTAACGGTCAGCCTTATCATCCCAGGGGCGATAACATGGTATAGGCGATGGTTTCATTACTTATGTTTCGTTCAACTTTCTTAAAGTGTCTTGTTAATCTGTATAAGTTTGATACCAAAGAGACAGCACTCACGATGTAGGTCTAGTATTACTGTACTATTTTCATTAGCATAACATAATTCTCTAGTAATGATCACTGCATGAATGCCTATCGGAAGTTGTTTTTCATACGATGCTTTCCTCTCTACTCAGTCTGGGGAGACAGAGGAAGTACCACTTCCAACTACTAAATCAAGGAATTCAGAGCTCTTATGATCAACGAGCCCCATTGGCAGGGAGGCTCTCTTCAGTGTACTGTATCCAATTCAAGTCCTCCTGGCCGGGGGTAGCATCTACCTCTTTACATATGCAGGTGGTATAGCCCCTAGTTACAGACCCCCGTTCTGCAACATCAGCGACGAATCTTTTACATTCCGTAATTGTATCCGTAGCTTCAAGCATCTACCTTCGGACTGAGGCATGACGGTGCATGAATGAGATGCCCCCTGCGCCGGCGCAAAAACGAAGCATAAAGTCCCCCCGCTATGTATACGGCCGCAACGCTGATGACAACTGGCCACTGGAACGAGTTTGGATCTGACCAAATGATCGTCAAAGCCCAAGACAGCAAGTCACACACATTCTGGAACGAGGTTTCGACAGTGGAGAATATCCCCCTTCGATCGCCCTGGACCTCCTGGGAGACAGTTAGCACAGCCACCCTTGCGCGGGAGACGGAGATAGCACATACATCCTGCACGATATTCTGCACCGACAGATCAAAAGCCCAGAGCCCAACCCGACTGAACGCCACAGCAACAGTAAGCCCAGCAGCAGGCATCAGGTGGGTTGATTGGTACCCGTGAGCGTAGTAGGAGAAAAACCACGAGATGCTGCCAGCAAGCCAGGTCATCTGCCAGGTGATCGCCCACAGGCCGGTACGGATGACGCCGATACGTTTCATCAGGCGGGGTGCGATCCAGGTGGCGCTGAGCTCGAACAGCGTGGAAACGCCGCGGATGATGCCGACCTGCCACAGGTTGATATTCGAAGCGAGCAGGTAGGTTAGCATGTGGCCGGAGAACGAGAGGACGGTCAGATACGACAGGGCAAGGGAGAAGGAGGGGATGGCGGCTGGATGGCTGAAGTAGAGGCGCAAGGACGGAATCATTATGACTTGTGATGCCGTACGACGAAGCCATTGACTGAACGCGAGACGCGGTCGCGGGCGGGTTTGTCCTTGGTGAGCAACGCCCCCGGATGACTGGCATGTCCCCGGGGAGGAGGAACGGTGGAGAGCTGGGACCCGGCGATAGACCTGCAAACTCTCAGTACATCCTCCTATAAACACAATTCCATGAACATACCGTCTCAATGCAGAAATATTCCACCAGCACCGAAGCCACATTCATCCCCAGCGTCGAATAGACCGCCACGGGGACCGACGCCGCCGCAATGAACGCAACCGTCAACGGCCCCAGCAGCTTACAAAACAAATCAATTCTCCGCATACGCGCATTCATCATCCTCCTCGCAACCTCATCCCGCTCAGTAATAACCACCACCCAGTCCCTCTCAACCGCAACCAAATTCACTCCCGCACACAACTTCTCCACACACGCCAGCACCACACTCACCGCAAACAGCCCATCCAACACCCTCCCACTCAGCGCCCCTTTGCTCTGAGGGGCGAGCATGACCCAAAAAATACCGCACGAAACCGTAACAGCCACGCGCTGCCCGACAATAGACGCGCGGACTACCGTCAGACGGTTGGCGCGGTCGATCCAGTTGCCCACGGGCACGGTCAGCGCGATGGCGGCCGCGTTGCGGGCTAATGCGTAGACGGAGATGGGCAGCAGGTTGTTTGGGAAGGCCGAGGCAAGGAAGTAGACCACGCCTGCCTCGAACAGGCGCGAGTTCCATGTTGAGAGGAAGTGGGAGGTGTAGAGGCGGAGGGTTAGGGACTTGGAGACGGTGGTGGGAGGGGGTTGGATTTGAAGTGGCTCAGGGGGAGCAAGTGCAACGTGGTTAGGCGGCGAGCTGGGGTCTGCGGTGGTGGGCGGGTTGGCTGGTTCTACGCTGTCGCTGGGCGAGTCAGGCTGCTGAACGGACCGGTCTATCGTCGTTGATTGTGATACAACACTGTGTAAGTCCGCCGCAGCGGATTGGTCACTGTGCATCTTCTGTGTAGCGCGACTCACGCCCTGTGTAACTGTGCTGTGCCGAGGACAGCATGTGGCGTGTGCGGAGAAAGCTTCCAGTGGAGTCCCGGGGCCAGCGACCCGATTCGGCGGGTCCCTGCTCCGATGGCATGCCGACTTGGCGCCGTGAAAAGGTCATCAAGCCAGGGTTTCTTGGCGGTTCAACAGCAATGGCTGTCGATCCCAACCCTTCGTAAAAACCCAACAACATGCTGTAAATACCTATCCACGTACAGACATCCAACCTGTGGGCGAGATGCTTTGTTAGGCTGGGGCGAGCTACGCCGATGCGGCCCAGAAGCAGCATGGATAAGACGGCGCAAAGTGAAGCCTCCACCTGTCTCCCGTTTTAAACCCCACTCCACTCCCAGTCCTCCTCGAACTGACTCACCGTCAAACATCCATTGAACTCAACCGTTCGGGACGGCCCCTATACTCACCATGGCGACCACGGCCCTCTTCATAATTGACATCCAGAATGACCTCGCGACAGACCCAAAGACGCAGATCCCCTATGCTGAGCGAATCCGAGAAGCCGGCGACAAGATCCTGTCCGCTGCACGCAGAATCGTAGACTCACAGCAAGATGCCCAGCCTTCACCAGTCCTCGTCTTCGTGCAGCACGAAGAGAAACCCGAAGACGGCCCTCTTATCCGGGGCAGCGATGCTTGGGGATTAGTCTTTGAGCCCCGTGCAGACTGCCGGTCCGAGATGCTGGTCCACAAGAACACCCGTATGTCATGTTCACCAACAGTGACAATCCCCGCGGTTCTCGTCCTACTTACTGACTCCATGGCAGGCGACACGTTCCAGTCGAACCCGGACCTGGCCTCAACCCTCAAAGGCATGGGTATAGACGAGGTTGTGGCCTTTGGTATCCAGAGCGAGTGCTGCGTTGAGTCGACGTGCAACGGCGCCCTTGCGGCGGGATTCAAGGTTACCTTGCTGTCGGGGGCGCATTCGACTTATGATGTTGGGGGTAAGACCGCTGTCGAGGTTGAGAAGGAGGTTGAAGAGCGGTTACGGGCGAAGGGGGCGAGAATTGTTGACTGGAAGGATGCGGTTGCAGGGTGGGAGAGGACTGGTAGTCTGTCATGCTCTTCCTGAAGGTTTCTAGTCAAGTTCCCGAAATATTCGGCCGCTGGTCTATGCTCTGTTTTACAAGCGACCAGCACTTCTTCATACCCGTTCCCATCGTTACGAGGGCCTCCTGCGAAGCCCATCTTTGGTGTGCGTCCAGCTCAAAGACTGGCTTCCCCGGTTTAGCAGTATCATCTAAGTCGAAAAGGTGGACGTGCATGGTCAACCGAAGATGCGAAAACTGCCAGGGGATGCTTCCAAGTTCTCCAAGATGTCTGAGCGCCGGGGCTGGCCGAGGGTTTGTTCCCTTGGCTTCTTTCGTGGTGACAAGGCTCGAAGCGTATGACATGGCCATTCTCTTCCTCTTGGCCGCGCTGACGTTCGAGTCTGGAAGAACACAGCTAGGCATTTCCCATAGCCCTGCGAGGAGCCCCTTGTCTGGTCGTTTGTGAATCAAGAACCTGCCATCTGGGCCACGTATGGCGCAGACAAGAGTCTCCTGTTCGGGAATCGTCTTTTTGGGCTTCTTCAGCGGAAACTTGCTTGCGTGATTAACCGCAGTTCCAAGCATTTCTTCGGATGGGTGCTCCGATCGGCCGGTCGATGCAAAGAATCGCGATCGGGTCGCTCGTTTGCTGCTCTTTTTCGACCTGATCACCGTCTTCTTCCCTCCATCCAGCTCATGTTGCCCTTCAAAAGACGAACAAAGATCGCAAAGTTCCTCAATGTCCATCACCTCTCCACATTCCCTCTCTCCCTTAGCCAACGCCAAACCCTCCCCATAAGCCCGACACGTCTCAGTAATCGGACACTTCCCGCAGTTCGGCTTTGGCGTGCAGACGGTGCTCCCCAGCTCCATCAGCGCCTGGCCCCATCTTCCCGGCCTATCACTTGGCCCTCCTTCCGGGTCCTCATCCCTCGCAACAGCCTTAACCAACTCCCCCGCGGCATCCCACAGCACCTCCACCACCTTCCTATCCCCCTTCACATCCCCCAAAACCGCCATCTGCCGACTCAGCACCCTTAGCACATTCCCATCCACCATGGGCTCCGGCAGGCCAAACACAATCGCCGCGATCGCGCCCGCAGTGTACCTCCCCACCCCTGGCACCTTGCACAACACCTCCACGCTACTCGGCAGCACCCCATTCATCCCAGTCTCAGACTCAGAACCATGCCCACAAACCATTCTCGCCGCCTGATGCACCCTTCTCGCGCGCGAGTAGTACCCCAACCCAGCCCACACTTCAAGCACCTCCTCAAGCTGCGCAGCGGCTAGATCAGAAATAGTCGGCCACCGCGCCATCCATTTCGTCCAGTAGTCGATGACCACGCTGACACGGGTTTGTTGGAGCATGATCTCGGAGATCCAGACTTCGTAGGCGCGTTGGGCGAGTCGGGACCGCAGTTTGAGGGGGTCTTGGTCATGGTAAGAGGAGGGGTTGGGGTTGATGAAGGGTTTCCGCCAGGGCATGTTGCGCGCGGTGTGCACCGTCTCGAACCAGGTTAGGAGAGACTGCCGGGTGGTGGTGGAGGTCAGGAGGAGGGGGCGGTGGTAGGATAGGGGGTGTGAGCGGGAGGGGAAGGAGGGGAGGGGGTAGGTGATGTTGGTATTGGCATTGGCATTGCCATGGCCGGGGACGGCGGGCGTGGGTGAGGATGGGCTGAAGAGGGTTTGGCGGATTTGATGAAGTTCGGTTTTGAAGCTTGAACCGGGCTTTGCCCAGGGTGTTGTCGCTGTTTTGCGTCGCTTGGCTGGTCTGCTGCAGTCGGTGTCATCTGGCTCTGATATGGAGATCGCGTCGTGAAGCGCGTCAGGGTCTTCGACTAGAAGTTCGTTTTGTGGTGGCTTGCGGCCCGCGTTTTGAGCGGCTATACGGGCGCTTTGCCTGACGCCCATTGTGCCTTTGCAGCCGAATTGCAGTCGCCTTTTGACTGCTCTTTTTCGTTCTTCCCCAGGTACCTTGCTCTTAGTTCGGGGTTAGAGAAGGTGGAAGTCGCGTTGAGCGAGACAATATGAAGGATTTAAACCCTAACCCTTGCCATGCTCAGGGGAGGATGACATTCACGGCGAGGAAGAGGATCCTGCTGGCAGCTGGGCGACCAGGACGTGAGGGTGACGCCACGGTGAACATTGGGTGGATGGAAAGAATGTTGGAAACTGAAATTCTACTTTTATTCTTTACACCCTTCCCTCGATCCCGTTCGCCAGAACATGGCATATTCTACAGTTACAAAGAAATATACAAGTCCACCAGCCCACCTCCCATCACCTCACGAAGTCTCTCAAATCCTTCACATCCTCAAAACTAACCTTCCCATCCTTCCCAACACTCGCAACATGTATCGCCACGGGTTTCTCCTCCACCTTCGCCTCCTCCTCCACCCTCGGCTTCGCAGCCAACTCCAGCGCCGCCGGCACCACCCCCGCCTCGGTATCCGCAATCTCATTAACATCCTCCCGACTCAAGACATCCCTCACCCTCACACCACGACTCGACATGAGAACCGTCATCGGCCCACGAAAATGCAAAAACAACCTATCCCCCCAAATCGACCTTCTCGCCGCCGTCCTTACCCCAAATAGCACCCTTGCAACAGCCTTGTACGTCCCCGTGTCGCGCATGGCATTCCAGAACCTGGCCAGTCTCTCAGGCATAGCCCTCCGTGCCGCAGCTGTAATCGAGCTTGGCACGGCCGGAACCTGCAAGCTCAACCTGGTACTCTTGAACCGGAACGGTAGCGGCGGGTTCTTAGTAACCGAATACGCCACCACGTGCGACGGGTGCAGGGTGATCTCCTCCCCCTCGCCCAGTGTCAGCTCATAGATCTGTCCCGGTGCAGACAGCGCCGCCAGCCCGCGGCCGGTGAGATGCGTGTTGCCCCAGTGTGCGATGGAGAGGCCCTGTTGGATGCGCGGGGAGGGGGTAAGTGTGTGGCCTGTCCATGCGAGCAGGGCGTTGCGCTGGGCCACCATCCAGTCGGTTGTGCCGTCGAGGTGGAGGATGGAAAAGGTTGTGTTGGGGGATTTTGTCGCGATCAGGGCGGTGATGGGCGTCGTGGAGGAGATGCGCTGGTAGAGGAAGGGGATGCCGAGGACGGCGCGTCGTAGCGGGGAGAGGAGAGTAAGCGTGGATTGTGCCTGTGAGGGTGGTCATCAACAGATGCGCAGCCAGGGGCTTGCTGGTCTTTGAACGTACATTCTCGACTTTGCCGGCGACAGAGACAAGTGACCCTCGTCTTGTGTAGAGTCGCTGCGATGCCGACAGCGTGACGGATAGGAGAGAGTGCGGTGAGCCTAGGACCTCAAAGCGAGCGTCTTTTCGCCGTTAGTACTCTATAATCGGGCAAATTGGTCCAATGCTCACCTGCTGAGTCCCTGGATCCCCCGGGGTAAGCTCCGAAGGCATCGCCAGCTGGGCGGGAATCGGTGGTGGGGGATGCGCTGATCTGAATTGCTCTGCATTGCCTGCACACAAAACCGGGAGCCTTCAATTGTGAGGACAAGACTCTCCTCGGGAGGAGACTTCGGCGGCTCATGACGGTATGCACCAGTGGGCAGCGAAGTGGTGGAATGCCACACACTGGGAGCTCAAAGTCGATGAGGTTGAAATCTACGAACCTGGAAGTACAGTTTTAGGTCCCGCAAATGCGATGCAGGCCTGCACCTGGGTTGACAGGGTGTCTGCGGGTTTACCCGCTCAATGCACGGGCCACTGAAGCCAAATGCAGGGTTACTGTTGCCTCGGTGATATGGCTGAACATGCAACCCAAAAAAACAACTGGGTCGCTTTAAGTTATCGCAGCTAATATTCACCAGTTCCAAAGCAATTTCAAGCTTGCGCAGCCATCACAGCATCTGGCTTTCACAGCGCCGAGGCTAATTGGGCGTGATTTTCCTTTCTCCGACCTCCCTCCCCTGCTCCTTTACCGTCCGCCCGTTAATGCCCCCAGATCCGCCATGTCGGTCCGTGTTGTTGCCAGAATCCGTCCGCTGCTCGAAAACGAGCTGGAAAAGGACGTCATTGTGCGTGCAGACCGCATTGCAGAGGGAAGTCCCTTGACAGTGGTCAAGATCCCCAGCCCCAAAAACGAGGCCGAAGAGTTCTCGTTCGCATTCAACAGCGTCTATGACCGGGCCACGAGCCAGGAGGAGCTCTTCACAGCCGAAGGCAAGAAAGCCTCTCTCCCTGGCACATCGGGTTCGCTAATGCTTGACCAGTGGCCCCACATATCAAGGCGCTCTTCCAAGGCTTAGATGTGACAATCTTCGCCTACGGCGTCACCGGCACCGGCAAGACGCACACGATGCGTGGCGGGTTGAGACTCGCTGAGCGCGGGGTGATACCCAGACTGCTCAGCAACGTCTTCCGGAGGGGAAAGAAGATCATGAAGGACACCAACGGGAATACAACCGTCGAAGTTGCCCTGTCATACTACGAGATCTACAACGACAAGGTGTACGACCTGCTCGAGCCGCCTGAAAAGCGGACGCCCGCTGGCCTCCCTCTGCGGGAGAAGGACGGCAAGACGATCGTGGTCGGACTGTCAGAGCGCTCGTGCGGGGATCTCAAGGATTTCGAGAGGATTTACCTCGAAGCCAACAACAACCGCGTCACGGCCGCCACCAAGCTCAACGCGCACAGCAGCCGGAGCCACGCCATCTTGCGGGTCAAGGTGACGCAGACGACCGGCGACATGGTCAAGGAGAGCACTGCCTCCGCAATTGACCTGGCCGGATCCGAGGACAACCGCCGAACCGACAACGGCAAAGAGCGGCTGGTCGAGTCGGCGGCCATCAACAAGAGCCTGTTCGTGCTGAGCCAGTGCATCGACGCCATCTCGCGGGGGGACAAGCGCATACCGTATCGCGAGTCCAAGATGACGCGGATTTTGTCGCTGGGCCAAAACAACGGCATCACCATCATGATCCTCAATCTGGCTCCGGTACGCAGCTACCACCTCGACACACTGAGCAGCCTGAACGTCAGCTCCAGAGCAAAACGCATCGAGGTGCGCGAGATCGAGAACGAGGTCGTCTTCAAGCAACCTCCGCGCACCAATTCTGCCTTGGGAGGGGTTGGAGGTGGGACAAATATCCAGCGGCAGCCCCTCCGGCCGTTGGCCAACGCGCACAACGTGCACACCGGGGCCCTCGCGGCGGCGGCAGCAAAGGCGGCTGAAAAGCCCGACAAGCCCGTCAAAGCGTTTAGCGTGTACACGGACAAGAAACCCGCCGCCGTCTCAGCTCGTCCCGTGGTCCCGGCAACGGCCAACTCGTCGCAGCCTCGACAGCCGGTCGTCGCGCCGCCGCCTAAGAGAGCGTCCGAATCGGCGGCTGATTTACGCCCGTCCAAGCTTGCACGCCCGACGCAGCAGCATGCTCTATCCCGCCCACCACAAGTGCAACAACAACAAGTCCCCATCTCAGCCGCACAGATCGAGGCCATGGTGGAGAAGAAGGTAGCCGAGATCCTAGCCACACGCACCATGGCTCTTCCTACCCAACAACCAGTCCCTACACAGCCACCACAACCACAGCCGGAACAGGCCGAGCCCATACCCAACCAGAACCAGAACCAAATCAGCGAGGAAGTCCAGCGCCGACTGGAAGCCCTCGAGCGGCGCATCGAAAACGAGTCACGGAAGGATGGTGGTGGAAGTGGGCGATCCGAAGGGCTACGGTTCCTGCTGCAGGCGCGGCAGGCCAAGGAATGCGGCGACGACGCGGCGGCGCTGCAGTTTTATGAGAAGGCGCTGCCGTTTTTCCCGGGAGAGAAGAAATTGTTGGGGAAGATTGAGCGGTTACGGGTCAAGTTGGGGATTACCACCGCCAAGGCTGAGGGTGATAGCCTACCTGAGCGGAGTGGGCGGAAGGAGCGGAAGAGGCGAGATGGTGGTGGTTATGATGGAGATGGGCATGGGGATTATCAGGATGGGACTGAGGCTGATGTTGACGACGACGAGGGGGGAAAGCCTAGTCGGGTGAAGGCGTCAAGGAAGAAAGGATCCTCTTCGTCATCGTCATCGTCTTCCGATTTGAAGCAGGGCGCTTCATCGGCAGGTCACGACGGGGAGGACGTCCCTGCCACGCCGCGGACGAAAAAGTTGCTGGATATTGTCAACTCGCGCGACCTGGCGCTGATCAAGGGGTTGCATGGTTTTGGGGCGAAGAAGGCGCAGGACCTGATCGACTGTCTCAATTTCAGGGGGGATGAGGAGTCGGCCAGAGTCGCGTCGCTTGCGCAGCTGAAGATGCTGCCGGGCATGGGCAGTCGTACCATTGAGAGGGCGTATGAAGGGTTGGTAGTTTAGCATCGGCTTCTGGGCATCGGTTTTGCAATTGGTGGTTGAGTAAGGTCTGGTCCTGGCTCATTCAGCATGCATTGTTGCATTGTTGCGAGGCGTTTGTGGTTTAAGAAGGGTCTGGTTGTTGGCATTGCATTTGCATGTGGGTTTACCTCGTGCGGTTTTTCGCTTTGTTAACCCATTGAAGACACTGCATTAGCTGTATACATAATATACAATACAGGCGTGGGGATCACCGAGTGAATACATTGCATGATGGTGTTGACGGGAATCAGTTCGAATTCCCCTTTCTTGCACTTTTCGAAGTTCAAGTCACGGTCACTCTCAAGTCCGAGTCACTGCACAAATCCACACAGAACTTTATACATTGTGCACCCTAACCCTAAGGAGTACATAAACCACCCGCATTGCATCATCCATCTGCACTCTGCAGTGCTTTGCCCCACACTGCGCCGATGCCTCGGAAGGAGCTATCGGAGCTCAACCTCTTTCGCCGAAGACGCGCCGCACAAATCGCTCGTCAACACCGGCCAGGACGAACCAGGGATACACGCTTAATATGCTAGACGACATCTCAATTCGTATTCCGACTCCCTGCTGAGGCCCACCCGTTCCGACGACGCCAGTGCCCCTTTTCAATCCCGCAAAAATCGCGCGGCATCGGAGCGTCATAGAAGAGCACCTTGCTGTCCTCTTCGCTGAGAAAATGCCCCTTTCCTCCTCCTCACAATGGCTCCGCAACCAGGCATCATGATGGCGGCGAGCTTACACCGGGCCAGACTGGCCCCTCTAGTCTACTCGGGCCGCGCCCTCTACCGCCAGCCGTGGACGCCTCGACTCTCCGTGCTTCACCCAACCGCCTCCTCATCTCCCCTGCGCGCCGTCTTCCACACAACCTCCCCGCGACTGTACAGGCCTCAAACCACCAATGCCGACACCCCCACACCCCCGACCAACTCGAAACCCGGGCGCCCTCCCCCCGTCGACCCTCTCGCGGCGGTAGACAAGACCGCGCAAGAGCAGCGCCGGGCCGATTGGGCCATCATGAAGGAAATGTCCCGATACCTGTGGCCCAAGGACAGCTGGGGGGACAAGATGCGGGTGGTATTGGCAGTGGGCTTGCTGGTCGGCGCCAAGGTGCTCAACGTGCAGGTGCCCTTCTACTTCCGCGAGATTGTCGACTCGCTCAACATTGACTTTGCGGCCACAGGCGGCACCGTGGCGACCGTGGCAGGTGCCATGATCCTCGCATACGGCGGCGCAAGGATCGGCGCCGTGCTGTCCCAAGAGCTGCGCAACGCTGTTTTTTCGTCCGTTGCGCAAAAGGCGATTCGGAGGGTTGCGAAGCAGACGTTTGGGCATTTGTTGAATTTGGATTTGAGTTTTCATCTGTCTAAGCAGACTGGTGGTTTGACGAGAGCGATTGATCGCGGGACTAAGGGGATTAGCTTTCTGCTGACGAGCATGGTGTTTCACATTGTCCCGACGGCGTTGGAGATTACCATGGTGTGCGGTATTTTGACGTACAACTTTGGCTGGGAGTTTGCCGCCATCACCGCCCTCACCATGACCGCCTACACGGCGTTTACCATCTGGACGACGGCGTGGCGGACCAAATTCCGGCGGCAGGCGAACGCGGCCGACAACAAGGCCTCAACGGTCGCCGTGGATTCGCTGATCAACTACGAGGCGGTCAAGTACTTCAACAACGAAATGTACGAAATCGGCCGCTACGACAAGGCGCTGCAGCAGTACGAAAAGAGTTCCATCAAGGTCGCCACATCCCTCGCCTTCCTCAACAGCGGGCAAAACATCATCTTCTCCTCCGCGCTGACCATCATGATGTGGCTCGGCGCCAAGGGCATCGTGACCGGCACCCTGTCGGTCGGCGACCTGGTGCTGATCAACCAGCTCGTCTTCCAACTCTCCGTGCCCCTCAACTTCCTCGGCTCCGTCTACCGCGAGCTGCGGCAATCCCTCCTCGACATGGAGACCCTCTTCAACCTGCAGAAAGTCAACGTCACAATCAAGGACAAGCCCGACGCGAAACCCCTGACCCTTCCAAAGGGCGGTGAAATCCGTTTCGAGAACGTCACCTTCGGCTACTACCCTGACCGGCCCATCCTGCGCAACCTGACTCTCACCATCCCCGCCGGCAAAAAAGTCGCCGTGGTCGGTCCATCGGGGTGCGGCAAATCCACGCTGCTCCGCCTCCTCTTCCGCTTCTACGAGCCACAATCCGGCCGGATCTTCATCGACGACACCGACATCCGCGACGTGCGTCTTGACTCTCTCCGACGTGCCATCGGCGTCGTGCCGCAGGACACACCCTTATTCAACGAATCCGTCGAGCTCAACATCCGCTACGGCAACCTCGACGCACCCCTGGAACAAGTCCATGCCGCCGCCCGCCGCGCGCACATCCATGATAAGATCGAGTCCTGGCCGCACGGGTACCAGACCATGGTCGGCGAGCGCGGGCTGATGATTTCAGGCGGGGAAAAGCAGCGGCTGGCGGTGTCGAGGTTGATTTTGAAGGACCCTCCGCTGTTATTTTTTGACGAGGCGACTAGTGCATTGGACACGCATACCGAGCAGGCGCTGATGGCGAATATCAATGAGATTTTGAGGGAGAAGGCTAGGACGAGTGTCTTTGTGGCGCATAGGTTGAGGACGATTTATGATGCGGATTTGATTATCGTGCTCAAGGAGGGGAGTGTGGTCGAGATGGGCAGTCATAGGACGCTGATGGAGGGGAATGGGCTGTATGCGGAGCTCTGGGCAGCGCAGGAGATGGGGATGGTGGATGCTAAGGAGGGGGAGGGGGGAAAGGAGGAGGAGAAGACCGAGCAGACTCGGTAAGTAATATTTGGGAAACCACCAGACGCCGGCCAGATGGAACACCATAGACCCTGGTCATCGGACGAAGGCACAGAGAGGGGGGGAAAGGGACGATATGGGCTCTTGAGGGTTTGTTGCTTGCTGGAGGCAATGTTTGTATAGATGGCCGAGATTAGGACCTCCTGAATATGTATCGAGTGAGGGGCTCAGCTTCCCTACGCTCTGGTATAGCACTTGAAAAGACTCTCGAAGAGAGTTGGACATTGTGCATTGCTAAGAAGCAACTGGTATTGGCGGGGGAGAATGCATTCGGTGATTCCTTGAGCTGCAAGTTTTGCCGTTGGCTAGCAAGGACGATATTCTGATCCCCGGAATCTCAAACGCCATCTGGAAAAAAGGTGGTTGCCTCGAAAGGAAGAGCAAATTACACAGCATACAGTCATGTAAGTCAAGTCCCAGTCCGAGCTTTGGCCTGAACCACATTTACCTCGCCGCTCTACTTTCCAGTGTACCCATGGCAGACTCAAGGGGTATTCTAGCAACGAAGTTGTCCTACCGTGAGTTAGACAGCGGCTTCCCCGCATTCCTCAACGTCAACTGCCCGGCTGGTGGAGCCGATCTTCGGGCGGGAATTGCAGCGAAGAGCTATTCTCCTCGGCACCGAGAGACCGAAGTACACCCCGCACCTCCAACGGCTCCATCATCATGGCGACATCGGGCAGCACAAGGACAAAAGCCGATTCATTGACTGATATAAGAAACGAATCCAGCCCCAGAATGGGCGCCGAATCTCCTACCAATCTCTGTCCACATCAGCTACTACTTCCCGTTCTACAATGACCTCACCAGCAGCCCTGATCCCGCCAAAAGGCGTCTGGGTCCCCTCCCCAACCTTCTTCACCCCCGCCTCCGCCTCCAGCGACAGCGACTCCCTCCAACCAGCCGTCGACGTCTCCGCCCAAATCCAACACAGCATCTTCCTCGCCCAGTCCGGAATCACAGGCATCGTACTAGGCGGATCAACAGGCGAAGCCGTCCACCTCTCACGCGCGGAACGCTCTACCCTGATCTCCTCAGTCCGCAAAGGGCTTGACGAAGCCGGCTTCCCCGGGTATCCCCTCATGGCCGGGGTTCTCACCAACGGGCTGGAGGAGACGCTCGAATGGCTCAACGACTACGCCCAAGCCGGCGCGCAGTGGGGGCTGGTCCTCACGCCCGGGTACTTTGGTGGTGCGGTTACGCAGGAGGGGATTGTGGACTGGTACAGGGTAGTGGCGGATAAGAGTCCGATTCCGGTGTTGGTGTATAACTACCCGGGCGTGACGAACGGGGTGCATGTCCTGCCGGAGACGTATCGGGAGTTGGCGAGGCATGGGAAGATTGTTGGGTGTAAGATGAGTCATGGGAAGTGAGTACAGTACCTGGATCTCATCTCTGGAGAGGGCTAGGTGGGCTTTGATGGAATGGACCGATGAGTGGCTAACGGTGCGTAGCGTATCCCATCACGTGCAGGTGTCTCTCGACCCTGCGATCAACCACGACGAGTTCAGGGTGTTCAGCGGGTTTGGCGCACAGCTCGGCCCGATCGTGCAATTCGGCGCTGCGGGCGTCATCGACGGCATGGCGGCCTTTTTCCCAAAGACGGTGGTCAGGTTGATGAAGCTGGTTGAGCAGCATCTCGCGGGGGATGCAACGCCCGAGACGAGAGCCGAGATTCACCGCCTGCAGTACGTCGTCAGCTTGGGCGAGGAGTTTGTCATGCGATATGGCATTGTTGGGATCAAGGAAGCGACGTGTCGCGTGGTGAATTTTGGAAAGCTCGGCGTTGGCCGCCAGCCGATTGGATTGAGTATGCCGGAGGGCACTTGGAGGAAGGCGCAGAGCCAGTTTCTCGCGGATATAGCTAAGACGGAGGCCAGTCTGTAGATGCTTTAAAAAGAGCCTCCTAACTGTGTTTAAAAGCTGCAGAGATCCGTGCCTGTTGTCAACTTGTCTCACTCCTGGTCCTTTCAATGGGGAAGTTGATACTTTTCAACTTCTAGAGGGTTAGGGCTCAAGGCCATATTCATGCCGTGGAGGTTGCCTAAAAAAGCTGCATTTTCGCAATTGCAAGCCAAGACATTTGACTTTCCCTAGTTCACTACCCCACAAGTTGCAAACGGTTGCCTACAGCTTGATTGTATGTACTGACCCCTAAGTTACTGCGCCACGCCTGAATCCGATCAAATCAGCAATTGACAGCGGTGAGGTGGCTCGGTTGGTAAGCCGACGAGTGCGAGCTGAACCCAATCCAAGAGGATCAAAGAGGCGCAGTGAAGGAATGGCAAACCAACCCCAGAGCCAAGGGGCGGGACCCCTTTTACCCAGGATCTGGCCAGGATTGACGGAAATGCTTTAAAGATGCGCGATCGCTCAAATGTTCCTGTCGTAACGTCGCGTCCCTAGGCCTCGTTGTCTTCCGTCTTTCCAGTCATTTTCAATTTTCAGGGCGCGAAGCGTTACGGCTACGCTACCTTGGGTTACAATGAGGCCTGTCATCCTCACTCTCGCCATGGCGGCGGGCGCACGCGCTGCCAGGGTTGTGCCATTGTCAATTTCCAAGGCCACTCCTGAGCAAATGGGCCTCGACCGCCGCTCCTTTCCGGCCATCCTCTCTAACAATCGGACGGCCTATTACACCAAAATACAAGTCGGCACGCCGCCACAGACGGTAACATTACATGTGGACACGGGAAGCGCCGATCTCTGGTATTACATCCCCCCGATTTTCTCAGAAGTTATCTCACAAACTTGGTGATAGGGTTTTGTCAAAGGACGCGGATCTGGTAAGAAACACAAGACACTGAATGAAAAGCACCGTGGACTGTCACTCACTCATCTCCTCAGTGTGAGAGCGAGAGACTACAACAACGATGGGGCTACTGCGTCGACACGTTCGATCCAGACGAGAGCTCAACCTACGAGACCGTGGACAGAGGAGGCTTTGACATTACATATCTCGACCAAACTGGAGCGTCCGGTGATTACTTCACCGACAACATATCCCTGGGCAACTCCATCAACGTCACCAATGTCCAAATGGGTCTCGCCGAGAAAAGTACCAATAACGTGGGCCTGATCGGCATCGGGTACAACGCTTCCGTGGCAGCAGCCTCGCCGTATCCAAACATCATCGACCTCCTCTACGAGCAGGGCTTGATTCCCACCAAGGCGTACAGCCTGTACCTCGTGAGCCCCTTCTCCCCCACCCCTCCCTGAGCAAGTAACTAACCCTCCTCAGAACGACTTCCACGCCAACAGCGGCGAGCTTCTCTTCGGCGGGATCGACACAGAAAAGTTCATCGGCGAACTCAAAACCATCCCCGTCATCCCCAACAACTCCACCGGCGAGCCCATCTACGACCACTTCACCGTAGCCGTGACCGGCGTAACCGTCGGCTTCAACTCCACAACCACGGACCTCCTCGACGAGCCCATCGCCGCCATCCTCGACAGCGGCACCTCCTTCACCTACGTCCCGCCCAGCATGGCAAACCCCATCTTCTCCCTCCTCAACGTAGTCGACGACACCGACAACTCCGGCGAGATCCTCGTCGACTGCGCACTCCGCAGCCGCACAGACCTCTTCCTCACGTACCAATTCAACGGCCCCTCCGGCCCCGTGGTGAACGTCTCCGCCGCGGAACTGATCGTCGACGATCTCCAGCCGTACATTGCCTCCGGTGGACTGGAGCTGCCGCGGGGGTTGCCCTTCCCCGACGAGCGGGTCTGTCGTATGGGCATATACCCTACGAGTGACCATGACTATTTGCTTGGGGATACCTTCCTGCGCTCGGCGTATGTGGTGTATGACCTGTCGAATAATGTCATTGGCATGGCGCAGAGCAACGTTAATGCTACGAAGAGTAATGTGGTGGAGATTGCCGCGGGCGGGACGGTGCCGTTGACGACGGGCGTGGCGACGCCGGCGGCGCAGGAGACCAGTGGCAGTCAGACGACGGGAGGAGGAGGTACGTCGGGAGGTACGGGTACGGGCGCGCCGCAGGGTCCGGCGGAGACGACTTCGACAAGGGAGAATGCCGCTGCTAGGGGTTTGCAGCCTGGTATGAACTGGCAGGCTGTGGGTGTTGCTGGTGCTGTTGGAGTGTTTACCCTGTTTGGAACTGGCGTGTTTGTGTTGCTGTAGACTCTGGGTCTCCTTGGTTTGATACCCCGACTAGATGCATGCATGTAATCCAGGAGCAGCATTTGGGTACTTTCATGTTGCATATTAGATTCTTGTACCGTACATTTCTCATAGAATAGGGGCAGATATTAAGGTCTAATGTAACTGGATAAACCATGATTTGAAGACACAGAAGGAGAGTCAAGGTATGGGAGATGCTACAGCGAGTTCAAGGTGCCTCTTGATCCAGCAGGAAGCATGCCCCTAAAATCTGCCCCCTGAACCAATGGAATAGCACGGACCACACCCACTAACAGAAAGGGTCCATGGAGGCAGCCCCACCAACCCGGTGCTGTAATATGCTGTACGTTCCGTATTCGTACCTCCGTCGTGTCCCAGCTTCATCACCACACCCAACAACAACGACAGCCCCTTGACGCCACCTTTCCCACAATGCCCCGAGTCCCGACAACCGCGGCCGTCTTCCCAGGCGCCAACGTCAACATAGTACTAAAAGCCGACCAACCCACGGGCCGTACCGTATCCGGGACCGTCGCTGAAGTGCTCACCCGCGGGAACCACCCAAGGGGAATTAAGGTGCGACTCGTTGACAATAGAGTTGGAAGAGTACAAAGTATCGCAGGCGCGTCTGTCACGACCACCGACGCGGCAAATATTGAGTCTGAGGCTTTGCCGGATGAACCTCAAAGTACGAATACACGCGGTAACCCCCGAGCGAGACGGGTCCGCGACGGACCAGTGGATGTAAGGGGGGAGGAGCAGCCGTTGGCGACGATTGGACTGGATGCGTATATCAAGCCTGTTGGGAAGGCGAAGAGGGGGCGGGGGAAGGGGAAGGGGAAGGGTGGTGGGAGAGGTAATGCCGGTGACGATGATGGGGTGGATAGTCACTCGGGAGGGATCGAGAGCCAGCCACAACAGGAGCAGGAAGTCTCGACGTGCCCCGTCTGCTCTGACTTTAACGGCGACGTGGCAGCCTTGACGTACCACGTGCAGTCACATTTTGATTGAAGACGGGACGTCGCAAAACAACAAACTAGCTAATATTGGGTTATTAAGACGGACGCCGTGATTCACTATTAAGGGCCCCGAAACATCGATGGCTCGCACAAGATTAACCAGCACGCCCGCTACCTATCCAAAACTCCACCGGGCGGACACTTCAAGCGACCTCACCACCGATTCAACACTCCCCCGGCCTACTCAAGCGACATAATCATACCCATCTTCAACGCCGCAATCGCCCTCTCACCAAGCGGATCCCTTTTGGTCAAACTATCCGCCTTGCGCTCATTACTCGTCCACGTCGTAATATCGAGCTTATCCCCACCAATCGTCGGCCGCGACTCGGGCCCCCCGTTCCGGACTGTGCCATACCATCTCTCATACTTCCTAAACGCCGCAGCAGTATTCCACGGATCCTCCTTTGTAGGAATCTCAGGCAACATCTCGGCCGCGTCCTCGGGGTAGATTTCAGGCAGCACAATGCCATGCCGGTCCGCATACCCGGCTATGCACTCGTCGAATCTGTCCATGTTGAATTTGAACATCTCCGTTTCGCCGTTTGGTCCTGTGACTTTGACGGTTTCGTCTTTGCCACCTTTCAGGCCAATCATGTCGTTGTGTATGTCGACGCCGAATTTGGTGTACATGGTCATCATCAGGGCGAGGTTTTTGACTGGGGAGTCTGGGCGGAGGTTTGACCGTGCGAAGAGGTCGAGCATGGCGAGGAAGGTCCGCCCGACGAGACGGATCAGTTCGCGGACGCCGTCGGAGTCGTCAACCCTACGTGCAGCGGAAGGTTAGCTACCGAATGTCGAAAGGCGGGCGGGAGCAGAGGCGGCGGACGTGCAAGGCGGTCCAGAATGACAGTGCATTACTTAAATCAACATCGGCTCGATCATGTCCGTCCGCAGAAAAAAACCCAGCGCTTCGCACGCAGCCCATTGCGCTCTCCAATCCCCGTCCGCCTCCGCAACATTAAACAGCAAATTCTGGATCACCTCCACCACGCCCCACCCGGCATGATCCGAGTAGGTATGCATCGAAAAGTTATCCGGGTCCCTCAGATTCACCATGTCGCGTGCCGCGAAGAACTTGCGTCGGCCGAGCTCAGTCGTGATCCATTTGTGGTCCGGGTGGTCCTCGGCGGGCTTTTTGCACAGGCACGTGTCGCCGCCATCGCACTTTTCCTTGTCCTCGTCTTCGTCATCATCATCGTCGTCATCGTCGTCATCGTCGTCGTCGTCCTTCTCCGGAAATGGCGGGTGGCACCAGCAAATGTACTTGTATGCTTCCTCGGGGTTGTTGAATACGTAAGTCCGAATGCTCATGTCTATGTTGGCAGACCCGGAAATGGGCGCCCATCGTTCGGATCGAGGCGGGGTCTCTGATTGTGTCTTCCATGGTTGAGGTTTCCAGGTTGCGCGTTTTGGGGAATCGTGTCGTGTCGCGCTGGCGGGAACCCGGAGGGAGCGCCGGTCCTTTTAAATCGCGTCTGGTCCGTGCGTTATGGCACATGCCCAACTGGAACTTCAATGTTGAAAACTCGAAACTATGGTACCTATCTCGCACTGTCCGTCACGCTCCGAGTCTGTACATAAGGGAGCCACCTCAGCCTCAAGAGGCTCCAATCTGACTACCTAACTGGAGCCGGGCTGTGTGTGCCTTGCATAGAGGGGAAATTGAGGATCATCGGTTGGGTAACACCCACAAGAGAAAGAGTTGGATGAGACTTGGTATTAACTAACGTTAGGGGATTGTTTGATGGTGTAAACCTCGTCCAGATCAGGCTCGCCATGGACAGTCTCTCTGCCTCTCTTCTCTCCCATTTGTTTGCTTTGCCCTTTTCCCTTATCCCCTGCCCTAATTTTCCTGTTCCTGTTTCCTGTCCCTCGACCCAGAGTCCTTACTAAGACTTCGTTCGAGTGACTGATGGCCTTGTACTGATCGTGACGCAGATGCCCCTGCGGAGTAGGTAGTTAAGGGTAATACTGCTCCAATAACGGCAAGGGAAGATCAAGCTGAAAACCTCTCCATAATTCAATACGCTAGGCACCCGATGAGTACTGCATAGTACTCACCCACACCAATTTTGTGTAGCCTGGTAGGTAAGACGTCTCAGCTCTGGCTTCTCTTTACCTAATCCGCTGGAATAGAAGCGTTTTGGTAGGATCCGGCACGCTCTTAAGCCACTGTTAGTGCCCTGAGGTATAATGGAAGGAACAGAAAACATACACTTGTCCCAAAGGTAACGTTCGGATACCTCTCCGTCACGCCCTCAGGCAGTTTGATATCATAATTATTCAACGCATATGACAAGATCATTTTGATTTCGTTGGCGGCAAAGAAACGCCCCTGGAAATCATTAGCTCCCACTTCAAATAGATAATAAGCAGGACAAGGGGCATACCGGACAAGCATGTGCCCCGTAACCAAACGTCAAAACAGTCGGATTGACGCTCACAAACTGATGCTGCGCCGCCGTCTCAACCTCACCCTTCTCCCTGGCCGTCTGGCGCAGCTGGGAGAAGCGCCAGGGGTTGAACTCGTCCGGGTTGTCGAAGAAAGTCGGGTCCCTCGCCACGGCACCAGCGGGAACCTCAATGATCACGCCCCGCGGGATGACCTGCCCATCAGACAGGGTGAAGCTTTGTCTGACTTTGCGGGAGAAGGCGACGGCGTTGGGCGGGTCAAACCGCATGCTTTCTTTGATGAAGCCTGTACATGTACAAGGATATAGGTCAGCTGCGGCACAGGGGTTGGAGGTAAGATGGGTGGGTTGGTAGAGGCTGACTGTCGAGCTTTTTCATGGATTGTAGAGCTGAAGTGGTGTAGAGTCCCCCATGCTCGGCGAGGACACTTCGGACTTCTTCCCGGAGTTCGGGAACGTATTGAGGGTAGGCGGCCATGTTGTAGAAGCTTTGTGTCCCTTTAAGTCAGTCGCGGCATACCGTGGGATTGGAACAGGTGACTTGACTTACACATTCGTCGCTGTCAACGTGGTCGTGTGGATGGCCGCAAATGTAATGACTAGCTGGTCCCGCCAAGCGAGTAAGCCAGATGTCTTGGACAATCTCACCCCTGGGGATGACAAACCTGTACCCTGGCGATATCATCTGTTGTATACCGCTTGTGCTCTGACGCGGTAGGTCAGCAACTGCATTCCTAGAGAAGATTGAGGTGTGGAGAAAAGAGACTCACTCTCTTGGGTATCGAGGAGCCACTGCAACACTGCATCCTGTCAGCCAGGGTTCCATTCTATTGTGCCGGTAGTTGGGAGAGACATACTGTCGTCAGGCTTTTCACTGTCCGCCAGCTGCTTCCTAGCAGAAACCACTGGCTGGAGAATCTTATCGGCCTGTGCCAGACGAGCATCGAGCTGCCTGATTTCGGGCAACCTTGATACAAGGAAGGGACGAAGCCACGGTCGCATTCTCTCCACTGCCCTTCTTACTGCCATGAGTTCTAGGGTGTAATTTATCGACATATCCAGATATTCCTCAGTGCGGCTGAGCTCTTCGCCGATAAATACTCGCCCAGACACCAGGGCCACGATTCGGAGCAGTTTCCGGTTGATGTTGACCGGCGTCCAGGACTCACAAGGAGGGAGTTCTATTCAGAAAGTCAGCCATCCCTCGGCTCATTAGCCTCAGAACAAAAACAAACCTGTGCGGAACGCCCGTTCTATCTCGTCTGTAAGGATTTCGCCCAGTCGAGGAAGAGCGGGGGTTAGGCTGCTTTTGACCGTGAATGGAATCATTTTCGCACCCTCCGCCATCTTGAGGTATTGAAAGTGAGCCCGCTGGGACTTGGTCAGCCATTGTGACACACCGAGACTGAATTATAACACGGAGAAGGAGACCCAGCTCTCGAGATTGGAGACCAGCTGGAACGGACTGGGGTAAGCTTACCTGCGAGACGGCATCTTCGAAGTTGAGAATCTCGTCAGGGAGTTTCCGCAGTTCGTTCAAGAACTTGGGTGGCACGACCAAGACCGGCGACTCTTGAAGACCTGTCAGCGCGCGGTGATCCATAACAAGGCTTGTAGCGATGCGGGAGTTGTATTACTGTCCGAGGTGACAATCCTGAAGATTCCCTTGCGAAACTGGATTCACTGTTTATCAGCTGCTGTTTCTCTCGCCGCAACCGAGGGCAAGCCGACAAACCTTTTGGTAGCCCTCATTGTACAACTCGTTAGCTCTGGCGAGGTACTGCTTTCGTTTCTCATGGTCACCGCCGAGCTCTTGGCCGACAACCGGGATTTGGGCCAGGGGCTGTTGCTTGAAGTTGAGGAGCGCTTGCAGCAGGACCACGACTAAAAGTGCAGTGACCGTCGGTAGAATCAGAGGCAGCTTGTCGCTAATCCCCTGAACAAAAGGTTGCGTGTCAGCCATTTTAGACGTGAATGGATGGACGGTGATTCAAGCGGCTTGTAGCGGTTTGTAATGTAGGTAGGTAGGTACCTTTTGAAACGGGGACTGGGCGGCATTCTGATACTAGTACTTATATCCGCCGTACACCACGGCGTGCTGTGTTGGGATGGGATACCACGTTATAGGCTCGGATTCGTGACGAGCCGTGCCAATGAATGACCAAGCACATTTTCCGCTGTGGGCCGTGAGTGGCGTTCTGAAATCCAGTCGTCCGAACTCTGGAGGTTGGGGTTGAGAGTGGTCGCAGGCTTCACATCCAATGCAACACTTGACGGGGTTGGAGTCGGACAGGTCTCAATTTACCCGCAGATCTGGTATAAAATGAGCTTAGCCATGACCTCGATGACTCGCAGGCACCTCATCTCGATTTACGAAAACGAGGGAGGTCGGCCGAAGCAACGGGTTTGTGTAACTGGCAGTTCACGAAAGTGAAAAGAATGAGAAATGTACAGGGTAAGGTAATGCCATACCACTTGCACCCAATATCTCTCGCGGCTGCAACCGCTCCTACCGGACGTTGGCCAGGGGTAGAGACGGTGTGGTTTGTTTGTCACTTTTCTCGATTGTCGATTGGATCAGGAGTCAGTGCCGGGCACGATTGGTGGTGAACATATGGAAGTCACGACTGCTGCGTTTCACAGGGTTAGGGTGCTCGGTTTCGGGTTTAGTGCAGAGTCCGGCTGTTGTTCCGGGGCCCCGCCCCGGCTAAGGATCCATCTGCCGAGCTTAATCCCACCGTCTCTCGCTTTCGCTTTCATGCTACGAGTCTCCCCCCATTCCTTTTCCATCCAGATAGTCTAGTGCGTAATCAACGATGGGTCGCTTACGGCTTGGATAGTAAGTTTCCCCTGAATTCTGCGCCATTAGGGTTTGGACTCTAAATTGTCTAAATTGTCCAGTACAAAATCGCGTAACGGTTGCAAGAGGTGCAAACAAAGGTGAAGTGGAGCCACTGTTTGCTACCCTACCTTATACAGCGATACGGCAAGCTCCGAGGATCTCTGGCTGACAACCATCATACACGGCTCCAGGCGCGTTAAGGTGCGACTCTGGTATCCCCCGTTACGTCTGTCTGTTAACGGTTATGTTAACATTTTCGAGTGCGATGAGAACCGCAACGGGTGTTCAGCGTGTAAACGCCATGGGCTTCTCGAGTCGTGCAGTCTCATCTCCGGTCACACAAACGGCGACTTGACCACGACTTCACGTGCACCCCCCTTACAGACCCCGCCAGCACAAGCCCGAAGATTACCCATCAGCAAGAGGACCAAACCGCGTCCACCAGCACAAGATGGATCACTCCCGCCAACCGGAGAGCCAGACGCCGGCGTGGTTGTGGTACCCTCCCCAGCGGACATCCCGGAACACGACCCCTTTCCGTACTTCAACAAGTTCCTCTCCGGCCAGCCCCAGGAAGACGTGAACTGGGTGTTGGACATGGAGCTGATGCACCACTTCATCACATCAACCTTCAGGACAATCTCCATATCCTCGGCGGGGGACGAAACGGATCGTATCTGGCAGATCGAGGTGCCCAAGCAGGCTTTTGCCCACAATGTGTTTCTGCTCCATCACATCCTGGCGCTGTCCAGCTACCACTTGGCCTACCTGCAACCCGAGAGGCGGCAGATGTACTCCCTCCGGGCCTCGCATCACCAGAGCCTCGGCGTCCGGGGCATGCGCATCGCGTTGGGGAGTATAACACCCGACAATTGCCATGCATTGTTTATATCCGCCAGCGTGCTTTTCCTCTGCGCACTGGCGGCTTCGTCCGGCGCCGAGCCTACCGTCGACGATTTGATAGACGTTTTTCTGTTGGTCAAGGGGATAGGTAGCGTTCTACAATCCTCAGATGCTGCGCTGCGGTCTGGACCGTTTTCGAGGCTTTTCTTGCAGCAAGGGCCCGCTGAGCAAGTTAATGTGACACTTGGCCGTGTAACCTTGGCTCTCGAGGAGTTTGTTGCCGGGCTGGTTGAATCGGAACTCGGGGCGGGCGTGCGTAGCATCATTCATGCCGAGGCTACTCGACTGATCGAGACGATACAAGAGGCAAGGCTTAACACACAAGCCCCAGAATATAGGTATGATTATCGAGAGTTAGATGTGTGTCCTCTGCTAACATTTAACTAGGGTTGTGGCAGCGTGGCCTATACTAATGTCCGATGATTTCTTCCCGCTACTTCGCCAAAAGAACCCCGCGGCACTGGCATTGCTATCCTACTACTGCGTCGTGTTCCATTCTGCGGAGCTTCAGTACTGGTTTATGAAGGGTTGGCCAAAAAGCGTCGTCCAAGATATCTGCAAGACAATAGCCAGTCCCTGGAATCAACACTCGGCGTGGGCACAGGGATGGATCAATGCTCATGCCGTCTGACTGTGGGTTGAAATTACACTCAATACACTGCCTTAATTGTCTATCCATCAGGACAATGGACTGAGGCACTTATTTCTCGTTAGTGAGAAAATGGTATCATTTCAACCCGCACGAAGCCTCGAATGTATCGTAAGGGGAAATGGAGCCTTCCAAACCAACTTGTCCATTGAAGATTGCCGACAGATTGGGACATGATAATAGCATTCTCTACTACCCTTCCCATTGCTGATTACCATATCCCACCGGGCCACCGCCACGATCATGACCACCACAGTGCTTCTTGTACCGCGTCCTCCTTTAGATGACACCACGACATCAGGAGTAGAGGCCGGGGCGGGAGTGTTGTCATCAGCGGCGGGGGCGAAAGCAGAGCGACCGGGCGTGCGGTTCGCCTACGCGGCGGCGAACGGCTGCGAGTAGGACCGCACAAAACGGGAGAAGTCCTCCGTGAGGACGTCGCGCTTGCCGGGGGTGTTGCCGACCTTTTGCGGCCCTTCTCCGGGATGGCCTTTTTGTCTTTGAGCATCTGCTCGATCTACTTAACACCCCAGCGGAGGCGCGCGTTTCCGGCCCAGAGCTGTGGGTCCTAGACGCAGTCTCTTTTCTCTTTTGCCGCTTATCTAGGACCATTCGGCTTCGTATAACGGGAACCCCTCCCCATCCGGATCCTCAATCTCTTCGAAATCTGGGGATTCGGGTTCGTCTTTTCCCCAAGGCCATCTATCGGACTCGTCGTCATTTGAACCTGAATGTAGATCTTCATTCTCGAGCTCCTCTTGCTGGAGCTCGGGCAGTCTTGTTGGTGTTGCTAGAGGACCAATGTTAGAGTTATATCAAACTACATGTCACAGGAACTCCGGGCATACCGTTCTGTCTGGCTTTCTTTTGCGTCTCGCCCGGCTTGATAGCAGACGCATCTGCTTTTCTTTTCCTGCTTGAGGGAGGAGTCGAGGATGTTGTAGCATCGCTGTTATCCTCTGGGTTTTTCACTTAGCCCAGAGCTGCGGATCCTAGACGCAGACTCTTTTCTTTTGGCGGCACTCCTTGCAGGCAGCGCCGCGACCGGAAAGCTTGCAGTTGGCTTCCTGACCTGGCAGCAATTGCTCCACGTAGGGCAGGCAGTATGTCTCCTCCTCAGGAATGAGCGCGTTTCTTCGTTGTCGCTGTCGCCCTCGACAGCGAACCCACCAATTGTTTCTTTTGTTGCGGTCTTCATGCTCCCGGTGCTTCACTTCGGCGGGGCAGGTCTTCTGGCGTTCCTCGTGGCGTTGCCGCTCGAACAGCTCTAGGTGAGCTTTTGTCAAGGTCTTTTTCTCTTCTTTTGCGGCGTCTACCTGTCCCCTAGTCCAAGACGAAGGGTTTTCGGCCGCATACAGACCAAGGTACTGAATGACCGTTTGGTTGACACGCTCCGTCTGCCCGTCAGTTTAGGGGTAGAAGGCGGCGGTTGAAAGCCTGCGTTTGATCTTGTGAAGGTAACACAAATCGCTCCAGAACTGAGAGGTGAACACTGGCCCTCTGTCGGAAACAATGCCTTCAGGGAACCCATATCTGCAGAAGACTTCCTTGTGCAACAATTCGGACAGTTCCTGAGCAGTGATAGTGGTGCTCGTGGGGAAGAATCGAACCCACCTCGTGAACCGATCCACGACAACAAGAATCAGGGATTCGTGGCGTGGTCGAAGGCGAAGGCCAAGTTTCGCCGGGACGTCTCCCGCTGGGTGGAGCAGTCCCTGGAGGTTGAGGACGGTTGGTAGGAGCTGATGGAGCGTTTCCCTCAGCTCCAGTATGCTGCGATTTGACTTCGTTCCGGCATGGGTTGTGGTGGGTTACGGTTGGTGAATCGAACAGGAGATCTCCGTCGAGGTTGGGAGGGAGTAGGGCCTACTACTACCAGTTTGCTACTTCTACCCGTTAGGGGTTGGAAGTATGAAGGGAGACTCAAGTTATATACCAGGCTGAACCTTTCATGACCACCTTCCAGCACCAGTCAACCCCCGCCATGGTTAGTCCCTCCTTCCTTCCTCCTTTACACACAACAAGTGTCCACGGTGCCCTCCGGAAAAGTACCTCTCGGCTCTCCGACTTCAAATCACAGTCAATTAACCGCGAGCAGGCACAAACCCGACCTCTACAGTTCTGTCTTTTCCTACCCTTTTGGTGGAACAAACCACCTGGTACGTCTTCCTAGTCTTCCTAAACTTCTAAAGTGGCGTCGATCCTACCTTGATCCTAACAGGGTTCAGAGGTACAGACATGCAAACCATCAAGATGCGGCTTCGGCAATCTGACCTTTGAAGGTCTCTGCGGTTGTCACACTCCGAAGCCGACTTTAAAGGTCGAGTCCAATCTCCCGCGAGTTGGACATTCAACCTCAGATTCAGGTATTTAACTGCTTCGTCAATCTGTCCCCTATCGACACAATTCACATTTCACAGTGCTGCCAAGAAATTTGCTTGAGCCATCTCGCCAGGAAGCCGCGAAGTTCACCCGCCGCTCCGCGGCTCCAGGAGCAGGAGAACTGAGGGCCGCTTGCGACTGCCTCGCTCCAAATGCTCTTGCCAAACGAGCCGCGAATTTCAGGCCGTTAGCCATTTCCGACCGCTCAAGTTTCAACTTAAAGTTGGAGCGAGTGGCCACGAAACTGACGATAGTCAATTGCTCTGTCAACCGCAAACGTTTGGTTGTGAAAAATAGGGCTTTATCTTATATGCCCTCCCTTAAGCCCCCTCCCCGTCATGGTTTGGTCGGCGTCCAGATGTCACATGTGGCGGCGGTCGCCTGTGTTTATCTTGGACCTCTTCATCTCCACTCGAGCAAAACCTGAGAAGAAACACTCTTCTCAAGCGTTCTTATCGAAAGCCTTGCCGTTAGGCCCTAGCTCTTGAAATCTCCGGACATCGATTGAGGCGCGCGGCTGAGAGCCCCCCGGCGTCCCTAGGCGCTGATCAACGAAGGTCTAGACTCTAGCCCTACTGCTGCTGTTCGGTTGGAACTCTCCGCTTCATCTACGCCCAAGCCTCGGGCTCACTTCAACCATGCACAGAACCCTCGCGATTTGGGACCTGCCAGGCTGCCCGGAAGACATTGATCTAATTCACACCCCTTCAGGTCGCCTCATGCCGGCCTTCTTCCCTCTCGAAACTTTGCGGTACTTAAGGGGCGGGGACTCTCTCCTTTTGGGACGTGGACTCGGCTTCTGTCGCTCCTTGATCCTGGTCCTTGACATTGCTGGAGGTTGAAAAGCTCCCACACTTTGCTGCCTTGGGCTCTCCGGCATGTCTCTGTTCACTCGAGTTCTTTTGATAGGGTATGCTGCCGTGTCATCCGCTCTCTGAATCAGACATAGCAACAACAATGGGCACGAATTTCCGGTGCTGCAACTCGACAGGCGGAATGCGACGGGTGTCTTGGGAAACTTGACGAGCAACGGCACCACTGCATATCCCCTGACCTGCAACTTCACGCAGGATTTTACTGTCAAGGTGATTGATGATGGTTGACGGACTTGAGTTGACACTGACAAAATATATAACAGGCCGTCAAAGCAAACTGTAGCACGTACATCGAGCTCCTGGAATCAACCTACGTCTTTCCTCACTGGGAACGATGGGATACGGCCGACAGATTCTCCAACTGCACATACCATCAAATCGCTTCACTGCTTCCAGACGTTCCCGATGGGCCTTTCTCGTTCGCTTTCCGCAACGGTCAGTTAGTGCTCATCAGGAAGCCAAACATGAACGACGCCCGCAAATATTCCCCCCTGCCCTCTCTCCAACCTTCCGTCAATTTTAAGGAGAGCAAAAGGACGGCCCCTTTCTTCCCGGTATGGGAGTCTTGGATCAAGCACTTCTTTGATGCATATGCAAAGTCCACTCCATGCCGACCGGTGATCATTAACGACTACACCTTCTCCAGCGCAGACATAGTTGAGAGCTCTGTACCAACAACACACCCTGAGCTTCTTTACCAGTCCATGGAGATCGCGTCAGTGGCATTCCCGTTCACCGCGCCTAGGTATCCTAACCCTTGAACTAACACTTGCCCAGCACTCACCAATACACCCGCTGCGCTGTCCAACAACCCTTATCCATCCAGTCCTGCACCGCCGAAACAACCCGGAGGTTCTCCACTGTCCCGCACAGTTTCTTTATTTACTTTGGCGCTTCACAGTGCGATTCAATGCTCTGGTCTGCACTCGGGGTCAGCCTTTCTATCCTCCTCGACTTTCTCCAGACGGCCGCCTTGATGTGGCTAAAGGGCACCGGCTCCTTAGCTGGCTACACCTCTTCATCCAGCTCGGCGCAGGCATCGGCGAACCTTCGCTCCAGGCCTTTATGCTGCGAGCTAACGGGAACAACAACTCTGGCTTCATCATAGCAGCCATGGAGTTCCTACAGCCTACGGCCGCGCCGCTGCTTGCCGCGTTGTCGGGCTGGTACTTCTCCAAGGGCCATGGTTTCCGGGTCCTGGCCGCCGATGCAATCGTTACGCTTTTGGGGGTGGCCGTGATGATGGTTTTCACGACGGGACAAATCCTGATGATGGTCAACACGGCCACGCCGGGCGGCAGTCTCGGGCCGGGTGACTTTCTGGTGGCGATCGGGCTGGTCTGCGCCGTGGGACCCTGGCTGCTCACCTATCTTCTCTTTGGGGTCATCGCCATCCCGATGCAGCTTGGCTTCTTCCTGGGCATTATCGAGGCATGGCTGTTCAAGACGGGATACATGTTTGGAATGGGCTTTATTGCCCTCGGCGCCTTCATCATTGTCTTTGGGTTCCTGGGGTTGACACCAATATGGGCACTATGGGAATTGGGATGGGCTGCCCGACAAAAGTGGCGTAATTCGACTCGATTTAAAGGACAACAGGACAAGGCCGACTCGCAGGAAAAGATTGGCGACAAGAACCTGTTCCTTCTCGCACGCTTCTTCCGGGATAAGTTCCTGACGACGAAGCGGTGGAAGAGAGGCCTCGTCAAGTTTGTGTTTTGGTTGTTCGTCATGACGAGTTTTGCCAGCTTTGTAGGCAAATGGATGTTCATGGTGAGCGTGTTGAAGCTGCCGGGGGATGCGTACTGCCCCAGCGGGTACAAGGAGGCCACATTTGCGGGATTGGGGCTTAAGGCCGACTGTCCTTTCGGTGGGTGTGTTGTTGCAGTTTTTCGGCCTGACAGCATAAGATAGGTACATACCTATCACGCTACGGTCCTGCCCCAGTACACAATCGCGCCAGTCTAACCGAGCTTCAACCCTCTCATGGGACTGGATGCCGACAGACACTGCAAGGAAGCTTGGCGAGTGAACAGGGTAGGTAGTTGACGAGATAACCTGGGGATTCCACGATTGCGCATGATAGATAGGCAGTGAATGCGAGATGGCAACCGCAGGCTAGCAGCCCATTTGTAAGCGCCATCAGGAAGAGCAGGCTGAAATAGCCGCCTCCAGTAGCAGCCGGACTACAGAGAGACAGACCGAGGAAAGACCGGAGGAGCTATCCCCAAGCTATGGTGCTATACTATACGACAACAACACCTGGTACCTCGTACTCATACAGCAATCCCTTACCCAGGGCGCACCAAGCCGCGATTTTCCCCACCTCAACGCCTTATAAACCTCAATCAAACCACCCAACGAATTGACAAAAGCACCTATTCACATCATGAACCCGCCACCCTGCAGAAACCTGACCTGGCACTGCCTCAGATCGGCCCAATTCCTCAACTCCTGCTCCTCATCCTCCATCATCCCACCACCAGCAACACCAGCACCACCACCATCACCATTCACCCCAACCCCAACCCCGACCCCGAAACCCCATCCCATGCCACCAACTCCCATATTAAACCCCACACCGCCAATACCTATCTGATTAAACCCCACTCCAACTCCCGCACCACCACCGACAGGCATTCCCGTGCCAGAACGCTCCAAGCGCATGAGCACGTCCACAAACAACCTGAGACCCTCCTCCGCCTTGACCGCGACGGGCCCCTTGCGCTCGGGGGCATCGTTCACGAGGGTGCTTGCCACCTGGCGGATCTTGTTGATGAGGGACCCGCCGTTGGGCTCCAGGTTGCGCTGGGAGATGGTGGTTAGCACGGTGAGCAGGTTCTGAACGATGAGCTCGCGTTCGGCGACCATGCTGGTGTCGATTGAGTCAGTCGTCGTCGGGTCGGGGTTATGTTGTTGTTGGGATTTGGGGTGAGCTTGCTGTTGTTGGGTGTGGTGTTCGGCGGCTGCCCGGAGCGCGGCAGCGGCGACAGACTTGTTGTTCGCATTCGCGGTGTCGGTGGGGTTGGAGGCGTCCCCACCGCCGTTGGGAGTGAAAGACGAGGCGCCGGCGGCGGCGGCTGCTTGCCGGACGTGTTCGCGGTGGGCGTCGCGCAGGTTGAGATAGCGCTCGACGTAGTACGAGCGCGTGGCTAGCTGGGAGGCGTAAATGTTTGCTTTTTGGATTTCGTACTGGAGCAGGCGGCGGCGCTCGGGGTGAGCGCTGACAATGTGCCGGAAATCGGCTGGAGTTTGTTGCTGGTAGCCAAGATTCAAGTAGGCAAGTCCGCCAGCGCCGCTATCGTCAAAGAGATTTGAGGTTTGAGAATTTGTTGGAAGGAGATTGTCAAGCCCATGGTTGGCGCCACTGTCGGGCGAGTTCAGATCGATTCTGAGCTCGCGCGGCAGGTCGTCCATTACGTGCTTAACCGCTTGCAGGCACTCGTCCAGCATCACCTTTTGGTCGTGGAAAGGGAGGGTGGCTATGCCATAGGACAGCTCCACGCTGACAAGACCGTTCATGGTCATGTAGATTTTGATGGCTTGAACGAAGCCAGTAAGGAGGGAGACAGTGCCCTCGGGTTGGCCTAGGATCTGGTGGGCTAGGATGTACTGATCATCCACCTCGACCGGAAATTCTGGGTAAGGCTCGCTAGGCGTTGGCGGAGGGAGAACGATTTCGCCGTGTGGAGCGCCGAGCTGCGACATCGACCTGCACGGGGTTTAATAACGAACACGGTAAACAACCTGCGCCGGTGGCTAACATACCGAATGCCCAGAAACATGCACCAGAAGATGCGCTTGCCGAGCTGGTCTTCGACATGGTTGAAGGAGGGCCCACGATAGGTCACACCAAACATGGATGAGCCCAGGTCCCGGGGTTTGTGATAGCCCAGTTCCCTGATGAAGGACATGGTCTCGGCCATGAAGCGGCGGCAAACCTTCCACTGCAGCACGTATCCCGCTGCCAAGCCGAGGAAGTAGCTCGTTGCTGCGTCGTAGACGGTCACGTCGTCCTTGCTGTAGAAAGAAGCGCCCCTTGCCTCGAGGGCGACGGTCCTGCATCGCTCAATTAGAGTAATCGCCTTGGGATACATATTCATGCCGTGTTGGTGCGCCTTTAGATGCTGTCTCACTGCGCGAGGAAAAGATGCAGCCAAGCAGCCTATCATGCTGGCCAGAAGGGCAAGAAACGTCCGGTTGGTCCGATCCTCACGGGTAGTGAAGGACATCCTGAATGTAGGCTCGTGCGGGAAGGGCGCGAGAGGATGTATATATGTGAAGAAGTCGTCGATGAGCAGCGTCAGCACCGGCCAGGGCGCAATCGATTCGGCATCCAGAACTGCCTGGGTATCCTGGCCTACGGCGATGGAGATCAATGTTTTGGCGGCATGATGTGGCCCAGGACTTAGATTAGGCTCGAGCCGCTGCTGTTTTGCTGCCCTTGCAGCTTCTGCATGCTTGTTGGGCGGCCCGCGACGCTTCATTGTTCGATTGAAGGTGCAGTCGACGTTCAGATCGTTACATGGCCGGCACGGCTGCATCTCGTCGCACTGCATTCAATGTACACCAAACGTTAGCTTGTGATTCTGCGGCTGGAAAGGGTATTGGAATGCCAGCAATTCGTACTTTGACCTTGCGCTGGCTGCACATATCGCACGCTCGGCGCAACCGAGTTGCCCTGGGGGGTGGTGCAGATGTCACAATGTCGGCAGGGCTTGAGGAGGGACCGGCAGATGCCCCGGCATCAGCGAGGTAGGGAGAGGCATCGGGAAGCGTTGCATGCTGCTGCTGCTGTTGTGATGCCACTGTCGCAGGGCTTGCTATCGGCACGGATGCGGAATCGGCAACAGCGGCTTGGAGAGCTTGCAACCCATGGTGCGCGGCCGCAACCGCAGCGGCGGCAGCGGCCTCAGCGGCGAAGGCAGGATGGATCGGGTGGGGTTCATCTTCGGGTCCTTGCTGCTGCTGTTGCGGCGTGTCTATGGAATTCGAAGTTGTGCCGTCGGGTACTGAGGCCGGTGGTGGAGGATAGCTCGACGACATAATGCGACTGGCGCTCCAATTCGGCGCGCCTTATTTGACGCGTGGCTTCACTCCGCCGTGATTCGCAGGTTGGCGACTTTTCGGCGAAGGTCCGGTAGAATCACGGATCTTGGCTGACAGGAGAAAGCCGTTCAAGATTTTGCTTGGCGCTCGAGCCACTGCAAATCTGCAATCGTTCCATTGTATGGCTGCCTCAAGGCTGCTTAGGCACAGTACGTACCTAGCCAGCTTAGTCAGCCTGCCCTCCATCCCAAGCCTCTTCGTTGACGTTTGCGTTTGGCCTTTCCGGTTTCCTTCCTCATTTCAGCACGATATTCGTACATGTAGGCCTGTCGAAAAATCCTTGCTGTTGTTTTGTGCTTTTCTGCTGCCATTATGTCACTCTGGCTTCTCGGTGATGGATCTGCCAACAGAACAAAACGACAACCAAAATCGGATCACGACTGGGTTCGTCGGCACCAAGCCAACGGGCAACTCGTTCACATCGAAAGTCTAGTGTCATCTACAACTGGAGCAATTCTGTCTTATTGCAACATTCAATAGCCTGCCCGGCTAGCTCAATCGGTAGAGCGTGAGACTCTTAAGGAGCTCCGTCCATCTCAAGGTTGTGGGTTCGACCCCCACGTCGGGCTCAATTCCCGATCAACGATCAATTTTTTGTGTTTTCTTCCTTTTTGTTAATGGAGTTCATGCAACAAGGGTGATCTGTTCCCTCAAGGGCCTTTTTTACAGTGTCATGATGTGGTTTGTCAATGGTCTTACCCCAGATCTCTTCAACCTCAGACGCTCGACCCGCGCAACTGTACCGGCTCTCTAAGCTCAGGAAGAGGAGGAAGTGGTTGTGGTGGAAGAGACGGTGGAATGGACGCTGAGGGGTGGCAGCGGATGAGTCATTGGAGCGAGACAAGTTCAAAGGCAAGAGGTCGTCAGCATGATTCAGCCATATCACGACACCCGATTTGTTCAATAAACTCGTGAGTTGAGCCCTCCATCATCTCGATGCGCCACTGATGGTAAAACTATCGCTTTAGTATTCCATAGTTTGACGTCTATGCAAACCGAATGGCAGTAATGAGACGTGCCAGAGCAGGTAATCTCGCGCCGAACTGCCCCTAGTCCTCAGCTAGGACCCTGAGGCGTGTCTAGGTAATCATGATCCGACACCACGGCGGACTGGGAGAAGTATCCTATACTAGGGTCGAGATCGTCCTTCTCTACACGGTACTCCTCGTAAACAAAACTGACGCCCTGCTTTTGGAACGCAGCGCTAACTTGTTCGACCTCTTCTCTCGACCAGTCAAGAGCAGGATCGTTCCAGTGGTAGTACTGGAAGACCACTTGTTCAAGGTTGGGAAACCGAGTCCTGAAACTGCTGGCGAACTTCATGATGAAGTCGAACAACTTACCCGAGAATCGTGAAGGTTTCCACCCAACAAGGGGATCAAGAAGCAAGGCATACTTTTCACGCCTATACCAGCTCCACCTATCCTCCATGATCTTCTTCAGCACTTTCAGGTTTGGCGAGGGTGCGTCGGCGTGTGCCGTGCCTGGGACCGCGAAGATGGCATATGCCGGAGCGGCGAGCTCCTCCAATCTGGGTAGAACCCTCAGATCCACTGTTTCGTCGGGTCCAAGGGAAACCATCGAGCCGCGGACATCGGTGAAGAAGTCTTGAATTGTAAGCCGCCTCAGTGTGTTTCCTACCAACGGCAATATCTCTGTATTGAAGTTGTAGGCTTCCGTACGGAACTCCCCGTTATACACGAAGCGACTGCCAATCTCGAGTGACTCCAGATTCGAAGCTCGCTCGGCAAAGAACCTCAAGGCCGAAATATGAACGAAATCGGCGAACACGCGGAGATGCAAAATACGTTTGAAGACCCGGCTATAGTCCAGTGGTTCCTGAACTTCTTCCGTGATAGAAGCGCTGGGGAAGCGGGAGTACATGTTCGGGGTCCAGAACCCATCGATGCGTAGTAAATCCACTCGTTCCAGTCACGGGAAATGGAGAAGCGGCATTACCTGCAACCTCGACCACGGGAACATTCCGTTGGAACAAAGTCCTACAGTCCTGAGATTTGGACAGGCCACCGGCTCGGTTGTGTCGTAGTGTCCCTCCTCAAGACGCTGCAAATCTCGATAGATCAGCTGCGCCAGCAGTGTAGGTTTCAGGAACCTGTCCCTATGTTCACTGAAATCCATGTCAAACGCTTCAGCTATCACTTCATGCCGGTTGGTGTGAACCGTGTTCATGGTCCAGCATTCTAGACGAGGCATCAAGCAAAGAAGGGCGTAAAGAACCCTTTGTGTGAATTCCCAGATATCAGTCCGGAAGTCGTCTTTTCCAGTGGGGTCCAGCCCTCGATAATCGTGGCCAGGATTCCCATGGATTCATTCCGTATAGCTCTCAGTGCCTCGATTGCGTCCGTGGGTATTGGCAGCAAGCTCTGTACGCGAGTCGAAAGAGCTGAGTAACAGGGATGGAAGTACACCATGGGACAGTGGCATCCCAAATGTAAGACGCGAATCCAGACTTGTCTCTCGGGGTGCCGGAGTAACTGTACCAGGAGGTTGATTGCCTGGTTAAACTGGTAGATTTGGACGGTATGATAAAGTGCCCTGAGAGCCAGAGGGTTTTAACTTGCGACTCGTCATGCAGAGGTTGAGAAGGTCAGTATAAGGCTGCCTCGACTCTGCGAGCATTCCCCACAGGGGGTATTAGCCAGCCGAAAACCTCCGAGACTAGCTCGGGGGGGCAGCGTAACAAGGGTTGGGCCGCGCGAGGCGTAAGGCGAAGAGGCTGACGGATCCATGTAAAGCTACCTAGGCGAGGTTAAGACAGCCTGGGAAAATGAGGATTCGGAGCAGTAGCATGGTAGGAAACTGAGAACTGTTGAAGGGCTGTCTGGCTCTTTGATACGCACGCTGTCTGCAGTGGGTTGGGAGTACACGTATGTACATGATCTGCCAGCTTTGCAAAGTACAAGCTAGCAAGTTACTGGAATCAGAATGAGAGAACGATGCAGCTTATTGTTCCTCGCAAACAGCGAATAAATCCATAGCCCTTTATCAGGGTGGATGAGAATCATGAGATCACCGAATAAGTTAAGGTACACTCTGGCATGTTCCCAACAACTGATCGGTTTGAAGGTACCAGTTAAGGAAGAGAAGGTGCAACGGGGAGCTTCTGAGCCTAGGCCAATACAAGATACTTGTTGAGTCGTGATGCATTGAACGCAGGGCAGTTGCCCCAGCGCCTTCCATCTTTTGCGTACAAGCCCAACAACATGATTCATCGGGACCAGGTCCAGGAGCTGGAGGTATCATCGTTTCGCTGGCTTAGTTGGACTGGACTAAGGTTCGCCCAAGGTTTGAAGATTTACATATCACCATAGGTACTAAGGATACGGGTTGTGTCGTCCGGTAGACTGGGTACCGGGTTCGGACTCGGGCTTCATGCAGGCCAGGTCGGCGACCCTGGGTTCAGGTGGACTCATGCAAGTAGAGTCGGACTGCTAATGTCCCCTCACCTCATGCATGGCCGCTGATAATACTGTACCTTTGCATAACCCTAACAGCGAATTAGAAAGGGACTGTCCTTTCATACCTAGGTACCTTAGTAAAATACCTGAGGCTGGAAACGAGGTGCCTAGGTCCTTTTCAACCCCAATCTTGCAGAATGAGCGTGGTCCGATGTTGAGAAACAATTGCCCTACAAGCTGACAGATAGACAGCCTTTTCGAGAATCACAAACCAAAAACGCGTTCAGACCTTCCTCTGCCATCGCCTCTTTCCTCAGGCTCCTTCCGGTCTAGACGCTTAGCCAACTAGGATTCTCCGGATACTTACACATACCCGGACAATATTGACAAAGTTTGTGACCGCCATCATGGCCCCTCTGATCGGATATTCCCTTGAACTCAACTCGCGCCAGGACCCCGGAGATCCCAACCTCCAATGCTCGCCGGCAACGCCCTGGTCCATATTCGTCTTCTTCGCCACGAACTACCTGGCTCACTGCGCAACGGTTAAGAACTATCCAGGGTCGTCCGAACTCGATATAGCTGTTGCAACTGCTTTGGCGCTGTTTCTCCCTTCCTCAGGCATTACCAGGGCGCTCTTTTCGATTGTGCGGCGTTCTCGGTTCAAAAGAAACAGGAATCCCCTAGAGCGTGCGGCCCTGGCAGGAGCCCTCCGCATGGTCGTTCGGAACGAGAAGTGGATACCCATGGTGGGAGATCGAATCAAGCCAAAGCTGGATGGCTATTTCACTCGCGGCCCTGATCAAAACTGGTCGAAGGTGTCTTATGACAGATATGGCCGGCGTATCGTGACTGAGAAGACCGGTGGTGCCGGCACTCTCAATATCATCGAACCGATTAGAGCACGGGATGACGGTAATGATACGTCTGCGTTGCCCAGAAGCCTAATTTCAAGCGAGATCCGTCCCGATAATACACCTGAAGGAGCTCAGAAACCTGTCATGCAAAATGCGCTCCGAGTGAATCGCGTACGTGTTTCGGAGAACCTAGTCGATGACATCGATTACGACAATACGTTCTCACACACTGGCTCTTTCCAGCATCACGTCTCGCGGGATCGGCAAAACTTCCATGGCAAGGCGTTGCTCCCCCCAGGATACTCATGGGCCGAAGTCCACGGGGATGCCAAACTCTCGTGGATCGGCCCGCAACCGGGTTCAGGAGTGCAAGAGCAAGACTTGACGGGCGGAGACCCGAACATAAGCTCAAACTACAACTGGATCCAGTCCCTGGTGGCCATATTCCAGGCAGGGAGCGCGGGATGGGCACTCTACAGAGCGCGCGGCAATCAGATCCAGCGCTACGGCTACGCAGCGTTTGGCCTCACCGTCGTCCCCTACCTCATTATGAGCGTTATCAACCTGCTCGCACAGATCGCCACAGCCGACTACCCCAACGTCTTCATGGTCGGCAGCCCGGAAATGGACGAGGCTCGGAGACACGGGGGAGTATTCGACGGCGTCGTTGGACATCTAGAGCCAGAGGAGGTGAAAGACAACGAAGCTGAGAATCCCGAATACGAGGTCAAGTACACCAACGGCACACCCGTTCTGGAGAAAGTATCCGGCAGCGATTTCTACCCTTCCAGCATCTACTTTGAGAAACACCCCACGCCCAAAACACGGGAATACGGGGATATTCGCATTGACACCTACACTCGATACAGACTCGTTACCCCCAAGCTGAAGCGAGGGCTACGGATCTTTTGCTTTCAGTTCTACATGCTGCCTGTCATGCTGGGTTGTCTCTCGCTTGTCGTCGTTGGCGCCATGACGCACTTTGCGAACGGGGAGAGCACCATGGCGCAGCGGGGATGGATCATGAGCTGGCTCGTCGTTGGCATTGCGTGTGGGCCTTACGCGGATTCCATGAGTGCACTCTTTATTCCGGAACACGACGAGAAGACGGGCAAGGTTTCAAAGGCGGATTACTCTGCGAAAATCGTGGCAGCGGTCTTGTACCTTGGGATTTGTTGCGTTCCCGCGATTGGAGGATTCGCGGTTGTTGCTGGGATGCTCCGGGAGTACGGGATATGCGAGTCTAATGACTGAAAGCTGGCCAAGTCTCATCATAGGTAGTGGCCACTCTCAGCTGCATTGCTGCTGTGGTAATTTCGGGAAAGTTATCCCTTTGGAGATGACTTTAAGGAGGCAGCGAACTTGAGATTACCCCCAAGATGACCAACAACCGCTTGGTGACCCGACCGCACCCCGGAAAACTGAACATGTAGGAAAAACCTATATCCGTGTATATGTAGTAGTACCAGGTGTAAAAACCAAAAATATCCTCGCCAGTTGCAGCAATGATTACACTAATACTCCCTTTTGAAAGAAATGGACCGACCGGATCTGTGATCTACGGGCCAACCGCCAGACCATCGAAAGCACAATTACACCACCAATCAAGAGGAGGAAGTGTATCCCAGACAAGTCGCGACTGACAACCACCTGGATCCAAAAAAGTCAGCCACCGATGCGCTCGCTTACAAGTAACTCTTCCGGAGGCGGTCAACTTACCTTGGCATTAGTGAAAGAAACATCACTGCCACTCTCCGCCTCTTCAGGCCTTAGCTCAAGCGGGTCGCTCCTGCCGAGGACTTTGCCCTTCTTATCCAGGGCCACGACGCGGACACAGCGGGGATACGTGACCTTAAGAGGGAACCCCGTCTCAAACGACGTCTTGTCAGCAGCATCCAGCCGGCGCCAGTCCGCGTCGTCCTTGGCGTCCAGCCTTCCCGCGCCCTGCAGCTCCCAGCTGGCCACCTCAGTGGCGCCATTCCAGCTGACCCACAGCCGCAACTGCCCATCACCATCGGCTGCCTCGTCCGAGTCCTGCGCCACGACCGCGTCGGGCTTGCTCGCCGGCCACCCTTGCCAGGCGGCCTTGTAGACGCGGTACGACTGGACATCGCCAGACCCGAACCGGCGCTCGGGCGCAAAGTGCACGTCGCACAGCGGGGTGCCGTCGGGCGCAAACTCGGTGAAGGCGGGCGTGTTGCCGTAGCCCAGCAGCACGTTGCCGTTGGGCAGCGTCTGCATGGACCCCTGCGAGACGCTGGTGATGTGGTGCGGGTTGACGAATTCCCGTTCGACCTGCACCGTCATGGCCTGCTGGTCGACGCGCAGCCGCAGCCCCCGCGTGGCGGCCCGGTCCGTGTGGGCGTTGTCGTTGCCGTTGTCGAAGAGGGTGATGACTTTGCCGTTGTCCTGCCACCGCGCGTCGTGCTGGTAGGCAAAGTCGATGGAGGACTCGAGGGGGAGGTCGTTGGATACGTTGCGGAACATGTTGCGCTTGCCGCCCATGATCCACAGGACTTCGCCGCTGCGGCCGTCGATGTATGTCTGTGAGTGTGTGTAGCGGGCGGAAATGAGGTAGTTGCCCAGGTGGTCTTTCTCGATGCTGTTCATGTGGAACCAGTCGAAGGCTGTGGTGCCTTCACCCTCGCCGCCAATCTCGCGGTAGGTGTCGGTGATTGCGAGGTGGTCCGTTGCCCGCCATTCAAAGACAGATTCTCCTGTTTCTAGGTCAATTTCTTGTATGAGGCAGTCCCAAACTGGGCCTACGCCCTTGCCAAGGGCCGAGAGATCTTTGTCCACAATGGCGTACACCACCAGCATGGCTGTGCCGTTCTCCGTGATCCTGAAATCGTGCAAGTCTCCATCAAGACCGTTCGCCGCCGTGATGTTTTTGTACAGGTTGTAATGTTTGTCTAGCTGATCAAGGAAAGCCCGTTAGTCTGGGTTTGCAATGAGAAGCGAAACAAGGACTGGGATTATCCGCACCATGTAGTAGAAGCCCGCTCCGTGTCCCCCAACGGCATCGTTGCCGGCCCAAAAGGTCAAATATTTCTCGCCTTTATAGGTCTGAACCATCAAGTTGTACAGTTGCTGCCCATGCCAGGGTGCCGCCCATATTAATTGGCCCTGACTGTTGTATATGGCCGCCTTGGCCTGCTCGGTGGCACCCCCTCGCGGAGTCATGAGGGTGTAGAGAGATTTGTCGCATGACCGACTGGACTTGACAAAGTTAAACATTGGCGCCGTGAGCTCGGTTGACCTGAAGACCTGCAGTGGCTGGTGACCGTAAGCTCCGCGGTCATATCGGAAGTCGTTGACAAAGGCCGGCGCCTCTACCGACGCCTCTGCCGCCACAACGCCCGGGACCATGCCGGTCGCGGCTAAGCCCGCCACCGTCCAGCGTAGCGACAGCCGCATTGTGCGCCTGCCGATTTCCTGTCGTTCTGGGGCACAATTAAACAACACCAAACGTACAATAAAAGTACAATAAAAAGTACCAATAAAGAGGGGGGAAAAGGATGGGGCAATCGTCAAGGCCGCCAAGAAAGAGTAGTGGTAACGAACGTCATGGACGGCATCCAGTACATGGAATGTAACCTGGAGTTGTCCAGGGTGATGATCCGTCAAAAGACAGCAGGCCGGGGAGGCGGGGAGGGTTTTGAACTTTCCATGTTGGCTGCCTTCAGCGGCTGCTTATCAAGATAAGGAATTGGACGGCGATGATTTGTACTGCATTGTACATACGTACACTCAGGTACCGATTTCGCAGTACTTGGAGCACCAACCATTCTTGTGGCTGTAAATGCTTACAGTGGCAAGAGCGTGCTAATGTGAGGTTTCATAGGAGCGCAATGTCGAATTTCTGTGCTCTATGAAACGACATCAGGGTATTGTATGTCACACGCAGGTACTTTGGTATGTACGACGTTCTCGACCCGGAAAGTGGGCGGGTTTCGGGACAGGCCGCGTAGTAGATTCAGGCACAGGAGTTTCGCGCCTTTGAGAAGAGGGCGAATGCTGAACGCATTGAGATTCTTTTGATGAGAGCCGCGTACGTGCTGGAACGTGATGGATTTGGTGTATCTATAGGTAGGCATCGCTGCTGGCAGGAACGACCTGGAAGTGATTGCAGTCAGACCCCGCCAACCCTCGAGTTTGGTGAACCCCAAACATTGTAATTATCCATCTGTAACTTACAATTTAGCAGCGTCTGAGAGTCTCTGAGTAAGGCTTCATTCATGACATCCAAAGAACTTGCATACTCCCGTGCTCCAGTTCCAGTTCGACATTTTTCCAGTATTGTTCGGACGACATTTACGCCAGATTTGAGATCAACGAAGGACTTGAAATGATCAAAATGCATTGTTACGCTCAAGATCCAGCAGTGAGCGTCCTGCATCCCACGATCGGTTGGGAATTCGAATTCGAAGCGTAAATTCTCACGCAATACAATACCTGATCAGCGTAACTAACGTACTTTTGTACGAAGATTCTTCATACATATCCGTACACCACAACGATCGGCTGCCCCTGAATATCAAGATGGTACAGCAGCTGTGGACAGTGCATGATGTTACGTCACGCTCTAACCTTTTGTGCAAAAGAGTCCGCTTAGTACACGTGTAGAATACCCACCGCAATCCCAAAGCCACCTCTTGACAGCAGCAGTCTTGCGCAGCATCGGCTCTCGGAGATTGCTGCTCCGTCGGGCCATCAACATCCTCAGAGGGTATATGGAGATTTTGAGCGCCTAGCTTGGCCCACAGAGGTACGCAGCCATTCAAAGGAGATGTGCAATTATGATCTGCGTGTACGTGTCTTTGCAAACAGTGAATTGGTAGATACCTACATATTGTGTCAGCTGTTTATAGTTCCAACCCCGGATATGCCAGGGATGGTTCTATTCTTGAATCACTTATTCCCGTCTTTGTCATGTCTCACCGCAATAGAATTACTGTACGAATACAGCTCTCCATGGTATTTTAATAAGCGTCTCATCAAGGCGGGAGATAAGATGTTGAGTACCAAGCCAAAGCCGTGACAAGGGACCCTGGTCTTCCATGACCAGCTAATATCTGTACAAACCCGGTCATTGACATTGCCATCTTACCGGTTTCGCGTCGTACTGCATCTCTCTGTGCCTTGGAAGAAGGCCTCTGAAACGTGGCTCACATCATGTTGGGCCATTGAAGAAGTCGGGCCGCTAGCAAGCATTGGCAAAGTCAACCGAATGTTTGCATCTAGTGTACTGTATGTATCTACTGTACAGTACATACCACACTGGCAATGCCAGGGGACAGCAGATCAAGCCCTTTTTGTGTTTTGCTGGTTACAAAAAAGTAGCTAAAAATCGATTCGGGGCACAGCATTATCTGAAGAATCGGCGGGCCGCGGCTTGGCTTGGAAACTGTCCAGGGTTTCGTCCGATGTCTCCTTGTCATGACGATGTAAGATGATTGGTTGATTGTCTCGAGAGAAGGGACGACCGAGGACTGTACTGCAGGTACACGCCAGGTACATACCTCCTGCCCACAGTTGGTTTGACTAAGATTACCTGTATCAGCAAACACACATCTTTTCTGTTTCCTTTTCTCTTTCATTTGCGTTTTACCCTCCTACCGTTAATGCTCAGGCGGATAAGTAGTCTCTCTTTTCTCTCTTTCCCCTTCTCATCCTGCAGACACGGTTTGTCATAACGTTACGCCCAAATGTTGCCAAGCTCCCAAATCCCGAGTCCGCACAACTTCGGCGCCGCGCCAATGGAATACGCAAATCGTTATAAGCGGAAACCTGCCACCGACATCTTTACAGCAGACACAGATATCGACAGGCGAAAATGCAGACGGACGGTTCCTATGAAAGTTCTCATATTGGGCTTGGGGCGTACCGGGACAGCCTGTAGGTGCAGTACCCGACAGAATCTTCCCTCCTTATCACCGTCAGCCGCAGTCCTAACCAAGAGCAAAATCACCCAACAGCCATGCGAGCCGCCATGCAGCAGCTGGGGTACGTTGACACGTACCACATGATGTCGTGCTCGATCGAGAACCCGCCCGACGCGCTCCTCTGGATGGACGCCCTGCGAGCCAAGTACGACGGCGTCGGCAAGCCCTTCACGCGGGAGCAGTGGGACATGCTGCTCGGCAACTGCCAGGCCGTGTGCGACTGGCCGGCCATTGCCTTTGCCAAAGAGCTGATCGAGGCGTACCCAGAGGCCAAGGTGATCCTCACGAACCGCGACGTCGATTCGTGGCACGCCTCGACGATGCGGACCGTCTACTGGCGCGTGACGGACCCGGAGCTGCGCTGGCTCTCCCACGTCAGCTGGGCCGCGGGGATGTACTACCCCATGCTCAAGAAGTTCTTTGACACATTTTTCGAGGGCGACTTTCCGAACCGCGGCAAGGAGGTCTTCAAGAGGCACTACGAGGAGGTCCGCCGGCTGGTGCCCAAGGAGAAGCTGCTCGAGTACCACATTACCGATGGCTGGGAACCGCTGTGCAAGTTCCTTGGCGATCCGGTGCCGTACGGCGTCAAGTTCCCCAACGTTAACGACAACAGGGACTTTGTTGAGAGGTCCAGGAGAAGGAACCGCATGCAGATGCTTAACGTCGCGCTCCGGGTGTTGCATCTGAGCTTGGTTACCATCTTCACGCTATATGCTGTTTATTTGCTCGGTCTGTGGTTGTCTGCTTTTTCGTTATCCTTGAAGCATTAGATGGTGGTTAGAACAGTGGCCAGGGGCCATACTGTACGGTTTTATAGCATTATACCTATGTTGCATACATACTTATTTGGCTTGGACGGATGGCTCTAGATGGGAAAATCTACTGGCTTAGTACCGACACATGATCCTCCAGCCTTGAGTGTGGCAGACAGACATTCGAGAAAGCCCATAAGGTCAATCCACGCCTACTGCGATATCGCTAGAATCTGAAGTTACCCAGTGGTACTTGAGCACGGGCCAAGGAACCGTTTCCCCGTTTGTCGCTCCACATTTCGAGATGATTAGGCGGCTGTGTCCAACGATCGCTCGACCAACTCACATCAATTGAACCAACCTAAACCGCTGGTTCGATTGAATCCCGCCGGATCAACGCATTCGACCAAATCGAGGGACGATGTTGGAACCGCAAGAATAAGGGGGTGGAAACGCGGCCGCGTCGTTGAAAAGTTGAACAACCAAAACTTGAAACCGTCGTTAAGTGGGTTTGGTGGGGAGTGGGGGAGATTTTTGATTGCGACTCGAGCGGATCGACTTATTTCGACTCGCGGTTTGTCGCCTCGGTCCAGACTCCCGATGACGTGGCCTGGCCGGTTTGCGGACTAGGTGCTTGTTGTTCAGGTTCCATCGGCCAGCGCGCGGGAATAATAAAATTCCCATCACACTCTTTGCGGTGGGCACCATTTCCAGGTTAATTGGTCCAGTTCATTTCTCGCCTCATTTTCACTACCAGATCCCTGGGACAGGCCGAGGACAAGAGTTCGGTACAGTACCTTCGTACCCTGCCAAGTGACCCAATCTTTTCCAGTTCCAGCATGACTGTGCAACCGCAGTTTCGAGGCTCGGCAGGAACCACTGGCACCTGAAGAACTTGAAAGCGACTGCAGCACACCCCCCGACCGACACGCACCGTTACGGGACCGACGACTGCAGCAAAATGGGTCCGCGGCTGAGCAGCGAGGGTCCGAGCAGCCACGTGCCCGGACACAGAAGACAGGACTCGGAGGCCGCAATCGACACAATCAAGCCCGGGCCGGCTCGGCCGTCTGACTCCGGACCTGTCACCTGGATGTCACTGCCGCGGAAGGATCAGCTGTTCATCCTCTTCCTGTGTCGCTTTGCGGATTTTCTCCAGATTGCGTCCATGCAGACGTATGTGTACCACCAACTGAAAAGCCTTGACGAGCATTTATCCGATGCTCAGATCTCCAACCAAGCCGGTATACTCCAGGGGGGTTTTACCGGCGCCCAGGTCCTGACTGCCGTGCTCTGGGGCAGGGCGGCAGATGCCAGTTGGTGCGGCAGGAAGAGAGTCGTGCTGATTGGTATTCTGGGGACGGCCGTTTCGTGCCTTGGCTATGGCTTCGCAACGAGCTTCGGCTCGGCGTTGTTTTGGCGTGTCTTTGGCGGAGCCATCAATGGCATTGTTGGGATAATGTAAGTTGGTCTTGCACCCTGGTTGTGGCGGTCGGGGGCACATATTTGCTTACTGGACTTCTAGACGCACTATGGTCTACGAAAACACGATTGAAAAGAAATATCAGTCCAGGGCGTTCCTGATTCTTCCGCTCAGCTTCAACGTCGCAGGCGTATTAGGTCCCAGTAAGTAGTCCATCTCCTTGTCTGTGACACCAAAGATCCCGAGTCTGACTGTTCACAAAGTCATGGGCGGGTGGCTTGCGGACCCTGCCTCAACTCTCCCTGGACTCTTTGGACCCGGCGGCCGTTTCGAATGTGATCTAGTCAAGGCTTACCCTTACGCCTTGCCAAGCATAACGAACGCGGTCATCTTGGCCCTTGTTGGATGCATTGTCGCTCTGGCACTTGAGGAGGTGAGACTGCCCGAGCGTCCCTTTGCCCTTTTCAACCGAACGGTCTTGGACTTACCGAAGTAGACAGGCGAGTTCAAAGGGAGGTTTGATCTGGGCTTGCACGTGGCGGCGAAGATCAGACGTGCCATATGCGGAGGAACTGCAGACGACGGCTACTCGCCAGTGCCAGATAACGACGCTGCTGCTGATATTCAGCTGCAACGGGCCAAGGAGAAGATGGAGGCTACCTCCTCAACACCTCACCGTGGTGAACGCTCCGGGCCTAAGCTTCCCTTCAACCGCATATTCACGCGGAACCTGTGCCTGACGCTCGCCGCGACAGCCTTTTACGACTTCCATCTCGGCGCATTCACCAACATGTGGACTCTGTTTCTTACCACCCCGCGGCATAGCGCAGACGGAATGACAGCGCGGCGCTCTCTCACATCGGGCCTCATGGGCGGTGGTCTGGGCATGCCGGCGCCGACGCTCGGCTTCGCGACGTCGATTTTGGGGTGGCTTGGCATGCTACTACAGATATGCCTGTACCCTCCCGTAAACGCTCGCCTGGGAACGCTAAAGTGTTTCCAGTGGTTCCTTCTCCTTTTCCCTCTCCAGTACCTGCTGACGCCCTACCTTGCGGTCTTGCCCTCGGATACCAATCCACCCGGCGCGGCATCCGGTCCGTTTGTGTGGACGGGGATCGTGTTGATATTGCTGATCCACACGGCGGCCAGGACAATGACGCTGCCGGCGAGCATCATCCTGGTCAACAACGCATCTCCCCACCCCAGCGTTCTTAGTACTGTGCATACTCTTGGGCAAAGTGTCTCTGCGGGATTCAGGACGGTAGGGCCCGTCGTGGGAGGGTACTGGTACGGCAAAAGCTTGGACCGGGGGGTGGTGGGTGCGAGTTGGTGGGCTGTGGCTGCAATGTCGGCCATGGGCTGGGCGACGGCGACGCTCTGTAGAGAAGGGAGTGGGCACGACATTTATCTCGAGGGAGACGAAAAGGGAGCATAGGATGATGAAGATATCCGGATCTGTGGCTCTACATGTAAGCAACAGTTTCAACATTAACGTACCTGTACCACGACGTCTTCGCATCATTGGAGGGTCTCTGAAAGCGAGGCTCCTGCCTTCGCTCACTCCACTTTTTGAACACTATGTTAGCTCAATCCGAAGTTATTGAAGTTTTGGACCAACCTCTCGGAGGATGGAAAGTAGTTCCTTCCACTCAAGGGGGTCATAGACAATTGCTAACCACTTACAGGAAAGAACAGCCAACGATCAGATCAACTTCCTGACTTGAGTGATAGACCTAAAACAAGCCGCTCACCTCGAGCAACACCTTGGGATCTCTTCTACAGCCATTCGATTATGGTAATGGAAGTTCCCTGGCTTATTGTTCTGCGAGGTGATCTTAACGCTGTTTGAAGCGTGCAAAAACCGCTCCCTTAACTTGAACCCACCCTTGAAAGAGTTTCTTCTCTTCATTAACCTTCTTCATAATTCGGTTCGGCGAGACAGGTCGAGCGAGGGCATACATACGAGATATCTCTAGGTCCCACACCGCGTTTGGAACATACCTGTCCTTTCCAAGTTGCCTCGCCCCTTCTCCTTCGACTGCATTTCATGGTGTTCTGGCCAATGGCTGCTAACCTGAAGTGCTAGATAGATGCTCGCCATTGGCCGCCCGAGCATGGCTGAGCAACGCAACATGCAGCTGCTCGACGCCCAGGCTTCAATGGATGTCAGGCTTGCCGCTCTGGAGGTCACGCTCCGGAGGTAACGGTCGTGCATTTCCCCAAAGGACAGCAACCCCGCGGGGTTGGCACTATTTCCAGCTCCAACTGCAACCGCCTGTCTGCCTTTCTGCCTCCATATCCTACGCTCAATCCAGCTTCCGAGCACAATGTCTGGCCTTGAACCGATCGCGGCGTTGTCCTTGGCATGCAATATGTTGCAGGTCATCGACGTCGCGTACAAGACAATCCATACCGTGAGGCAGGTGTACCAGAATGGCGAGCTCGACTCCGGCCTTACCCATCACGCGACGCACCTGGAAGACCTCTCCAAGCGGATCCGGACAGCGACAATGCCGACGACGACGACAAAGACGCCGAGTACTACTAGTAGTAGTACTGCACGCGGCGCCGCACGGGGCGCCACCCAACCAAGGCCGACCGATCGGGACATGCACCTGCTGGAGCTGTCGAACAGGTGTCTGAAGGCAATATGGGATCTGCGGGAGGAGGTTGAGTTCTTGAAGGGTCCGGATACAAAATCCAAGCTCGTGGCAATTCTGAAGACCGCGACCAAAACGGTGTGGCGGCAGAGGCGGCTCGAGAGGCTGGAAAAGGATATGCTGGATGCGGAGCGATTGCTGCAGACAGGACTCCTGACGAGGGTATTCGAGCACGCAGAGAAGGCCGCCGGCGGCTTGGAGAAGCTCGATTCGGGCATGCGATCGCTTGTGGACGAGTACCGCGCGGGTCGTTTGGAAGCGGCCGGGCTCGTGCGTGGCGAGGCTGATCGGATGAGGAAGAACCTCACAAGTCAGATCAAGGGAAGCACACAAGCCGTAAATAGGCACACGACCCAAGAAACCGCTCGAGCGGAGACTTCCCTGAAGACTCATATCACTCAAGCGACGGCCCAGGTCCAAATGTCTCTGAAAACCCGCATTTCGGCTGTTGCCAGGAGTGCGGAAGAGCGAGCGCAAGATGCGCGGTTGGAAGCTCGCAGGGAGCGGCTCCTGCGCAGTCTCAAGTTTGATCGCATGAACGAGCGGAAGAATATGGTTGCTGAGTCGCATCCCAAGACTTATCAGTTGGTGCTGACAGACGGAAGCGATGCCGGAGAACCGGCGGATGTCACGGAATCTTCTAAGGGCGACGCCGATCACCGCTGGGACAGCTTCTCGGATTGGCTACGGTCTACGGAGCCAACGTACTGGATTAGCGGCAAACTCGGATCAGGGAAAACGACGTTGGTCAAATATCCCCTGGGCCACCCCCAGACGCGAAGTTTCCTGGAGCTGTGGAGTCCTGGTGCTGTCCTCGTCTCGCACTTCTTCTGGCGACCCGGCACCCAGATGTAGCAGAGCATCAAAGGCCTTTTTTGTTCCCTTCTCTACCAGCTGCTTGAGAAGGATAAGGCATCGCTCGACCGCATCCTTTCCAGCGGTAGCAATGCGTCGGCAAAAGATACGGAGACGGATTGGTCCGACCAGGAACTTCAATCGACCCTCCTTGACGTGATGGCACACTATCCAAAATCGATGGCTTGTTTCCTGGACGGGCTCGACGAGGTGCTTCGGACGGACGGCACGCTTGCCCTTCTGAATGTCGTCGACGCTCTGAAGCGGCCCCAGGGGCTCCAAGGGAAGGTTAAGCTGTGCCTTGGTGCTCGTCGAGAACCTCTGATAGAGGAGAAACTCTGGGCCTGTCCACAGCTACGCCTGGAGGATCTCAACTATACCGACCTTCGCCGATACGCTGAGGACACTATTATCATTCCACCTCAATACCAAATTTCCATCCCTCCGGGCTCGAAACTGTACGCGCGCAATGCAGAAGGCTACCAGGTCACTTTCAGTTCCAAAATGCCACTGAGTCGGAGTCAGATGCGTGACTGGCTCGTAACTGAGCTTGTTGCAAAGGCTGAGGGGGTCTTTCTCTGGCTCTGTCTGACGGCCAAAACGGTCATGGAGGCTCTCTGGCAAGGCGAGACGGTTACCGATCTGCAACACCGAATCGACAGCCTACCCACCGACCTTACCCAACTATACGCCGATATGTGGGCCAGGGCAAATGGTGACAGCGAGCGTCCTCAGCATCAGAAACGAGCTGTTCTATACTTCCATCTGGCCATCAAACCTGAAAGAATGTATAAAGACCGCTTGAGTCTGACGATTGGTACAACCGATGGCATGGCCAACCTGATTCGATACTGCGACCCGGACGAGCCCGGATTCGCGACACGGCTAGTTGAATCATGCAAGGCCAAAATGCGGGATATTGAAGTCAGATGTGCTGGTCTCCTCAAAATCAACCCGATTCCGGAAAGAAATCTCCCCTCTATGCTTCAGCCATGGTATGGCAAGGAGTACTGCGACCTGATTCCTTACGCTGAGGAAGCGCCTTACCCACCGCTGTTCGAGTTCGTCCACCGGACTGCCCATGACTTCCTGACGGACACGGTGGAAGGCTTAAAGATACTGAGAAAGTACAAGATCTCACACTGGCGTCTTCGCCAGAGGTTTGTGGCAGCGCGCCTGGCAGCCTGCCGGTTGTTGCGAAGTGCCCCGGCTATCAAATATTGCTTTCTGAAAGAATTCGTGCATCGTGAGGATTACAATAGCCTTCGGCGCCATTTGGCATCAATCAGCCGGCTACTTGATACTCTACCCGAGGGAGATGAAGAAAATGCGATAGGCGAGTGTTATGAACTCCTCGGCTTTTGTGAGCAGCTCTTCGAATCTGGCCAGCTTTTCGGAGACGCCAGAACGCCCGCCCATGACGAGGATTTCCAGGAAGTGGGGCCGGAGTCGGATTATTTTGCTTATCAGACACGGTATGAAGTAGTTGTCAAGCGGGACAATGAGTTCCTCCTCGAGGCGGCATCGATCAACCTCAACATCTGGCCCTTGATCTTGGCCAAGGTCCAGTCTCTGGAATTGAACACGCTGACACTCTCCGAACTTCTGCTGCACGTTTGCAACATCACGGATTTTGACCAGGAGGATGTTTTCTGGGCCAGGGATCTGTGGGATTGGAATGAATTACATTTGGAGTGGGAAGATGGCGAGTATTACTCTTACCGCTTGGGCATCGACTGTCGTCTAAGGCTCGCCAGGCTACTGCTGGAACGGGGCGCCGATCCTTCACGCAAAGGGCCACGAAGGATATATAAGCATGGCGATTACGGTAGAACTGACCAGGTGCACGTCCTTGAGACACCTCTCAAAGGTCTCATCTCCAGTGTCTGGCGCCTGGACCGTAATACGGGCATAATGGACGAGAATCTGGCCAGATATTTCATTGCCCTTATTCGACTCTTGATGTCGAACGGGGCTGATCCCGCCGGAGAGGAGTTCAGAGTCACCTATCAGGTCATAGACGGACGCCTGTTCGAGAGGCCACTCGGTTTTGAATCTGAAGCCTGGCGCGGGAAAACTCCGGTGGGGGGAATCGAGGATATGTGGTTCGTCCTAGCTTATCCACTCTCGACGATACTTGTTCGAATGCTCTGGAATTGGAAAGACCGGTTTCCGGAGATCGACACGTTTCTTGAAGCTCAAGACACCAGTCAGGACGGGAAGCTGGGGCATGTGATTCTCATGCTACGCCCCGCACGAATGTGCTTTGTGGAGGCAGGGGAGGAGCGTGAAGAGGGGCTTGCGGAGGAGCTGCAGTGGGTGGCACGAAGTGCCGAGGGAATACTCTCGGCCCATGATCTAGACTCTCGCTCAGTGCCTGTTCCTCTTGAGATACAACATGCGCTGTCTCGGGCTCTTGACCGACGGCATCCAAAGGCGGGAGAGAAATCGCAGGCCTCGCGGCGGCTCTTCAATGTGTTTCAAAGGGCTGGCATGACTTCAATATACTGCGGGAAATGGGAGGACGGATGTCCCTATATGAGCAAGTATCTGTTGGCCAACTGAGTCTGGTCTTGTTAATCGCGGGGGGCTACTGGAAGTCTGGAACACGGGCAGTACAACAGGCGACGGATGTTCCATGGAAGGTTCAGCCCCCCACAGGGTTCAGGCCCCCACAGTTGCTGGCGCTGTTAAATCGACCCTATTTCGCTGTGATGGTTCCAACAGACCGTCATAGCAGGCGCAAACAGCGGCACAAGGTCCGTAGCTGGACGCCCCAGTTGCTTTTATGTCGCCTCGATCTCACTAACTTAGGGCCCTGAGTTGAGTTTGGGCATGCACTGCGGAAGCTCAGGGGTAACGGGTCAGTCAAGTAAAGAGTACGCTCTATAACAGCCTGGAGAAAGGAGGCAAAATAATACGGAAGACATTACGAGACGCAGCCTGATTGTGCTCATCGTCGATCAACAGGTACGTAGCACCACCGGCATGTTGAGCGCCCGGGGGTTCTTGCCGCATTGCCGAGCGAGGATGTCTAATTGATGCGCAGGAACCTAAGTGATACTTGAGGCCTTGCGTGGTTTTTCGTACCTTGGCAAGGAATCTGATCAGGCTAGGCCAGACACCACCACGACGAGCCTACAGGGCCATCCTGACTTAAGAGGAAAGAAGCTCGATATTGTATCCGAATTAGACATGATCAGCGACCTATTGGTCTTCTTGATCCATGCTGTTCTTCACGGTCTCTCGGCACATCATCTGGGGCGATTACCCCTGCTTCCCATTTTAGAAGACAAAGATATCATCGTCCATCTTCGCGGCCACCCCTGGCGCCTTGAACCCCATCTCCACCAGCATCGATTTCGCAGCATTGACCATTCCTGGCGGGCCACACAGCATGGTTTTACTCCCTTCTCCAGGCGTCGGCATCCTCTCCGTCAACACCTCCTTAGTCACATACCCAACGCCATACCCCCAATCCTCCGTGGCCACATCCAGTAGATACCACAACCTTAACTTTCTCGGAAACCTTTCAGCCAGCTCCTCCAACTCCTTCCGGAGCAAAATATCCCCCTCACTACGGTTGGCATACACCAAACTCATCTCAGTCAGGTCCTCCTCATCCTCACACACAGCCCGAATAATCTGGTACATGGGCGTAATCCCCGTGCCGCCGGCAACCATGCCGATCCGGCGTGCCCACCCACGATGGTAGCGCATAGCGCCCTTGGGACCCCGGAACTCAACACTGTCGATTCCCGGACGCAGGTGGGCGAGGTAGCCACCCGTGAGCAACCCCTGCGGGTAGCAGCGGACTATGAGTTCCAGCACGCCGCAGTCGGAGTCGTTTGACACGGGCGTGTAGGACCGGCTGATGGTCTTGTTGTTGACCGTGGCGCGGATGGAGACGTGTTGCCCCGTCGGCAGGCCGAGGATGGTGTCTGGGGTGGGGAGGGAGAAGACTAGTCGGAAGACGCCTGGCGCGAGGGTGTCTTTGCGGGTTAGCGGGAGGGATTGGTAGGTTTGCGGGTTGAGGAAGGTGGGTGGAGGTGGAGGGCGGGTGCGCCGGGGTTTGGAAGACGGTTTGTGCGGCGGGAAGCGGGCGAAGCCGGAGTTTATCTGGGTGATCTTGGCGAGCTGACGGGCTGCAGCGGCGGCGAGGAGGGAGGTTAGGGCTGATGCCGCGAGGAAGCCGGCGGGGAATCCCCCGGATATGCCCAGACGGGGAAGGTTCAGGTTCAAGCTGTGTGCGTTAAGGAGCGCCTTGGGGAGTTTGAGTGTGGTGGGGGAGTAGTAGGCTGCTGAGGACAAGGCGACTGCGATGCCAGCGGTTATTGCTACGGCTGCCGCTGTTGATCGAGAGGAGTTTGAAGAGGGTTGAGGTTTCTGGACTGGCTCGACGACACGCGGAACAGGGACGGAACGCTTAGGCGCAGGCTTTTTGTACCCTTTCAGCGCGCCAACGCGGAGCGTCGCCATGATCTCGAAAGCGTCCTCAGAGTGGCCTGCGTTGTCGAAGGCTTCGGTGGCATCTGTGCCTGCCGCTTCTATGAGCAGTTCGGCGCCCCCTGGATGGTCTTCCAGGTAATGCGAGACATCGAACACTGCAAGGGCATGTTAGTCCTCCTAATACTGCCGTTTGTCCCCGAGATTCACGCTGCACCAACCTTCTCCATGGATGATCATCCAGTTGTTTGACGAAGAGTTATGAGCTGCAACATCTTCGACTGTGTATTCCATTTGTTGTGTGGGAACGGACTCGGTGGGAGGATCCATTGTTAAGATGGCAGTAGGGCTAGCACCTCATGACAGAGTCGACGGTTCTGTTGAACGCCGTGCACATTGATAAGAGCTGAGAGGATGGTTTGACAACACAGCAAAAAAGCCCCTGAGTTTACCATCTGCATTTTTACCGTCGTATATAGCCTCACCATGTGCCTGTACTTTTTGAGCCGTGCTCTGAAAATATCTCCAAGTCGATCCCTCGGCATATCGAAGCGGACTCCACATGAGGCGACAAGGTACGGGATTGACGATTTTTCGCGCTCCGGCATTCAGGGGCGCGGTGGGCCCGGCACGGCCGAACACCGACTCGGATGCAACCTTCTTACGGCAGTCTATTTGCAGAGGCGTGAGATTATAAATTGCAATTCTCGAATTCTCGAAAAGCAAAAGACCCATCCTCGGGCCATCGAAATCATTAAATGACGTTGAGTTGGCCTGGTGGGTGCGGCCCCGCTCATCCCCGATCGCCCCACTGCCAATCCGGCGAATCCGGGAATCCGCTCGCCGGTAGTGGGGCACCACCATCCCGGAGTTTAAGAGTTTTCTTAAGGCAAGGTCCCGAGGTCAGCCCTGCGAGTGATGAGATGCCTCGGCTCCTCGGTTTCCTTCCTGATGCAGTCCACAACTTGAAAATTTTGGGTGTTGGGCCGTTGGACATCGTCCTTCGCGAAGTTTTAGAATGCCGGTTTGAACAGGAGCTCCGTCTGCAATCTCGGCATGTTTTTCCAGCGCGATGCCGGTTGCTACGTCCTTTCTTACGTATAATTGTGATACCCATGCCAGTCATGACGCGGGCCGTCCCGGGCCAAGAGTACATCATCAAACTTCCTTGAGATAAAATAAACGCTGGGTACCTAACTGCACACTAAGGTACTTGATTATTGACAATAATTGCCTACCTTTCACTACTCAACACCTTTCTCATGCAGTCGCACTCTTGAGTGCAAGATGATTCCTCGAATGACAACCCAAAGGTTTTACCTCCTGGGCGAGGACGCCTCAACGGCGCGGGAAGTCCAAGTCACATCGGACACAGACCTCCAAGATCTACAAGAGATTGTAGCCAGCCACTTTGGCATCGTCGAGCCAAAAGGCACGTTAACACCCCCTGTGCACTGCAACTTGCGATGCCCTGCTAACAAGCCACAGGGATATCGTTCTCCTCACAGAATGTGAGCCTTCCCTCAGTCAAGGACGTCTTGGCGGCACAGGATGCCGTCGCCGTCAGCATCGACGGCAAGAAGGTCCGGGAGGTCCCTGGGCCAAAAGGCCTGCCGTACGTGGGAAGCTTCTTCGAGATCTACCCAGACCATCTCGGCAACCACCAGCGTCTGTTCGACATGTACGGCCCCATGTTCAAAACGACAACCATGGGCCGCACAATCTACCACACCAACGACCCGGTCATCGCCAGCATCGTCTTTGCCGAGAGCGAGTTCTTCTCCAAGCTCATCAACGAAGACCACCCGCTGTACCCTATCAAGAACCAGCCCGCGGGCGTGTTCCTCGGCGACACTAACACTGAGGAGTGGCGCACTGCCCACAAGTTCCTGCCCCCGGCATTCGGGCCCAAGGCGGTCCGGCACTATGCGCCTACGATGCAGAAGACGGTCGAGGATGCGTTTAAGGTTTTTGATGAACTGGATGAGCGGGGAGAGGCGTGGAATGTGTATCCGTACATGCTGAAACTCGGGTCTCAGGCGGTAGGGAAGTTGGTTTTGGGCGTCGATTTCCACCACTTCAGCGCGGTAGACGCCCGTCTGCACGAGATGGTCATGTTGATTGCCGAGGGCCTGGAGCTCAACAAGAAGGTTACCTCACGGGGGGCTTGGTATGCTGCATTGCCGTTTGGCGACCCGAAACGGTTGCGGGACATGCGCGGACGGATATTTGATCTTATGGATGAGCCCTTCCGCAATGCTAAGCGGGGGGGCGTTGAGGATCTTGATCTGCAAGATGCTGCACTCAAGGCGGAGAACATGATCGGTGAGTAACATTCTCCCCTTTCGTCACCCGCTTCATGCCTTTGTCTCTAACAGTAAAACCCACCCAACAGACTACGTCGTCCGCGCAACCGACAGCAAAGGCAACAAACTCCCACAGTCCTCCTGCATCGAAGCGCTGCTCGTGGCCACCGGCGCCGGCTTCACCACAACCAGCTCCCTCCTCTCCTGGCTCATCTACGGCCTCGTAACCTACCCGGGCATGCAAGACCGACTCCTCCAAGAGCTAATCGACAACGACTTTGACGAAAATACCCAAATCACCGCCGAGCTCACCAGCAAACTAACCTTCCTCGACAAATTCATCAAAGAAACCCAACGGCGGCACAACCCGTCCTTCCAGCCCGCCCGCACCGCCCTGCGAGACGTCATACTCCCAGGCGGGTACAAGATCCCGCAGGGCGGCGTTGTGATTCCCGCGCTGCATCATATCCACAACAACCCGGCTGTCTGGGACAGTCCGGCGAGGTTTGACCCGGACCGGTGGGACACGGAGCAGGTCAGGAACAGGCACAAGGCGGCGTATATCCCGTTTGCGACGGGACCAAGGTCGTGTATAGGTTTCAATTTCGCGCTGCAGGAGATTAAGGTTTTTCTGCCGAAGCTGGTGTATCGGTATCGGTTTGAGAGGGAGGATGAGACGGAGACGGTGGAGTATGATCCTATGTTTCAGCTGATTAGGCCGGTCAATCTGTATGTCAGGGCTGAGAGGAGGACGGAGTGGCCGGCCAAGTGCCGGGCGTGAGCACACAGGTCAAGGGGGTCACTTCGTGGTGTTGTATAATGCTGTGGTATTTCGGCTATCATTGCCGCTATGTAGTATGTATGTACAGTATCTGGGAAGATTCATGGTGATAGAGTTGGTACTGGTATGTTATGATACACGTCCACGGGTAGGAGGCGTTCCACTAGACTCAACCATTGAATTGTGAACTTCTGATTGTGGGTGGTTATGATCGTTTCTCCCTGCTAGGTCTTAGGTTCATGTTACTTCTTGGTTTTGCCTGTTTACCCGAAGTCTGTTCCTCCCAATGTTACGTTAGGGATGGGCCATCGCCGCTTTCCTATTAGGAACAGCAAAACCTTGCCTTTCGCACAACTGCAATTGATGACTCAGCAAGCACGGGCCAGATCCTTTCCCGAAGTTTTGCCGGCCAAGAACGCGTTCGCGTTCCCGGAGTGGGGCCGGCTCCGTAACGGCAGCAAACGGCGCCGGCGACGGAGGCCGGAAGGCGTCGCCCATTCTACTTCATTCACACCCCATTAGGTCCCTCAGCTCGCACCCCGCGCATTCGCGATGGCGGTGCAATTTTGGCGCCAGGATCCCGTTCCCGGTTCGGGGACGCGAACCAACTGCGCCCGACCCTCGAGCCTCGGTACTGGCCTTGCTGGCCTTGCTAGCCTTGGCTCGCTGATGCTGTCGTGGCCTCCCTCCTCTCCCCTCAAGCCCCTGAACTCTCTTCCTCCTCACCTTCTCGTCGTTCTTCCTACTCCTAACGCACTTCTCACCTCGCCATGACGGCACAACGACAGTCGCGCTTCTCCGGGGTGGACCAGGAGAGCGTCAATACGCTCCTCCAGGCTTATACGGTCAGTGCCATCGAGGAGGAGGGTAATGAGAAGCCCTTCGTTGCTCCGGGCACAAAGGCGCAGCGCGATAGAATATGGGTAGCCTGGACCGAGTATGTCTTCTTCCCCTCCTTCCCAGGCTTCTTTAACCCAAACAAATCTCGACATAAAGCCTGGGACGAACGTGCTGATGTGTTGCTAATTTCCATCATTTCTTGAAGTTTCTGTGAACTTACTAGGAAGAATGAAGCTGCAATAGACAGGTATGGCGCTCTTCGGGTGTATGCGGCTCACCATCGGGCCCTAAAACTGATGCTAACTAAGTGAAGCCGTAGTGGTTTCGACTCCTGCCGCTTCTGGGTGGACTTCGCCCAGGATCCATCAAACCCAAACGTTCTGGCACCGGTCCAGACCTTTCTACATAGATATGTGGAAAGCTCCTACAAGGAACGTGTCGTGCTAGGGCCTGAGGAGCGCGCCATGGTCCGCACGGTCAACTCCGCTTATAGCGTCATTGAGGTTTGGCGGAGGCTCGTCGCAGCGGCCGATTTCAATGTTCTCCGCGTTGAGCGGGCTGCGCTGCGAAGGAATGGTCAAGCCCAGAAGGCCGGCCGGCTTGTGCTAATGTGGGAGCAAGAAGGCGAGAAACGCGAGGGACCCGCCTATTCAATTGTCAGGGTATGTGCGGCTGAAACGACTCTATTACTTCCCTCCCCTTGTACGGAACTTGGATTACCTTGTATATCATTGAGGATACTTCCTCTACGCCTTCCCTCGTCCCATTCTACGTTCCTACTATTGGTATGCTTTACTGACTAGTGCCTGGCTAGTGGATTCTCCAGACATTAGCCCCAACACTCGGGTTGGAGATGGGCTCGTCGTACGAGAAGGTCGAGGCAACAGGAGCAGACATTATCGTCATTCTTACAGCGCTGTACTCAACTCTCTTAGTCGGATGATAGACATAGGAGTAGAAATGGTCGAAGTGGTCGCTGCAGAACAGCGTAAACTCTTGACCCGCTAGTAAGTCGATAGGGATCGTCTTCCCTTTCTTAACTCCGGACTGCCAGGTATGCTGTTTGCAAAAAAGTGTAACTTGAAAGAGGACCCCTT